GAGGAAGAACTTGCGACTGAGGACGTGGCTGGTTTTGTCACCGAGTCCCTCGCTGGGATGTCTCCCACCATCAGCACCGAGGATCGGACACTCATCAGTGCGGTCGTGCCTGGCCGCTCAAAGGGATCGTATCTATTCGCGAAGCTGGCCATGGACTGTCTCACAAGGCCCGGTGCCGACGTCCCTGCCGCGCTCGAGCAGCTGCCGCAGAACCTGGACGCCATGTACGCGGCGCTGCTGAAAGAGCATGCCCTGTCGAGCGGCGTAGACGAAGACACGCAGCTGCTGATCTTGCAACTCACCACGCATGCGACACGACCGCTGACCGTCCGTGAGATCGCGAGCGTGCTGGACGTGGTCGCGCGCGGGTGTGCATCTGGGGAGGAGTGGGATCCAAGAGCCACCAAAGACCTTGTACGCCTGGCATGTGGTCCGCTGCTCCAGATCCTCCCCGGTGAGACAGTCAATGTTGCTCACCACTCTTTCACAGAGTTTCTCACGGGCGGTCACCACCACGATGGTGGTTATCGTGCCGATGGTGCCTTGGGCGATGCTGATCGCGGGAGCCCCATCCTTGAGGCGGGCGCGGCTCATATGAGGCTTTCTCTGGCGTGCCTAAAGTACCTGAACGAGAAGGTCCTTGGCCAGCCGTTCATGCGGCCGGGCGCAGCCACGGAAGTCGAGGACACATTTGCCAAGTATGCGGGCATTAGCTGGTTCGTGCACGCCGGCAAGGCCACTGCGGCCGGCTACACCAACCAGGCCGAGCTGGTCAAGATCATGGACGACCTCTTCGACTCGACAGAGCTCAAGTCCGAGATCCTGACCCGGTCCCACGGCGGTCCGACTATCGCAGACTACATCTTCGGCTCATCCAAGTACGCACCCCCGACACCGCGGTACACGCCCGTCTACATGGCCACCGTACTTCGGCTTCGCACGTACCTCGAGGTCCTGCTCTCGCGAAACTCCGAGGTCTACCAGGGTACCAACCCAAGCAGGTCTCCGCTGCGCGCGGCCTCCAGCACGGGGGACGCCGAGTTCGTGGAGGTCCTGCTCCGGGCAGGGGCGGATCCCGAAGAGTGCGACACGGAGCAGTACTCGGGCCTCGCGCCGCTGCACTGCGCCGTGCGGCGTAACGACCTGGCTGTGGCGAGGCTCCTCCTCGACGGGGGCGCCAACCCGCTGACACTCACAAAGTTCAGAGACCCGTCCTGCTATGGCCACCGAGACACGTCGCCGCTCGAATGGGCCTGCACAGGAGGCCACCCGGCGGCTCTGCTGGGGCTCTTCCTCCCGCATATATCCTCGACGCAAGTGCTTAGCCAGGCCGTGCTGTGGATCGTGCCGACGGGCCGCGCGGACCTGCTCCATGTCGTGCTGTCCCACCCTCTCGCCGCCCGGCTCAGGGGCAGCGAGACCCGTGGTCCCCTCGACGCGGCGCTGTTCCGGGCGAGCGCCGAGCGCGATGCCCCCATGGTCCGAGCCCTCCTGCTCGCCGGCGCCGATGCGTCGACCCTGGGGAGATCTCTCGAGGGAGCCTTCCAGATGGGGTGGAAACAACCCGAGATCCGGCCTTTGCACGCCTGGGCTGCCGCGGACCCGGACGTCGGCAACGAGCCCGGCTCCGCCCACAGTCCACGGCACCGCTGGTCCCGGCCGGAAGACACGGGGCAGCAGGCCCGCGGGAGCATGACGGACGCCGAGAAGGCGGCAGCGGCGAAGGAGGTGTTCGAGATGCTCGTGGCCGCGGGCGCCGACGTGCACCAGCGCACGGCCACGCTGGGCAGTATGCCCCTGCACTACGCGCGCGACGTGCTTGCTGCCCGGCTGCTGGTCGAGCAAGGCGGCGCGGATCCGGCCCTCGCCAACGCCCGCGGGGAGACGCTTCTCGGGCTGACGCGGGACAGGGCCACGGTGGCGTTCCTCCTCGGAGAGATGGCGCTGAGGACACGGTCGGCAGGTGATGGCGAGCACGACGGAGGGCCTTCGGGCGCTGCCTCGGCCATGCTGGACCGCATGCGGCCGGACTGGCGCGGGCGGCAAGACGGCGCCGACATCGCCGAGCAGGTTTTGGTCTTCCTCGACTACGGCGTCGATCCGACCCAGGCCGTGGGCGAGGGCGGCCAGACGGCCCTGCACCTCCTCGTGCAGCTCGATGCCGACGCCGGCGGTGATAGAGCAACAGACAGCCGTGTCACTCTGCTCCAGCGTCTCCTCCGCTGCCCGGGCATGCACGCCAATGTCCGCAACGCAAAGGGCCGGACCCCCTTACACTTGCTGGGCCTCGGGGAAGGCTCTGCGAGCTTCCGAAACCCTACGGCAGCGCTCGAGTCGAACCGGGGCCTGCTCGACGGCCTCCTGGCTGCCGGCGCGGACCTCGAGGCCTTGGACAACAAGGGACGCAGCCCCCTGGTCTACCGGATCGACTCGCACAAGCACTGGCCCTCGTTCCAGGACGCCGGGATGATCACAATGTGCGAGGCCCTGGTCCGCGCCGGGAGCCGCCTGGACACGCGCGACGTATCGGGCCGCACGCTGCTCCATGCCGCGGTGGCAAGGGGCAGCAATGGCCCGCTGGTCAAGTGGCTGTGTGATCAGGGTGTTGATGCCCGGGCGGTCGACAACAACGGCGACACGCTCTTCCATCCGGCACTGACGGAAGGGCACCGGCCCAAGCATAAATTCTCCGGGAAGGACGCCGGGCACTTGGGTCTGCTGGACGAGCTGCTAAGGCACGGCGCCGATCCGACGCGGCCCAACCACGCGGGGACAACACCGCTTCACATCGCGAGCACGATCACCCCTGGCGCTTTCGAGATCCGGACCGGGAATGACAGCCAGGGGACGACGACGGTCTTTGACTGGTTCCTCCAGAGACAGCGTGCTGGCGGCAGCGTCGACGTGGCTGACCAGGACGGCGTCACGCCCCTGCACAACGCCGCGACCCTGTCCGAGTACATGGCGCGAAAGCTGCTCGATGCCGGCGCGGACCCGCTGAGGGAGACTAGTGAAGGCCTCAACGGCCTGCATCTTGCTGCTCGGGCCCGACAGGCCAACATCCTCGGCATGATGATCGAGAGGATCGTGACCCCCTCGGCATCCGAGGCCGGCCGCTCTGGTGGCGTCGACTGCCACCCCCAGAGGCACCCCCGGTCGCCCCTGTTCTACGCCGTCGCCTCGGGCCGGCCAGAGAGCGTGGTGCTCCTGCTCGAGGCTGCCTCGAGCGTGCCGGCTATCGCACACCGGCCCTCAACGGAGTACCAGGACTCACCGCTGCAGGCAGCCGTCGAGTTCGAGGAGGAGCTTGCCAACTGGCCCAAGATTCTGAAGCGCCCGGGTCATTACGGTGTGAGGGAGGTCGGAAGCGTCCATCTGAATGACACGTTCCGCATGGCTGAGAAACCGGGCCCTTGGCCGTCGGAGCGGCTCGACGAGGTCCTGGACCTGCTCGACACACACGGTCTGCTGCCGGGGGACCACATCGAGACGGCGATCACGGAAGCTTTCGACAAGGGCGCGGCCTACACGCTCACATGCCTGCTCCGAGTCAGAGAGCGACGGCTTGGTGTGGAGGGGTGTCTGTCCAGCAGAGCTGCTGGTGAACATGGCCCGATTGCCGCCCTACTTGAGGCGAGGGAGCACAGCCGGAAGCCCCTTGTCGATGCCATCGCTGCCAAGGGCACGCTGTCTCCGGACGAGTTCGACGCGGCCATGAGAGGACGGCACTTTGACGTCGTCGTCGACGGGCTGCCAACGCCCGACAGCTCTCTCCAGGTCCTGCACGACCCCAGCCAGGGCTGCAACGGCACCAAGACTCTGCTGCAGTACCTCGCGGCGGGCGGGCACGCGGCCCTGCTCGCAAAGGTGGCCAGCCCGGAGGCCCTCGCGCGCCTCGAGGACGTGGCCTGGGTGGCCAGGACGGCAAAGGAGACGCAGGCCAGCACCGACTATCTCGGCGGCGAGATCGAGCCGCTGCTCGTCACGGCGTGCAGGCGCGAGTTGCCCAACATGGAGGTCGTCAGGCTGCTTATCGAGAAGCTCGGCGTCGACATCAACGTCGTAGGCGGCGGGGGTAACCCGCGAGGCAGCACGTCGGGGAAAGCCGCCATCGGCGCCTCGGCGCTGCACGTGCTCGCCACGGGTGGCCACTGGTGGCAGGCTACCCAGGGGATGCCCTACCTGCTCGCTCGGGGCGCTAATGTCGATACCATCGCTGCCGTGACGCAGGCGGGATGGGGGTGGTCGAGGGGCGGGACGGGATATCTGATGACACCGCTCAACGCTGCGCTCGACGCCCTCGCGCGGTGCTCGACCTTGAGCTTCAGCAGGCGGGTCGTCGAGACATTGCTCGAGCACGGCGCCGACGTGACGGCCACGGACGACCGCGGCGTGTCGTGCCTCGACCGTGCGAAGCACGATCCCGAGATCCACGCCCTGCTGCTCCGGTATGCTCGGGAGTAGCGTACGCAGTGACCTGGATGCCCTGGAGGCACTGCTCCTGTCGGGTGCGCAGCCTGAGCAAGTGGCAGTAATCGTTGTCTGAGAGGTGGCACGTTTAAAAGAGGGTCAGGTCAGTTCATGGGCAGGCTTACCTGTGGTTTGTGCTATACGCGAAACCAGGAGGTCAAACGTCCTAATATAGGACTAGAAGCGAAATATTTATCTAACGCCTTTCGGACACGAGGACTTTATAAGTTTCTGAGATATAAAATAAATACGTAACTAGCATAGTTGTATATGTTATACCTCTCCACCTTATCGGTATCGAATCGGTACCAGGCCTGCAGCGCGCTGGCAGTGCCTGTGGCCGTATACTCAGCTCCGCCCTAGCGTTCCCTCTATATCTCCTAGGTGTAGAATTGTCCGTAACGACCACCCGGGTTAAGCTCGAGCATCTCCAGGGACATAGTGTTAACAAACTCGTGCCCAAACCTCTTAAGACAGTAATGGGCAATCATGTCGATACCTAGATTCCCATGTTAGTAAAGCCTCCGTTTTTTCATAAAATAGCACTCGTTCACACGAGTCAACAATGGCAACTTACCAGCTCCAGCTCCACCCGCAGTCCACAACTCGCCTTTCCTCCCGTCCGTCCCCTCATACTCCTTCTCCTCCACCACCCATCGCTGGCGTAACCAATTCGTTCCGGGATACATCTGGTTCGCCATGTCCAAAAACTCCTTATTGGTCGTGCACGTCTTGCCCTCCAGCAGTCCTGTGCTCGCCAGCCACACGCTCCCGATGCACGTGGTCAGCCACACGGGCGTTTTGCTCCACGCCTCCTTCATGAACTTGTCCGCCTGCGGCGGGCGGTGGCTCGGCAGCGGGCCGCCGATGAGCACAATATCCAGGTCGCGCGGGCAGTCGTCGTACGTGACGGTGGGCACAAACTTGAAGCCGCCCAAGCTGTCTGAGCCAGCCTGCGGCGGCGTCATGAAGCTCGTCTCGAGAGTGGTGGCCATGTAGAAGAACTCGATACTGACGGCGTGCGGGCCGAACTTGGCGTACTTCGGGTCGACCGAGATAACACCCGAGACGTAGGGGTCCGAGATGTTGCCGAAGATGTCGATGCCGACGATATCGGCGAGTTGGACTTCCTCAAGCATCACGCCGATGCGGAGCTTCTTAGGGCCGTTAAGAGTGGACATCTTCGGGGCTGGAGGATTTGCTCAGGGTCACTAGATGGCTTTTGGATTGTTTGAATCTGCAGTTTGAGATGCCTGAGGGGCGAGTTACTCTGCCTTTATACCATGTTAGCAGCCATTTCCCCTCCAGGCCGATAACTTGATTTCTAAGATGGTCCCGGACATGCTCGGAGACGCGCATGAACCCACGTGTGCACCAAGCAACGGGAAGCCATTGAAAAGACCGGGGTCTTCAATCCAGTGGTATGTCTGGGTGATCTTTACTGGCTTGCATCTGATATCCCATCACCCCTCTCTCCGACACTTGTCGGAGGTTAATGTGGAGGTCTCCCCTCCCTCCGACATTCGTCGGAGGTTACTATGGAGGGAAGGGCGTGGCTGGCTTACCAAGCGACTCAAGCAAACTCCAGCACGGCAAAAGATCTCCCCGCAGAAAACATTGAAGAAACGCTCATGAACTGCAGATTCGCGCATATGAAGCCCTCTCTCTACGACGGGAAAAGCTTTTCCCTCTCTTGGGAATACAGGAATAGGCGTCGCATGGCGCTTGGGTTGCATCCGGACAGGCGGAGTGCAGCGCGCTGCGCGATAGGTAAGCTGAGCAGCATCTTATCGAGGACGATTGGAGATCTGGCAAGTGCTCGTGAGCAGACTCTGGCTATGGCTGTCGCGCTGTCGCCGGGACCCTGTGCAATGGAGGCGTGGACCTATACGTCTCCGGGCGGCGGATCGATGATAACTGTCCTGGGGCTGGTCTATGCTCAGGCAGGTGCGTCAGGTGCGATCTTCGAAATGCTCGAAAGGAGCGAAGTGGTTCGCCTGAGGTATAAGTACTACCTGGGCAGTCACGAAATGGTATAGCTGGCTCAAGCCGGCCCGGTACATCAATAACTAACCTTGTCCAGAGCTGAACTTGAGGCCGAGACGGCGGCAGCATCCTAACGTTTTAAACACCAGTAGCAAACATAACCTTGTGGGGAGACTCATTTTGTCCTTCGGCCGTTCATGCTGCTTATCCATGATGGAACTAACATCCCTATCTACCGCACTTCCGCGGCGCCCTCGTTCGCCTGGTGGCTGACCTTGACCTCACTGTTGCCCCCGAGCTCACGAAGCAGACCTCTCGACTTGGTTGGAAGTCGACACCGGGTGCTGCACTTGGGACAATGACCCCGTTGATGTCTCGTAGCTTTAGAGCTTCGCATGGTTGGCCTCGGACGTATATCGATTGTCGTTGGAGTTTTATGGTAAACCACGTTCCCAGCTAGCAGGTAGAGACATTCCTTGCTCTCCTGGGGCGCAAGGTAGTACGTCCAATAATTCTTATGGCAATTACAGTGCGTTTCCCGAAGAAATACACCGTACCAAAAAAGTGTTAGATTAGCCGTGGAGCCGCCCGGCCGGCTGTGTATTTTCTACTGGGCCGTGAGCTCGAAACTTTAATAGGATAATAGAAGCACGAACAGATTGAAGAGTTACTCTCTTTGCATGAATAGTGCCTAGATTCGTATCGTCACTCTCTTTCATGAATAGTGCCTAAATTTATATCTTCGAAGAATGATATGAGGAAACTCGCGGTCGACTCTTTCAAAGCTCCTGTCGCTATAGTAGTAAATTAGATTAGTAAAATAGCAATAAACAATAGGACATGTCCACTGTAGAAGAGATAGATCGTGAAGTGATGCCGAATAATCTTTTATAATACGTATACTACAGTCATACTCTTATACCCCGAGACTCTTCAAAAGCCGGGTCATCCTCGCCTGAATATCAGACATTAGCTGGGTAACGCTTTTGTAATCCCCATTAATCGACATTTGTTCCCAACTCGCTGAGGTGTTCCTTAGTGGCGAGGAGGAAAAAAACTGCCCGTCCCTCGGGGCAGCGACACCCGATAAATAGGTAGTCATAGATTGGTGCTGTTGGTTGATCAGATATGAGCAGAGCTGGACAACCATGACGAGCCGGATATTAGAAAGCGGGCCGATGCCGCCACATGGACCGCCGCAAGGATGGCCGCCGAGGCCAAAACCACCACTTGAGCTGCTCCTCGTACTGCCGAGGCTTGTGCCCAGCATTAGGTCGGCTGGAGGAGAAGATAGGGACGCGGTGTTGAGGCAGCACAGATCGACGTCGCTCTCGAGTGCGATCAGCACAAAGTTGTAGATGGTCAGGAGCATGGTGTGGCATGCTAAGAGAAGGTGGCTGGTGACGGGGCTTTGGGAGATAGCCTGACTGCTCACTGATGCCGTCCGCACGCGGTGCTTCTGATGCTGATGCTGAGGTTTGGGTTGGCAAGTGGCACCATTGGGTGCCGTCGCCAGAGAGTTTAAATTGGAGCTCATGCTGCCGTGGTGAGCGGGAGCGGCGCTCCAAGGGTCGGACGGTGGCATCAAGCCTCCAAGGATCTCGAGCAGATCCCCTGATGCAGTGAAGATGCCACACAGTACGACACCAAGGACGTCTGCGCCGTCGTCGGGCGAAGTAGGCGGGTCGATGGATCTCTGAGGGGTCGCTTTCGAAGAGAGGTAGGACAACCACGCGGAGACCAGCTTAAAAACGCCGTCGTCGACCAGAGGGCTTCTGACGTGCCCATCGTGGCCGACAGAGCCGCGTCGGTACGACATGCGCACAGTCTCGTTGAGACTCTCATTTGACCGATAAAGCTGGGACAGCCTCATGGTCAACTGCGAAAGTTGGCTTATGCTTGTGACGTGGTCTGTAGAGAGGTCAGGCAATGGGCTGGTGCTGCCACAAAAGGCAGAGTCACTTCGTTCCCGCCACCTTGGCGGGTGTTGTTGATGGTTGAAGTAGTCAATGTCGATATCTTGGTGGCGGATGTTTGGGTCTATCGAGTGCTCCAGCACCGAACTGAAGTCCAGTTGGGACGCTGGGCCGAGGTTCTCGAGCATCCCAGTACCGGGCCAGGCGTTTGGGTCGAGCCAGGTGGCGCCGAAAGCATCAGTGTCAGGGAGAAGAGTATCATTCATGACGGCATCCTCGTCAGTCGGCTTGGCAAGGCTCGAGCCGGAGTCTGATCTGCTGGATGGCTGTGCCACATAAATACCAGCGTTGATGTTGTCGTCGTCACCGGAAGAGCTGCTGGAGCTGCTGGACGGAGCCGCGCTTCCTGGGCGTCCATTCGACGAGCCAGTACTGCTGCCGCTTGCGGTGCTCCCACTATTGTGGCTGCTTGATTCGGCTTCGGGCTGGACGTCTGACGCGGCGTCTGACGACGATGCGGTGGTCTTGGTAGGTTGTGTCTCCCCAGGTCCGACGGTATCGGCCCAACGATACATGCTTGGTCGTCCTTTCGGCAAGCTGAGGCTGTACACACACTGGGCGCCCTGGCGGAGACAACGAACACAAGCACCGATATCACTCTTGGCGTCGCGCACGCAGCGCAGCTTCTGCCCATGGCACCTATCACACGACTGGCGTCGAGGGGTGGTACCACCGTTATTTGAAGGGGGGGCCATTCTGGCAGATCGAGATCAGTTTGAAGATATGGCTGTGAATTCTGCGTGCAATTCTTCGTCTCGTGTCGCCGTATGGGGTTCCAAGGATAGGATCACAGCTTAGATCCTCTGATAGGTGTCGCTAAAGAGGGGAGGTTGCGTTGGTAGACCGGGAGATGACAATACGGACCAAACGGCGGCTGGATAATTGCCAATAGCACAAGTAGCAACCCGACTGCCAAATATCGATGGTCACTGCCGGCGAGCAAGGCTCGAAGCATATAACAGTGACACGACTGTGCCCGGCAGATGACCAGGGCTTGGAACAGCAGGCACAACCCGCAAAGCATCCCAACGGGCCACATGCAATCATGACGGGAACGCAAGTACGTGCATGCAAATTCGACTGGATGATGCCGGCTCCTGCATACTTTCAAGGCGGCCCTGGCCAGATACTCCACCACAATGGGTCGATGATGATCACCCGAGTTGCCAGCCAATCGCACAACAGCCCGGTCACTGCGCAGTTTGGGGGAGCTCTATCAAGCAGGGAAACCCAACGCTGTTACAGGGCCTCGTCACTCAGATGAGCAAGATAACGACAGTGCGGTGTTGAGTCGAGTAAGATACCCTTGGTAAGGTTCCAAGTCGCCCCAGCTGGGCCCACTGGCTAGTGTATCTGGAGCCGACTCACCCCTGGGGGTCCACTGCCAAAGCTTGTCCTCCCATGCCACCCTCGTCGTTGTCGAAATTCGGCTGACGGCTTCGCTTACGTCACCGCGTCCAGAGCCCTCCATTTAATACTTACTTCGGCTTGGACCGATCAACAAGAGACGTTCGGGAGCCAACCCGCGATTCAACGCAGATGATGGAGAACCACGCACGGTCTTGCAGCCAAGACCCTGCAAAACCTTAATCGGAAGTAAGGCATGCCGGCCTCGAGGCCTTCTGCAACGACCATCTTGATTAGACCGCCATCGGTTCCTCTAGAGGACACAAAGGGCTTCGGACACGTCCGACCTGCAGTGGAAGAAGCAGTTGTGCTTGGACTGCATCCGTGGTGCATGCATGCGCGCCTATTCGCTGTCACTCTCCATGCTTAGGGCGTAAATACCCCTGTAGTATCTTGACCGGCAACCCATGTCATTCAGGCACACCCCTGATCGTGGAAGTTCTATACCTGACTAAGGACCTGATCATGAGCGAGGACCCCTAGCCCAACGTGGGGCAACGATAGCTGAGTCACGCCAGTATGGTCGTGAAAGCCAGATGGTCCAGTGACTAAGCTTCCGACACAGTGAGATGGCAGATGTGCGGCTCATTGCCAACCAAATATCGAAGACGCAACCATTTCTTAACGAAGTGCCGTCCATGCGTCCGAGGCCTGGGCTGTACGGTGTACGGAGTACGGAGTACCAGAACACACCGTGGCTTCCCGGTCCTCACGGCCTCACCGAGACCCGGAGAGCCCGAGACGCAGGCAGCCTGCAGCAGCACAATCCCATCTGTTTCACCAAACTCTATCATCAGCAAGATCAGGGACTCTTTTGCCTATTGCGGGAAGCCATACAGGGAGCTTGTGGGCGGCCCTGCCAGCCTGATTGCCTGCCAGCGTACCAGCGTGGCTGCGTGGCTGCATGGCTAGTCAGGGACATTTCCTCCTGCCGCATACCGCGGCACCATGCAGTTATATTCTAGAAGAGGTTTGGGCTGGACGCTGGTGTGACCCTTCGTTTCTCCACATGTCTTGGGTCAGTCCGACCATTACTCGCAGACCGAGGAGACTGAGGGTGGATGCGCCTGGCTACCGCCCGCCTCGCCAGAGCGCCCCTGGTGACCCGATCCCCTGGTCGTTTATCCCCTGGAGGGACCCCTAGAAAGTCTAAATTGTTGCACCGGGTGGTGGTGCTAACGTGTCAAGAAGGTCCGGACATCCCCGCTGAAGATATTCGCTCCTGCGGGCAGGTGGCTGCACGGGACAGGGCTCAACATTGGATAGGAATTGGCCCGGAGCTCCGTAGCGACGCGGCCTTGAGAAATGGGCGTGTATCAGGGTTGCCACGTATATCAATCGCTTTAACCCAGACCCTGCTCGTTTGTCCACGGGGCAGGGCATGGCCTAGAACAACATCATGTTCGTGTGAGCCCTCTGGCTATCAGATTCTTCTGATTGTGAGGACTTCGCATTGCCACGCAAGCTCCTCAAGACGTGCTCAAGTTGAAAAGCGGGAGCGACGAATTTTCTGTGCAGTCTTTTAGCAATGGTAGCCCGAGGATCAAGCTGTGGACCTCGCAATCCAGCGTCCATTAAGCTAACAAGCAGCTACATGCTCCTACATACATGCATAGCATAGACTGACGGCCCAACCACTTAAAGAAGAATTCGCATCAATCCTATGCCTTGATTACCTTGTCCAAAACGATGGACACCTCTGGCAAGGGGCGCACCATCTGGTTCGCGGTCGTGAACTTGGCCTTGGTGTCGCTCGTCCGCTTGGCCGAGTTCTCGCTGCGGGAGCTACGCACAGCGTCTCCGCCGCGCTGCAACATCTCCTTGTTGTACTCGTCAACCGCGGCCTTGACGGCGCTGATATCCTTGTACTTGTCGGCCTCCTTCAGGCTGACCAGCGTCTGGCAGAGGTTCATGGCATCGATGAAGCTATGGAATCCGCCCTCGCCGCGGAACGGCGTCATTGCGTGCGCCGAGTCGCCGACGAGCACGACACGGCTGGCGGGCAGCCCACCCTGGGTGTCGAGCTCGAGGTCCCGCCAGATGTGGGCCTCCTTCTTGATCCCGCTCGCGGGAGTCGCCTCGAACAGCTCGCGGAAGCGCAGGGGCATATTTGCAATGAGCTTCATGACGTGTTCGCGCTTCTGCTCCTGCGTAGCCGACTGCAGCCAGTGATCAGGCGACTCGACGGTGGCGTCGGGCTGCATCAGCATCCAGTAGTGCTTGCCGGAGCGGCCCCCTGGCAGTACGTGGTGCAGGCCGTTGAAGTTCCAGAAGCCCAGATCCGGGCTGGCATACACGTAGGCGCTGTGGCCAAGCTCTAGCTGGCGCAGGAAAGCGTCCCCCTCGAGCGTCACTTCGCCGACAATGGCTGCTAGGGGGACTAGCTGGAGGACATCTTTGGCCGGCTTCTGCAGGATGTGCTCACGAACTAGAGATGCGAGTCAGAATATCCGTCGAGGTTCCAGGAGAGACGAAAAGTGGATGGGCAGAACATACCGCCACTGTTGATGCCGTCAGCACCGACAAGAATGTCACCACTGGCAGTGGTGCCGTCATTGAATGAGACCTGCACGCCGGCGTCGTTGTGGTCAATGCTGACTACACGCTTGCCCCACTGGATAGGAATGTTTGTGGACAGCCACTCTCTGAGGCGGTGACGCTCAGACCGTACAATGGGATGCTCGGGAGTGTCCTGCGTCCTTTATCAGCGAACGTTCTAGACGTGTTCCGAGATAAGAAGTCCGTGTGACCAATGAGCCTCAACCAAGCAGACCACAGCACGAAGCACATACCTCAACACCCATGCGGCCAGGACGGCCAGGGAAGTACAGACCCATCTGAGCCGGAAGGTCGAGAGGCTGTAAATGGTCGGTGGCGTCTTTTAGAGTTGCCATGTCTGAGGGGAAGCTCGACTGCAGCTTCTCGATGATGCTGAAGCCACGTCCAGGAGCCTTGTCAGCATCGTGAACCAGGACGTTCCCAAGCCTGCAACTACCGTCCAAGCACAGCGGAGCCTACAGCACCAAATCATGCTTGGACCGGTAGCACACGGCCACAGGCCTCTCACAGGCTACTGTATCCGATCTAGTGTGCGAGGCCGCACTAGTGGGAACGGGAAAGCTGGAGTGTCGACAATACTTACGTGTGGATCCCAATGGCCCATCCTTGGAATCGAGACTGAGCATCCTCATCCCGCTCAAAGACCTCGAAAGAGATCCCCTGCTTTCGCAAGCATTGAGCAAGACCCAAGCCACCTAAACCACCGCCCACAATAAGAACGTGCATGGTCGTTGTGATTGTAGCTCAACGATGTGTGATCTGGCTAGTTGTGTAATTATTATCGTTAGCCTCACATTGCCCTATTGAAATGAGGTGGAACCGTCTCACCTTTATTTATTGATGGATACTGTAATGCAGGCGTTTGTATCTGTTAGCCTAGACGTAGCCAAAATGGAAGATGAGGCAGACTGATGTGATATGAGGGATGAGATCTATCCAGCTGCAAATTTGCCAGAAAACTGTACTTACCCTTGAGATAGGCACAGGAGAACAATCTGGGTAATGCCCGATAATTTCCTTAGGTGGTTTTCACGGTCAATGTGAAGCAGCGAAGGACTGGCTGTAGACCGAATACTGCTGTGTCATGAAGCGGCATTGCCTAGTGGCTTTCGACAATGAGCCGGCTAGGTTGCGCTTTGGCCGAACTCTTGTGCTTATCTCCTTGTACCCCTGATCGGCGCCAAGATTTATGGCGTCGAGTTCGGTTCATGAGACGCGCAAAGTATACTACAGGTCAATTGAAACAACAGGGGAATATGCTCAATCGGGCCATCGATCATTGTCTCTCTGTGACTTGAGCTCTCACCACACGCCCAATCTTGAGAGGATTGCTCTTGGGGAACAACAGCTCCATACTGCCTGTCTCCTGGCTTGGCTGACGATGACTCCCGGGAACGGAGGGGGCTTCACCGACAAGCACGATCCTGGACACAGAAAACACTCAAGATTGCGACCCCTTCGGCGACTTTTTCCACTGCTGTTCGGCGGATTTCGCAGCGGCTGGCCCTCAGGGGCTCTCAGGAACCTGCACCTACCTCAAGGCTCGATTTCTTAGGCCCCGAGGCTCAACCTCGACGCTCTGCCTGCATAGTGGCCCCTGCTCGATAACGCCGGGTGGAATGTTGTTCCTCCGCTGGCAACGCCACCCGATGTTGAGGCGCAGCCCAGCGCCTGTCAGTGGATGCATCAGCGATTCAGGACCCCAGCAAGTGACCATGTCTTTGGTCCAAGGCTGGTCTGCGCAGTGTCGGACCGGCACATCCTCAACAAGGGACACCCCAGCAGATTGCCCCATGTTCATTGTCGCAGTCGGTGTCACCGCACCCTTGGTGGTTCGAGTCGTGCTCAGCAGTCGCATGCTTGGTTCGTCTGAGGTTCTCGACGGCGGTCGCCGAAGGAAGATATGGAGAGAGGATCAAGTTGTTGGCATCCACAGCGATTGTACATTGGCATGGTGAATTGCTACATGCCACTGCTCGCTAGATGATAGCTTGGCCGTGTTCCCGTTGTTATCTGCGTGACGTGATGTCGACAAAGGAGAGAAATACACGTGGAAAGTGAATCTAGTTAGACAAGCCGCCTTGCTTTGAAGGTGGGAAGACCTGGGTCGCACTGGCTAGGCCTAGATCTGATCGCAATTTTAGTGCATGCCAACGGATTGGGCCTGCTGGCAATGTGCACACATGCGAGACGACTGTGCAGATGGTCAGCACATGTTCGCACACTGGCGACAGAGGCGGACGATGCCCGCGATCGTCAGCTTCCCCTGCCAACCAGTTGGATAGTCAATTTCCCATGACAACACAGTCTTGAACTTATTGTCAACACCACACCAAAGCCTCGTCCCCAAAAGCTCGGAGAAACGTGGCCGGGCATTCCTGATAGACCGAGATGCATCCTTTTCTGTGTCTGGTGCATGATGACTTTGAAACCACGTTCTTGCGGAAATGCACGTCCAACTATGCACGGTCGGCATCGACTTGTTCGTCGTGCCCCGCCAAAGAGCCAGACCACCTTCAATGACGTCGATCGTGCTAACGGCCAGTATCAATTTTGGCATGTACAGGGCAAGCTGCACCTCGACCGCACCTTGGTGACAGGATCAGGAAAGGATGAATGGTGCTCGTGTAAATTATCTAGGATGGAAGCCAAACAACGCCTGAACGAAGACTTATGGTGAACAAAAACTCCTCTCTGAGCATCGACCCCTTCATGCCACGCTATAGACCATCTTCTGGCCAGACATTGCCTGGGTCCGAATAATGTCGACACCCTCACAGACACCCTCCCAGCCGCCGGGCATCGGCTTGACCGGATGCGTGTCGATGAGTCCACGATCCAACAGCGACTGCACGGCGGCGAATGCCTTGCCACCAAATACTCTGTCCTCAGGGTTTGCCTCGCGGCCGTACTCGCCGTCCAGTGCGACCTGGCGGCCGAAGATGCTGAGCACCATGACCCATGACGGTTCGATCGTCAGTGCTCGAGTCTGAGCCACAGTGTCGCGGAAGGGTTCAAGGGCAACGTAGCGCCCGCCAGCACGACCCATGGCTGAATAGCAGAGCTGCGTGGTGTCCGCCTGTGATACACAGTCGAACGTGTAGGCAAGCTCGTTGCCTGTGTATTCACGGATCTCCTGGGCGGCAGTTGGCGAGTTATAATCGAACACCTTCTCGGCGCCGAAGCGCTCGGCCAACGCGAAGTTGGAGGCGGACGCCGTCGCGATGGGGCGGAGGCCGGCACTGCAAATGGAACCATCAGTTGTCTCGCTCTGGCAAAGGTCTTGCGAACTCAATGTCATGGGAAAACCATGCGTTTCGGGCACTTACAGTTTAAGAAGCTGAATGGCCCTAGTGCCCGTGGCTGTGCTGCCGCCAGCAACAAGCACAAACTCCTTGCCATCACGATCATCTGCCTTGACGATCTCGCCGCTGGCAAGCTGCTCCAGAGTGGCTGGGATGCCAAGCTCCTTGAACATGGACAGACACGCTGTTGCGACACCAGTGCCGAAGCTCGCGCCCTGCTCAAAGCTCATGGATTCCGGGATTTTGAGCAGGAGGTCCGCGGACGCGCCAACGTACTCGCTGAAAGCACCGACTTGTGGCAAGAGCTTGTTCATCCCGTGCACGAGGCCGGCGACGCGATCACCGATGGCGAGCTTGCCGGAAGCAGCAGCCTCGGTGCCGAGAGCAACGACAGTGCCGGCAAAGTCGTAGCCGATAATGGCGCCTACGGCAGCGGAGTAGTCGAGCATTTTGGCATCGGCGGGGTTGATAGCCACGGCCGCCGTCTTGACAATAGCCATGTCTGGAGTCAGGGTGGGCATAGGGACGTCATGTTGGATGGCAAGCTCTCCGGGCCCTTGCGCCACGATGGCTGTCTGTGTTGTGGGAAGTCCGGACATCCTTTGCTCACTCTGTGCTTTTGCTTGAGGTCAACGGGCAGGAACCGCTAGCCTGTTGGATTGGGAGCGCTACTTTTCGTGCTGCTGTAGTTCGGAAGTCCTGGAAGTTGAAGCTTTACAAGTGCTGATATCGAGCGTTTGTTTGCATAGCGTGAAATGCAAGTGTGAAAGCGCTTGTTAAGCAACTACGCATGCGTTTATGATGACTACATTCGGAATGCACTAGTGACCTGGCAGTTCCGATCACTGAGGCAGGTAGGTCACAGACCATCATCACGAACGATCTGCATCACGGTGTTGAGACATCGGGCATCCGATTCCGATGCACCGATATGTGGGCCCGAACGCCAGGGAGTGAGCTGAAAACCGCCGAAGCCACAACACCGAAGCGAGCAAAATGATCCGAGCCCTGCCAGCCGCGAACCAATCCCATACGAGGAGCAATGGGTGATGACCAAGCCATGATGATGTACGGTCTTATCGCTGGACCGAGGCTTGACACCGCATCGCCAGGCGCAGCGGCGACGGATGATCACCCCCTCTCAGCTCGTGCTAGGCGCAAAAGCATCATTCGTCTACCGCCTGAGAGAGAAAGGCGAACTTGCACACTTTATCGTTGTGGAAGCTTTGGGCAACCAACAAGAGAATCCAGAAGCCGAACAATATCCACCACGCTGAAGACCCCTTCGAAATCCAACATTTGCACAATTCAGAATTTCACCTCAAGCTGTGACACAGGAAGTCAACAACCAGCATTATCTTGGGGACACTAAACTCATTTGCAACATTGATGAGCTAGGTCCACACGATGGCGGCTTACACAAGTATCCCACGATCCTGCCCTGTCGACTCGGCCAGTCTAGAGCAAGAAGCATGCACCCGCACAGGGAGCATTGATGAGAAAGAAGACCCCTTCACAATCCAGTCAGACCTCTACGCGACGGGGGAGAACCAAGGCGACGATGATCTCGAGGCGGACGGCCCGCAAGAATTCATCGACCATTCGTCGCTACTGCCAATCCCCTCCCCACCGCACAAGCATTACTATGGCTTCGTCGGTCACCTGGCAGACCTGGACCCAACGCTGCCCGTGCGTACCTACTGGCACCTAATGGACACTTACAACCCCATCTTCCAGATGGACTTGGGCATGAAGTATCCTCGCGTCTTTGTCGGCAGCCGCGAGATGGTCAATGAGATGGCGGACGACAGCCGCTTCATCAAGTTCACACATCGCCTGCATCAGGAAATGAGGGCCGTGTTCGGAAATGGCTTGTTCTCGGCAGAGTCGACGAGCAAGGCATGGAAAAAGGCGCACCGGCTGTTGGTGCCAGCATTAGGTAACTAATATTCTGTTGGAGACTGTTGGCTCGTGACACGCTGCCAGTCACTGTGCTGACGAGGCGACTTGAAAACAGGTCCCATCGGTTTGAGCAAGATGTTTGACGACATGTAGGTTGGTTTCCCTGACGCGGAACGAGTACGATGCTGACATGCAACCACTAGGCAAGACATCGCAACGCAACTTGTGCAAAAATGGGATCGCTACGGCCCAGACCAAGAGATTGAGCTCATCGGTGACATGTCCCGGCTGACCTTTGACACGATCGGTCTGTGTGCCTACGGCTACCGCTTCAACCAGTTCTACTCAGAGAAGCCGCACCACTTCGAGACCGAACTTAAAGAAGCCATTATCGAATCTGGCCGGCGCGCCAACAGACCCGATGTGCTCAACAGGTGGTGGTACTACAAGGACGAGGAGCACCGGCAGGAGAACATTGTCAAGATACGCAGCCTGTGCGAAAGCATCATCCAGGAGCGCATCGATCACCCGAAGCCCGATGCGAACGACTTGCTCAACGTCATGATCCACGGCATCGACAAGGAGACTGGCGAGAAGCTGGGTTTCGACAACGTCTGCTATCAGATCCCCACATTGCTTGGTGGAGGGTACGAGACGACTTCCTCGACGCTTAGCTTCCTGTTTTACTTTCTTTGTGACACTCCACAGGCCCTTCGCAAGGCGCAGGCCGAAGTCGATGAAGTCATTGGAGATAAGGTTCTCACGTACGACATGCTCCCCAACCTCAAGTACCTGGACGCATGCATCAAGGAGACCTTGAGAATGCAGCATCCAGTCAGTCTCCTGACTAGATTCTCCACAAAGGATACTGTGATCGGCGGCAAGTACTTTATCAGGAAAGGCCAGATGGTGTCTGGCATCTGGAGGCACTTCCACCGCGACAAGAATGCCTGGGGCGAGGACGCGGACGTGTATAGGCCCGAAAGGATGCTGGATGCCGAGTTTCAGAAAATGCCGCCCAACGCGTGGAAGCCGGTAAGTGCCGATCATAAAACCCTCGCAGGTCTAAGGTGGCGGGTTACACTGGCTGACATATGATTGCAACAGTATGGCGACGGCCTCCGTGCCTGCATCGGTCGGGGCTTCGCCGAGCAAGAGATGCTCATCTGCTTGGCCATGGTGCTGCAGAAATTTGATATAGAGAAGGTCGATCCCGACTACAAGCTCCAGCTCAAGGGTCAAATGGGCGTCAAGCCGATCGACCTTTTTATCCGCGCTCGCCGCCGACCTGGCGTAAGTGCCAACGTGGGCATCCCTGGTGGCCAGTATGGCAGCAAGGGCAGTGGACTCCAGGCTCCATCGGCCAAGCCAGCTTGTGTCCTCCCTGTCGATGGACCTCTCAAGCCGATCTCGGTCCTCTGGGGAGGCAACCAGGGGACCTGTGAGAGCTTAGTCGAATCACTGGTTCGCATGGCACCAAGTTACGGGCTCAAGGTTGCAGACATCAGGGACCTCGACTCTGCCGTAAACGCACTGCCCAAGGACATGCCATGTGTCATCATCACACCTTCCTACGAGGGCAGAGCTCCGTACAATGCACTCAAGTTCGTTGCCTGGCTCGACAAGCTGGCCGCCGAGGCCGACCTCGGCGCTTCTGATGAGAGCCGGCTCGCCGCTGCCGGTGTCGATTTCACAGTGTTCGGCGCGGGCAACAGCGACTGGGTGCACAGCTTCCACCGTATCCCCAAGCTCATCAGCACCCGCCTGCAGGAGCTGGGCGGCCGGCTCGTTTTTGAGCCTGGCTATGCCAATGTCAAGCGAGAACTTCTCGGCCCTTGGGAGGAGTGGAGTGATAGACTCTGTTTGACCCTTTCGTCCTCTGGTGCAACTCCCAAGACGCGGCAGGTTGAGCAGACTGCGGGCGTCGAGGTACTTATCACAAAGCCGACTTCCACCAGCATTGGGGCAGCCAGCCAGAACGACATAGTGTCTCGGGTTCCTGCCATCTCTCACATCGGCGGGACGGTTGGAGATCCAGTCGAGCTTTGTCAAGTCACAGCCAACTACGAGCTCGCACCAGCAACAGGTCTCGGGCAGGCCAAGCGGCACATGGACGTTCTTTTGCCGAAGGGGAGCACATACAAGACGGGCGACTATCTCGCGGTGCTTGGTCGCAACTCGGACGAGACCGTCTCTCGCGTCCTTTCGCGCTTTGGGCTCAACGAGGACGATCTTATCAGCGTCTCAGCTAGCAGCAAGGCGTTTCTGCCAACCAATCCTACACCGATCGGGCAGTTCCTACGTTACAACGTGGAGCTCGCGCTCCCAGTCACACAACGCCAGTTAGTGATCCTTGCAGCTTCTGCTGCGGCATCGTCTCAGAATGAACCTGCAGAGGTGGCCAAGCTTACCGCCTTGCATTCCTCGGATGAGGTCTACCAGTCACTCCTCGACCGACGCTTCTCCGTCATCGATGTCCTTGACGAGGTTCCTTCCATTGTAGTGCCATTTGGAGTGTATTTGGACATGCTTCTCCCTCTAAGCACGAGACTATACTCCATTGCCAGCAGCCCGCTCGCACCTGGCTCTGCTCCTTCAGAGAGTAGCAATGGCCGTCTCACAGCCAGCTTGACCGTGGACATCTTCCAAGCACCCGCAATGAGTGGTCACGGTGTCTTCCATGGCGTAGCTAGCGCCCACCTTGCACACTTGACTCCTGGCTCCCAGGTACTCGGCGCTGTCCGCAGAACTAAATTGGCATTTCAGCTACCCGAGAAGAAGGGCACACCAATCATCATGCTCGCTGCGGGTTCAGGCATTGCTCCTATGCGTGCGCTTTTGCAGGAGCGTGCGGCGCTGGGCCTCGAGAAGAAGCAGAAGCAACACAATGCGCCATTGCTTGTCTTTGGCTGCCGCAACGAGAACCACGACTACCTCTACCGCTCTGAGCTTGAGCAGTGGGAGGCTCAGGGCCATGTCGAGGTCGTACCCTGCTTTTCGCGACCCGGCGAACAAAATCTAGATACTATGAATGCTAAGAAGCCTGCCGGGGGCGTGTATGTGCCTGACAAGATGTGGGATATGCGCGATCGGCTATGGGAGCTTGTGGAAGAGAAGGGGGCAAAAGTCTATATCTGCGGCAGCGCCGCGAGGCTTGGTAGGTCCTGCGCTGAGACGTGGAGGAGGATCTGCATGGAGAAGACGGGCAAGAGTCTGGACGAGGCTTTCGAGTGGTTCGAGGAGATCAGCCAGCGGCAGCAGTACGTCAGTGATCTGTACTAAGCAGAGATAGTCTATTTGGCTTGAAAGGTCTTTCAGCAACCTGCGTTTCATCGCAGACGTCCAACATCTCGCGGCTATTGTCAGTTCGTAGAGTGCAAGGAGATGATTTCTTGTCCACAAACAAATACGTTGTAGCAATTGAATATCCATATTCTCGCGACCAGCAATTTTCATACGAGTCTTCAAAAAGATGGACCTTGGCAAGCCATGTTCGTATAGCATTTGATATCGCAAGTATGAAGACTCGCACGGATACCATATTTTGGAGCTGACCACCCCAAGGCGATTGAGCAGTCTCGTTTCTCTTCACCTCGCAGACTTTCTGGCACATGAGCATCCTCATCCCTGCTCGAGGTCATCCGCCCCGCCCCACCGGCCGCCTCGCCTCGCCGACAAGGGGTGCGAATAAGTCGGTGTCTTATGTCAGCCAACGCCGAACGGCCCAAAGTCAGGCTGTTCATACCCCAAGCTTCGGCGTTTCAGTGGAATAGCAATACGCAAGCAGTTGCCGAAGGCCATTCGAATGCCGCAATCCCTGGCAGACACACAGCTTCCATCACCGCTGAGCAAAAACGAAACAACCGGTGAATCTCATGAGAGGATGGGCCGATTAAACAGGTCGTACCACCATTCTTGTTCCGCGGCACAGTACCAGGCTCTTCCGGAGGAGGTTGAGCTCACAGTTACTCCGATAAGGATTACCAACAAGTCGCACCGAGCCAAGAGAATCTTTGACGGCATTTTGATCGCTTTCAGCAGCCTCGGTGCGCCATATATCTCCGTTGCTTGATCAGCGGCTGGCAGATGACAAAGTCTTGATACATCAAAAGTGTCCGAAGACGGGACAACCGTTTGTACTTCTGCCGTCTTCCATCGAGTGGACCTTGCTTTCTTTGACAACACTTCCTTGCTACGCTGAATCACCACTCAAACACTTGACTTGAGGTGTAGCTGCCCCCAGGCCCAGCACTTGACTGTATTATCCACAACGCAAGCTCAACAACGAAAGACACATCTCCGCAGTAACCATGGGGTCTACCTCACCAGTCAACTTTCCCCTGATTGACCTTGGCCCGTACCTCAAGAAAGGTGCAACCCCGGAGGACATTGCAGGCGTCGTAGCCGAGGTCCGTGCCGCCTGCCAGCAGTTTGGCTTCTTCCAGGTCAAGAACCACGGTGTCCCTCTGGATTCGCAGTACGCCCTGCTCGACGCGCTCAGAAACTTCTTTGGTCTCCCGGCTGAGGAGAAGGCCAAGCTGTCTTTCCTCGAGAATCCTGGCAGACGCGGCTATGAGTCATCTGGCATGACTGTTCGTGTCGGCGACAAATTGCCTGATGCCAAAGAGGTAAGCGCAATCCTCTTCGTCCCATCTCACTAGCCGAGACCTCCGTTGTCGTGATGGAAAGTAGTTGACAATATATGGCCAGGCCTATTACATCGGCCGCGAGGAGCCCGTCGTCGTCCCTCCTGGCTTCCACTGCCCCAATGTCTGGCCGTCTCAGCTGCCCTCAGACAAGTTCCGCGACCCGGTGTGGAAATACTACGAGGAGACAGGCCACCTGGGCCGCACGATCTGGGAGATCCTTCTGCTCGGTCTGAACCAGGACCCCAAGCAGATAATGGACAAGTTTACGAGCCGCCCCATCGTGCAGATGAAGATGATCCGCTACCCGCCCTTCAGCACCACCTCCCCTGGTCAGTTCGGCGTGGGTCCGCACACTGACTTTGGCGGCGTGACTGTGCTCCTCCAGCAGCCTGGGAAGGGCGGGCTCGAGGTTTTCTATGAGGAAACACAGGAGTGGCTCGCCGTGCCCTCGATCGAGGATATCTACATTATCAATTGTGGCGACATGATTCAGTCGTGGTCGGGAGGTGTGTATCGCAGCGCCAAGCATCGCGTTATCAACCTCCCCGAAAACGGTGACCGGCTCAGCTGCGCCACCTTCTGGCACGGGGATGTCGACGCCACAAACCCCATGAACCCAGACGATCCGGACAAGTCGACGATTGGACAGCTGCTGTATAAGCGGTTTGGCAGTCAGTTTTCGCTTCGCAAGGAGGTCTTCGCAAAGGCTTAAGGATTCAGGGCGGATTCCAATGTCTCTCATACTGGCGATAGTAGTAGTTGTAGCTTTTCAATCGAATCGAGATTCTTGGCTTCGCGATTTGTTTTCTGGTCAAGCTTGTGTCGCAGTTGATGGTTGCTCACAATAGGACCCAGTGAGAAGGATTTCATGGAGACACAAATTTGTCAAAGAATTTTGGATTTATCTCTTTAAAATATCACCACATCAGCATGACCATATCTCGAGCAGATGCTGTAGTCTTTCTTTGCAGCGAAGCAAGGTCCCTTGGTGTTCGTTATTTCGTATAAACATTTCACGAGAGAACGATCCAATGCCGTCGTGCTTCTCTTTACCACTGAGCTAATCGCATGCGCCCACTCACAGGCGGGGCAGTTGATAGATATTCCTTGCCCAGCAGACCAGGCCAAGAATTGCATGTTTGTGACCGTGAGGGTAGTCAAGTTCTTAACCTCCTCGAGATTCGCCGACTTCTTGGCCAGGTGTGAAGTCACCATAGAGCCTGGCAGGACTATCATAAGTTCAGGTTTTTCTCAGTAACCACCGACGCCTGCAAACTCGTGTGCAGGCAATTCCTGGCGTAGTGACCGTTGGTCCCACCTCGGTAGGACACTAGCCGCTCTCATTCTCAAAGCGAGTTAGGAGGAGCGGACTGACGATTACAAGCTCACTGGCATGGTGGCCGACCCTCTCGACCTGGTATATGCAACTGGCTTCTCGAGCACGGTTGCGACACAAAACTCATACTTCCTGCTTAAATCAAGGTCATGCTGCAGTAGGGACATATACAATTAGTCCTCCACTCGTTTTTTGTAGTCTGTTTAGTCGATAAAATTAATTGTTGGAAGCTGCAGAATTCTTAAGGGGAACCGGCGGCTCGCAAATGGTGCCAGTCATAGAGGCTTACATTGCATATGTTCGATCCTTGGCCAAGGCCTGAGCGGTTGGCGGCAGCACATTCGCGCGAAGCTTTCCCCCCGACCAGCGGAGTCAACTCTGCTTAAATTTGAGCATGCGACAGCGAGACGCGGCTGGGGTTAACTTTGATGAGGCAAGTGTGCGTATGGATGGCGGTAGGAGTAATTGACACTGGCTGTGAACATGACAGAAGGACGCTATGACGGTGCGGTCAATAGTTCACCGGACGACGATGGTGGACCATTCAGAAAGAGGTTCTTCTGATAGGCTCAGTTGTGGCCATTATTGATCGTCACACGAATAGCCTGACTCAATGTCAAGGCCCCGGGGTTGCGAGTGGCGTGGTACAATCGCACACAGCGGAGTCTCGGTGACCACCGGCTCCCGACAATGGCTCCCTATGCTGAAACACCCAGACGTGCATATGGCTGGTGTGCTAGGGCGTTCAACCACGCGGCGAGAATGTTCATGCTTCGCAAGGCAGAGAATGTACCACATGAAATAAGGGCTCACATTTTCCAACAACGATGAATACAGAGCAGTTACGAACTGGTTCCACGCAGCCAAAAAATATTGATGGAGATGATCGTTGTCTCGTTTATTCTGAAATTTCTATTTTATTTTCCAATGAAACCCCGCGAACGCCTCGCAAAATGACAAACCACCTGGAAACCTCTCCTATGTTACATCAAGCATCCTCAGTGAACGTGAGCAAAATATTGCACGCTGATCCAAAACATAATTTAATCATCTTCCCGAGCATTTTTTCTCAATGCAATCACCGCCAAGACATGAACCTCTCGCCCTCCTCATTCTCCACAGTGACCTCCTGCCCAGTCAGGAAGTGGTCGAAACCGAGCCTCTTGATGACGCCAATCCACTTCAACCCGGGCATTCTCTCGAGTGCCCGCCCCCCACGGTGCTGCTCGAGGTGATCCCGCAGATCCTTGACCTGCACAACGACTCTGCTCTGCCACGTGCTCACTTGCACTGCCACATTGCTGTTGCTTTCACCACCAGCAGGAGAAGAAAGCAAGCATCCAAGCACATCGTTCCCCGCGACGTCGGTGGGCGTCATATCCAGCCGGCCCTCCCAGCCCCTCATGTCTGGCATGAACCCGGACTTGTCAACCATCTGCACGAACTGGTCCAGGATGGCCTGCTCGGTGAGCAGGCTGGGCCGAGCGGCGGGCGCAAAGCGATGGATGTGCACACGCAAGGAGTTGCTGCCAAAGTGCTTGGCGCTGCGCTCGAGGAGGACCTCGCTTGCCCAGCGGGTCGCGACGTAGCCGTTGGAAGTCCCGCTGCCTGTCTTGTCATTGCCACCATCATGTCCTGTGGCTGGGGCCGAGGAGGGGGAGGGGAGTGGTGGATAGGCGGATGCCAGCAGGGACGGCGGGACTTGTGGCGCGAAGCGAGATTGTTTGGCGGGCGGGGGAAGCACCTTGGGCAGCACGGCGACGGAGGAGATGTAGTGCAACTCAACACCGTTGCGGACTGCGGCGAGTTTGATGAGCTCGCGAGTAGGATCGACGTTGGCGGCGCGGAGCAGGTGGTACGGGTCCCAGAAAGAGCGAGCCGCGCCCATGTGCAAGATGACGTCGATGGTGGTGGCCAGCGTGGAGAACTGGGCTTCCGTCAGGCCGAGGAGAGGCTGAGTCAGGTCGCCAGGATAGATGGTGAGCTTGTCCGAGTTGGCAATGAGGAGGTGGGAGAGCTTGCTTGCGTCACGAACCGCGACGCAGTGGACATGGTGGACGTTCGGGTCGGCCAGGAGGCGAGGTAGGATGTGCTTGCATCCTAGGAAGCCAGACGCGCCAGTGATCAGTATGTTTTTCTTGCCAGTGACAGGGCTGGCGTTGGCCTTGAGAGCCTGGAGGAACTCGGGCAGGACGGGAGGAGTGGTCTCCTTGTCCCAATTGATGACCTTCTCTTCAACCTTGGTGTTGGCCTGGATGAGCTGAGCCATCTGACCCAGAGACTTGGCATTGAGGAGATCGACGAGACGGATGGTCACATTGAAGGCTTGGCGGATGCGGGCTTGAAGACGAATGACCAGCAGAGAATTGCCGCCGACCTGGAAGAAATTTGTCGAAGGGCCAATGCTCATGACGGGGGCGTTGGAGTCCTTGGTCGAGTTGCTCTTGAGGACATCTTGCCAAACACCCTCTAAGATGGCCATCGTCTCCGACACAGCGGCATACTGCTCATCACCGCCACCGCCAAGGTTGTCGACAGATTCGGAAGAAGATGTCTGGTCTGGCAGAGGCATGGCGGCGATGGCTCGTCGGTCGACCTTGGAGTGATTGGTCAGTGGCATGCTTTCAAGCACGACAGCCATAGCAGGGACCATGTATTGCGGCACGGGAAGGCGGGCGAACAGCTCAGCCATGTAACCCTGCTTGTCCGTGACATCAGCAGAAGGGGAGAACACGGCGTGCGCCACGAGGAACTGGTTGCCACTGTCACTCTCGCGTAGAGACACAACGACCTTGCCCAGGGCACCTTCGGCGCAGGAGAGGATATTACTCTCGATATCGTCGAGCTCGATCCGCAGGCCACGGATCTTGACCTGGTTGTCACCAGCCATGCGGCGGTGGAAGACCATGGCGCCGTCCGCCTGCAGGTGGCCAATGTCACCAGTCCGGTACATCCGAGTCCATCCTTGGGCGGCGTCCTCGTTGGTAGCGAATGGGTTCGCGACAAAGTGCTTCTCAGTCAATACTTTGTTCTTGACGTAGCCATTGGAAACACCAGCGCCACCAATGCAGATCTCACCAGGCATCCCAACTGGCAGGGGACGGAGTTGGGAATCAACAATATAAGTGAAGTAGTTTGGCAGGGAAAAGCCACAGGGGATGCGACCAATGTCCATGGCCTCGTGGTTTCGGTAGTCGAGCTCCATCTTGGTCGAGCTGATTGAGATCTCCGTGGGGCCGTAGGAGTTGTAGACGTGCAAGTTGGGCAGTTGGAGCGCTGCGAAAGAGTCGGTGACGAGCGGAGACATGGACTCGCCTCCGCCAAAGGCCGCACGCCAGGAAGTCGCGCCACCCAGTTCACCAAACTGCATCCAGAGAAGGTACTCGGAAGGTGTTGCCTTGGTGTAGGTGATCTTGTGCCTAGTCAGGAGCTTGGTAATTTCGATCGGATCACCGCGCTTGTCAGACGGCACAATGTAGACGGTGCCGCCATTGGAGAGGCCAGTGTAGATCTGGTCGGATGAGTGATTGAAAGTAAAGGCGCTCTGCTGAAGCACACGCTCGGCGCCGAGCTTCCACTGCTTTGTGTATCCCTCAATCTCATTGCGCAGACCAGAGTGGGTGACTTCGATGCCCTTGGGCGTACCGGTAGATCCAGAGGTATACAGGATGGCAGCAGGCTGTGGACCTTGGGAGATGTTCTCAACGTGACCCTGGGGCTCGTACGACAGACTGGAAACATTGACGACGGCGGCGTCAGGGACGTTGAGCTGGGACACATCTGCAATGGTGGTTTTGTCGGCGAGAATGGCGGCGGGCTCAGCATCGACGGCGACAGTGGCAAGACGGGGCAAGGGGTTCCTAAGGTCGAGTGGTACGTAGATGGCACCAATGCGCATAATGGCGAGCATCGAACAGACCCAATCCGCGGCAGCGGTCTGGAAGACGAGCACACGAGAGCCCAGTCCGACGTTGGATGACTTGAGGGCCTCGGCAATCGACTCGATGCGCTTGATCATCTGTCCATAAGTGAGCTCGACTCCGTGGTCGTCAACGACTGCAAGCTTGTCGGAGTTGGCGGCAGCGATCTCGTCGATGCGGAGGGACAGGGTAGCAGGCCAGTCAGATTTGATATCAAGCCCTGTGGGGATCACGTTAGTTGATACCATCACGTCTTGCTGGGGTAGTCACTTACCGCGTCCAACAGTGGTCCCAAGCTTGAGCTGATCCTCTGAAAACTGTGGGGTGTTCTTCAGAGATAGGTAGCTCTTGCTCGAAAGCACATTCAAGAAGTGCAAGTAAGTGTCCATGACGAGATTTGCAGCACCCTCATCGTAGAGGCCCTTCTGGGTACGGAACATGATGATTGCATCATCCTTGCCGTCAGTCACATCGAGGGTGATGTCGTAATTGGTACGTCCAGGGTGAACCTGCTGGAACTTGAAGTGCACATTGCCAAATGGGTGTTCTTCCTGGGCACCCTGGCGGTAGTCGAAGAATGCCTGGAAGAATGGGTTATGGGTCGACGAACGGGCTACATTGAGCTCGTTAAGCAATACATCAAAGGGCAAGCGGGAGTTACTGAGAGCCGCGTAGGCGACATCGCGCGCCTCAGCGACCGCGGCGGAGAACTTCTGATTAGGGTTGCGGCGGAAACGAAGCGTGAGCAGGTTGAGGAAAAAGCCGATCGAGTTGTCGACATTGCCCACGGCACGGTTGGCGTCAGCGATTCCAATCGTGAGATCGTCGGTATCGGCAAAAGAAAACAACATGGCCTTGTACGCAGCCAAGTAGAAGTGGAATGGAGTAGCGCGCTGAGATTTGGCGACGGCCCTGATGCGAGCCAAGAGCTCAGAATTAACGCGTCCGACAACCTGATGGACGCCGAAGCTCTTCATGGTAGTCCTGGTAGTGGTGCGAGACATGGGGAGAAGGGGCAGAACGGGAGGAGGGTCATCAGCAGGGAAGACGCTGCGCCAGTAGTTGAGTTCGTCCTTCATGTCCCCGTTCTCGAACGCCTCTCGCTGGGTGCGAGCGAAGTCAGGGTACTGGCGGGGCGATGGGCCGAGAGACTGGCCCTTGTAGGCCTTTTCGAGATCGGCTAGAAAGACTTGGAAACTGACGCCGTCCATGATGATGTGGTGGTAGTTGAACAGGAAGTAGTGCGAGGTGGGAGACAGTGAAAGCAAGACGAGGTCGAGGAGCTCGCCCGAGGCGAGGTCAAAAGCGTGCTGCTGGATCTTTGCGTACTCTGTGGCGACCTCATCCACAGAGCTGATCTTCTTGTGTTGCAGGCGGATGGACGAGTTATGAAGAACCTTCTGATACGCCTGGTCAGCCCTAGTCTCATGCTCAACGAAGCAGGTGCGCAGCGCCTCATGGCGTGCCGTGACCATCCGGACCGCGCGCTCGAGGTCGCCGATCCGGATATTGCCGTCAACGTGGTAGTAGAAGGCCACGTTGGAGGTCGTGGCATCTTCGAGGAGAAGGCGGAGGAACCAGAAGCGAGACTGACCGAACGAGATGGGCTCACTCTTGACGTAGGTCTTAGGCGCGGGCTTGGGAGCAGTCGCAGAAAGACCTGATTGGGCAGGGGACGCAGCTCGATTGCCAGTGGCGGTGGTCAATGCCTTCTTGGAGAAGTAGTCCTTGCGGCTCGGCGAGGCGCCGCGCGACGACAAGGCAGTGGCCGGGGTGTCGGCCGGGCTGATGCGTTTGTCAGAGTCCCCAGCACTGGAGACGGGCGACGAGGGAGTACCCGAGGCTGTGGAGGCCGGGCCGTTCTGGGGCGGAGGCACGTTGATGGCAGCAGGCTTGGCAGGTTCAGCCTTCTCAAGCGGCCCAGCTGAAGGCGAAGAACCCAGAAGATCCTCGGGCAGCTTCTCAAGAGCACGCTCGCAGAGCTCAGTGACCGAGGCACCGCCCACGACCTTGAGAACAGGAATGTCCACCTTGAGCTCCTTGAGGAACCACGAGCGGACCTCGACGGCAACCAAAGAGTCGACGCCAAGTTCGACAAGAGGGGCTTCGGGGTCCAGGGCACCCTCGCTGAGCTGGAGGATGATGCGAAGCTTTGAAGAAAAGCACTCTGTAAAACGGCACTCGTTAGTCACTAACCCCAAACCATTTCCTCATTAGCAACCATCACTACTCACCTTTGAGCACCTCGAGCGCGTCCTCCTTAGTTGTGACTCGAGCGAGCTGCTCCGTGACCGGGAGCGTGTTCTTCTTGCCTTGAGCGCTGGTGTCCTCTTCCGCTCCCTTGGCTTCGATAATGCAGTGCGAGAAGCGAGGGTTCTCGAACCAGGGACCTTGGATGTCTTCATCATCCCGGATCGTTCGGATACCGGTCGTCACGACGGCCTCGGGGATGCCAGTCTTGTCGCTGGCCGATGGGAAGCCGGCGTAGATGGTCTCGGCAAACATCTGGCGGAATTCCGTCTCGTTGATGGCCATGAGGCCAAAACGAGTAAGCTGGTCCATGACGGCCTGACCGGCGGTCTCGACATAACCGATACCGGCGACGCGGCCGATGTCAAAAGTAGAGGCGGCGAGACCGCGACGGCGACGCTGGCGAGCCAGAGTGTTGAGGTAGCCATTAGCAGCGGCATAGTTGGACTGTCCAGAGTTGCCAATGACGCAGGCAGAGGACGAAAAGAGGACAAAGAAGTCCAGGACGTCATCGCGGAAGACCTGCTCGAGATTGTTGGAGCCATCGATCTTAGGGCCAAGGACCTTCTGCATAATGTCAACAGACATGCCCGAGAAGAGGCAGTCGTGGAGAACCATGGCACCGTTGGCGACACCAGCGATGGGAGGGCACGTCTCCTTGATGGTGGTGACGACCTTCTTGAGGGCACGCTTGTCCGTCACGTCGAGAGAAAAGACTTTGACGGTGGCACCAAGGTCCTTGAACCCATCGATCCAGCTCTGTTCGATCTTGGGGTTTCGGGACGTAAGGCAGACTGTACCGGCGCCTTCAGCAACCATCCACTCAGTCAGAGACTGACCGATCTGGCCAGTGAGGCCAACCAAGAAGTAGGTCTTGTCGCGAGAAAAGAGGCGCTTCGCGTTCAGGGGCAAGACATTGACCTTGAGCTCGCCTTTAGCGGGCCATTCCACAGTGGTGGTTGAACGGACAAGGGATGAGGACGAAGCATGAAGCTGGCCCAGCGGTGTGGCCGGCACAGCACCATCAACAACGACAAGACTGGCGGCAATGGCCTCAAGCGTCTTGCCTAGGTCGCTGTCCCTGGCACTACCCGTAGGAAGCGTGGCCTCGTGGCGGGCAAAGTCGGTCTCGCTGAGGGTCTTGAAGCCCACGGGGAGGACCTCACGGATCGACTCGCTCAGCAGGGCGGACTGCGAGATGCCGCTGCTGGCAGTCAAATCCAGGAAGTGGGTGCCGCGGACTGGCAGCAGGGCGCGACGTACGACGTGACGAGGCGCACGCGGGTCGAGCTGGATCCACGTCTCGGCAACCGCGTCATGGGAAGTCACCTCCTCCGTATTGGTGGCGACAGTAACGCGAACCTTCTTGGCCGCAGCCCGACGCGTGATTGCGGCGGTGAGGAGACTGTGCTCCGCAGGGGAAGCAAGTAGAACAAGACTACTGCCAACGGGGAGGCTGGCGGCGATGGCCTGTGCGACGAGCTCGCTCTGGGCGGCTGCCAGGACCTTCACAGCAGGAGCAGAGATCTCGACAGGGACGCTGGCAATGGGGGCAGCATCACGAGAATTGGTCTCGGACAAGGCGAGCACGGTTTCGCCAGCTTGAGTGCCAACAGCCAGATACAAGTAAGCATGCGCGGAGGACTGCAGAGCCAGCAGACTCGAAGCCTCGACACGAAGCAGGCTGCTACCCTTGCCCGCAGCGAGAGGATACAGATCCTGGACAACGCTGATGTTGGGAGAGCCCGTCTCCTCGTCGATCGGGGTGACCGAGATGGAAATGTTTGGCGAGGCCGCCTTGCTCTTCTTCTCGTCAGCCAGCTCCACTATGCTGGTCATGCTGCGGCGGGACGAGTTGAGACGGGCGTTCTGCTCGGGGCGGTCAAACAGACGGGGGATCTGCAGCTTGCCGTTGCGGGTGAGGTACGTCTCGGGCTCCTTGGACCATAGGAACGCCTGCTGTCGCTGGGCACTAGCACCACCAGGGGTCTCCCACTCATCGAGAGCGCTCTGGCGGAGCAAGTGCTCGGCAATTGCCTTGGACAGGTTGTTCTGGCCCAGATCGGCAACGTCGAGATGGTTCATGCTGATGTGGCCCGCCTCGTGGGACATGGCGCGGGAGAAGGTGATGGACGCCATGTGGTAAGGGTTGTCGAGCATGGCGCTCTCAGTGATCCACAGGATGTGCCTAGCGATCTCGTAGAGGCGGCGCAGACCATCCATCTTGGCTGCAGTCATCGCCTTGAAGATTGGGTTGTCCAGATCGGCCATGTTGATGAACGTGCTCATGGGGCTGATAGCCTCGGCCTCGGCCTCGGTGGGCAGACCGCTCAGTACACTGATCTTTCCACAGTACCGAGCCAAGTGCTCAGAGATCTCTTCAGCAATCTGGGCGCTCTCGAGGCTGTTGCCGCCCAGAATGACAAGGTTGTCAATGTAGATCGAAGTGGCAGCTGGGGCCAGGGGCCGGCGAAGGAAGTTGATCGAGTCGTCCACGGCCTGCGCAGAGATGATGGACAGAGGCCAGGCTTCGTTGTCAATCTCAGGGGTGATGTTGTCAACGCCAGAGAAGCCAGCCTTGCGAAGGACGGTGTGCCACTCGTTGGGCGTGATGGTGGGAGCGTACTTGCGGCCGTCGTTGACGCCTAGCCACCAGCCGGACAGACCACCCATGATGTTGCTGAAGCGGATGGCGCCGTTGTTGGTGATCTCGAGAAGCATCAGGTAACCACCAGGCTTGAGCAGGGACCGAGTGTTCTTCAGGGTCTGCTCGAGCACCTCGGTGGCGTGGAGAACGTTGGACGCCACAATGATGTCGTACGAGCCAGTTTCATAACCCTGGGCTGCGACAGGCTTCTCGATATCAAGCACCTTGAAAGTCATCTTGTCCTTGAACTCCTTGAACAGCTCGCCAGCCTTCTCAAAGAAGCCAACTGACACATCGGTGTAAGTGTAAGACGAGAACTTGCGGCCGATGCTGCCAAGGACAGCTTTGGTGGCACCACCAGTACCAGCGCCGATCTCGAGAATGCGGCAATGAGGGTAACGGTGCACAATCTGCTCCATCATGCCCGCCAAGAACTCGTTGTACCGGGAGAATCCGAGACCCTGCTTGTAGAAGTCGTCGAGCATATTGTTGGGCAGCATGTGCTCGAGGATGGTCGTCTCGCCCCGAACAGCCGCAGGGATGTTCTCACCAACGGCCGAGATAAGCTTGATGTCGATGTTGTCCGGGTATTCGGCGATGAGCTCCATGATGTCCTCGCGAGTGTCCGAGATCCATTCCTTGCGAACGCAAGGGTGGGAGCCGCTGGCAGCCTCCTCAAGCACGTGCTCCACGTAGTCGCGAAGGCACAGGTGGTGAGGCTGGCTGCTTTCCCAGTCCTCGTCGCTGAGCTCATCGTCCCACTTGCGCACGTAGTAGTAGGAGATACGCTCGCACGCGGAAGCAAGGTCGATCTCTTCCTCGGTGGGCTTCTTCCCCGCAGTGACGATGGCACCATCACAGGAGGCAACATCCATCTTGGTGTACGAGAACAGGCGGCGGTCATCGGCTTCGGTGGCCGGGGCGAACGGCTTGATGGTGAGATCTTCAACCTGAACAAGAGCCTGCTCGCCCTCAGGATTGAAGATGTCAATGCTCGCCGAGAAGACCTTTGAGTCTACGAGGCTGGCAGAAACAGGCAGCTCGGCGGCAGTCCGAGACAGGGCGCTACACAAAGTCGGGTTGATGCGGATCGAGCGGATCGACGTCGGCACGTGGAGAGACCACAAACGCTCGTCTCCGGGAGCAGAGTAGGCCAGCATTGATGACTGGAACGCAACATCGAGCCAAGTTGGGTGGACGAGGTAGGTCGTGGCATCGAGATCGTCATAAGGGTGGCTGAGCACAGTGGCGGAAACCTGGTTCAGCTTGCGCTTCAGACCCGACAGAGTGCGGAAGTTGCCAGCATATCCGTATCCAAGCTTGGTCAGACCAGCGTAGAAGCGGTCGACATCAACGTCGGCCATGGTTGACGAATCAATGGGGGCAGACGCCAGCGCGTTGTCATCTGGCTCGCCATACACAATCCGGACGCGAGCGCTTGCCATCAGCTCCATTTCCTGGTCGACGGTACCACTGCTAGGAGCAGAGTAGCAAGAGAAATTGGCAGTCGTGTTGGGCACAGGAGTGCGGGAGGTCGTGATGGCAGTCAGCGTGACCAGAGTCTCGACACCAGCGTTGGAATCATCCTCGAAAGTGATGGCACGGGGGATGTTGAGATCCAGCAGCTCAATGGTCTGCAAGGGTTGCTCGCCGTTGGAATTGGCCAACAAGCGGGCGGCCTCGAGAGCAAGAGCGCAGTAACCCGCAGCGGGGAAGACACATTGGCCTTGCAGCTGGTGTCCCTCGAGCCAAGGGATCTCGGAGACCTTGAGCACGTTGTTCCACCGCCTCTCCCGCTCAGTCGAGTCTGGGCAGGGTACACCGAGCAGCTCGTGGAAAGCCTGAGTCCGGCCCCGGATCTTGCGCGAGCGACGGGACTCGTGCCAGTGCGTGCGAGAGTGGTTCCACTGGTATTTGGGAAGACCAGTCACCAGTTTCGGTGAAGCGCTGCTTCCAGAAGCCTTGCTCTCAAAAGACTGGAAGTCCACGGCGGTAGATCCCAGCTGCGTCCAGACGAATCCGAGCGCGTCCGAAAGAGCCTGGACGTCGCTCTTGCCACGGCTGAGAACTCCAGAGTAAGGAAGGGGAGCGGTGCGGACTTCACCGGCGTTCTGGAGCGCGGGGCCCTTGAGGGCCGGGTGAGGACCAACCTCGAGGGCGTAAGTCAGCTCCGGCTCGCTGCTGACGGCGTTCTTGACGGCACTGGCAAACAGCACAGCGTTGACCATGTTGTCCCTCCAGTACTCGGCGCCGAGATCAGCACCGCCACTGACAGGCTCGCTCGCGGGGCGGACACTGGAGAACCACTTGGGACTGCCCTGCTTGGGAGTCTGGACAGAGACACCACACTGCTTGAGCGCGTCGACGTATGCTTCGCCACAAGGGACCATGTGCTGTGAGTGGTATGCCGTGTCGACCTTGAGAGCTCTGGCAAACTTCTTCTCCTCGTCAAAGACCTTCTTGGCGTGCACAATCGCCGCCGCGTCACCCGACAAGGTGACACTGGCAGACGAGTTGTGTGCCGCGATGGTGATCTTGCCCCTGAATGCACGGAGATTGACAAGCTCCTGAGCGTCTTCCCATGAGGTACCCACCGCCATCATGGAGCCTCGCTCACGCAGTTGCTCTTCAGCGTTGATCAACTTGCCTCCAGCCAGCTTGGCAAAAACTCCACGGAAGTAGGCGACACGGACGGCATCACGGTCAGAGAGGAAGCCGGCCGCATAGGAAGCGCCAATCTCACCTGAAGAGTGGCCGACCACAGCACTGAAGTCGATCCCAGCAGCGCGGAGGAGATCAATCAGTACAATCTGGACGACAGTACACAAGGGCTGAGAGAGAACAGCCTCGCCGATGCGGGAAGTCTCGGCGCCGGCAAGCAGCTCGTCCTCGATGCGCCACTGGGGGCGGTGCTCCACCATGGGAATCGTATCAAGGGCCTCCTGCAGGTCGAGGATCCGCTGGCGGGCAAATGCCGACGTCCGGATGAGCTCGGCACCCATCTGGGGCCACTGGGCACCTTGGCCGGTAAAGATGCCGAGCACTTTCGGAGGACCGCTGAGCTTGATGTTGGACCGCACACCAAGCAAGGTGCCAGGCACGCGCTTCAGACTAGCCAGCTTGTCGTCAATATTGTTGACGAGCTTCTCGACGGAGCTGGCCGGCAGGGCGAGCTTGTAAGGAAGATGGCTTCTGCGGGCCTGGAGCGTCCATGCCAGGTCACTGGGGCTTGTATCTGGATTTTCCTTAAGGTGCTCGGAGTAGGCTTCGAGCTGGGCGACCAGAGACGCCTCGGACGCGGCGGAGAAGAGGAAGGGTGTGAAGGTAGCGGTTTTGGTGGTCTCGGAAGAAGGTAGAGCAGCAGGTGTGGCAGGAGTGTACTGCTCAAGAATGGCGTGCGCGTTGCTGCCTCCAAAACCAAAGCTGTTCACACTGACACGACGAGGGACGCCCTCGGGCAGTTGGGGCCATGGCTGCAGCTCTGTGGGAACTTTGAGGCCCTTGTAGAAAGGTTGGATGGCAGGGTTCAGCTCCTCGAAGAGCAAGTTGGGCGGGATGTGGGCTGCATTGATGATGCCGACACCTTTCAGCAAGCCAGCAAGACCGGCAGCGCCTTCGGTGTGACCGATGACCGTCTTGACTGAACCAACGTAAAGCGGATCGCTCCCCTCCTGCTGAGTGCCAAAGCACTGCGCGATGGCGGCCGCCTCCTTGGGGTCGCCAGCCTTGGTACCCGTGCCATGGGCCTCGAAAAACTGGGGCCGATCCCAGATGTTGTGCTCAGGGTCCAGGCCAGCGTTGCGATAAGTCTTCCGAATGAGTGCGGCCTGCGCTTCGGTGCTGGGCACAGTGATGCCGTTCGAGTAGCCATCCTGGTTTGCACCGGTCTCGCGGATGATGCACTGGATGTGATCACCATCAGCAATGGCGTCACTGAGTCTCTTCAGAACAATGGCGGCAACGCCTTCTCCACGGGCGTACCCGTCGGCAGAAGAGTCCCACATGCGAGAGCGACCTGTGGGTGACAACATCTTCATCTTGCTCTCAAAGATGAAAACCTCGGGGCCCAAGATGACCTGGGTACCGCAGGCCACAGCCACACGAGCATCGCCAGTCCGCAGAGCCTGGACACCCTGGTGCACAGCAACCAGAGATGACGAACAGGCAGTATCGATTGTCATGCTCGGTCCGTGCCAGTCGAAGAAGTATGAGACACGGTTGCTGATGATGGCTCGATTCGTACCGGTGGCAAAGTACGTAGGGATGGTGGCGAGGTCTCGAAGCAGGGTGTCGTTGTAGTCCACACCCATGGTGCCGACATAGACGGCAGTGTCGGACCCGCGGAGATGCTCGATGGCATGGCCGCCACTCTCGAGCGCCTCGTACACTGTCTCAAGCAGGAGGCGCTGCTGTGGGTCGATCGAGTCGGCCTCGTTGGGTGAGATGTTGAAAAACCCCGCGTCGAAGACCTTGAGAGAGTCGTCATCGATCAGGTACGCATGACGGACATTCGTCGTGCCGTGGTGCGTGCCATCAACGTGGTAGTGCCCAGCAGTGTTGAATCGCGTGGGGGGGATCTCGGCGCAAACATCGCGAGGCTTGGCGATGAGCTTCCATAGTGATGAGGGAGAGTTGGAGCTGCCAGGGAACCGACAGCCACTGCCGACAATAGCAATGGGCTCGGGAGTCTTGGAAGCCATGTTCGGTGGTTACGATGGGGACGCTGAACTTAACAAAAAGACAGAGCCTATGTGATGCCGTGGTAGTGGTGCTGATGGCGATGGTGATGATGATGATGGTGGTGGCACAGTGGTTGATGTGCGAAGTAGTAGTTCAGATTCGTCGTGTGCTCTATCTTTGATGGTGTTGAGACCGATAACGCGTTGACGGTAGGAGACCTTAATCGATGATATGCATCTAGGCCTAGTGATGGCAGATACTTGCTCCGTTGCTAGATATGAGCAAACCTTGACGAGGTTGCCTTGTGTAAAGGGAGTTATGGGTCTCAAAGAAGCGTGTCTGAGTGCTGGATGGCATAAGTCAATCGGAATTGCGGTCCTGATATACCATGCAACGACTATATCATACACGCCAGAGCTTATACAGGACTGCCGATATGCGCTTGCTTGATTCGGCTAGGATGAATACGCGATGTTGGGGTCAACCCTGCACGGCGGGAGGCCGCGCTAGACGGCAGATACGCGACGACTTTCCCATAGTCATCACGATGTCCGAATGAGGGAGGTGGAGAGCATTGCCGAATGTGGTCGGGCGTCAACGGTCTTGCCAGCCTTCTCCCACGGCTCAGGGTCGCGGAGCGGGCCGACCTTCGCCGAATCGGTCTTGCCCATTGTGGAAAATCTGAGAAAGACCGCGAGTACAGATGCCACCGCTAGTCGATGTGGGACGACATACACTTTGAGATGGGTGGCGCGTGCTTGTCCGGGGCGGGTCGGTCCGCAGGGGCGTGTGCAGTGTTCCACGATATTCACCGATTGCCTTGCCCGCCGGGGTCGCCGAAGAGGTGAATGGCGTCAGAAGTGCTGTCGATGCCATCGTTCCAATGAGACGAACAGACGGGAGAGCAAGTAAAGGACATCATACACATGTCTTCTCGCTGCGAGGACATGTCAGCTTCTGCAAGCACTCTATCGTAGCTGGCCATTATTGACGGACACCATTTGGCATCTGATGAAACTCATGCAGCGCCAGAACGAGGCATGTTCCATGGTAATGCTTACGTGGCCTGCCTTGACTGTCGAGGTCTCCCTCGTGCCGAGCCTGTAAAACTTTCCACAAGGGTCATGATAGCAAACAAAGGCACCGAAAGGGAGGGGCCTGTCTGGAAACCCCCCTGCACGCTGCTGACCTAAGCATCCGCCGAACTGTCAGGGGCAGCTCGACAGACAGCGAAGCAGGCCCTTTCCCTGCAACGACCCCTTCCCCTTTCTGCATGGCTGGAACTTGGCACGACCGCAGACTGCCAACTTGGCCCCGACGCAGAAAGCACTAACAAAACAGCCCAGTGTCTGGCGCATGCAGCTGCCCTGCCGAGCACCTCTGGGTCGACGCCAAGGGCGCCATCGCCGCGTCCCCCAACCTAGGTACTTGCGGGTCTCAGGTGCTCGAAGCCGCTAAGGTCAGCTAGCTGCCGCAGGGCGCCATTGCGACTGGCGTGGGGCATGGGCCGGGATAACGTTGTGTTTGCCGATGTCAACGGCGATGGGCGTGCCGACTACCTGGCCGTGTCTCGCGAGAACGGCAGCACTCGGCTGTGGCTCAACGGCGGAGGGGCCGGATAACAGGTCCAACACGGCCAAGGTCGCGTGGTCCCCACATGGCACCATCGCCATGGGCGTTGGAGAGATGCGCAGGCCTGCATATTGCGGATCTGAGCGGCGACGGCAGGGCCGAGTGCATAGATGTCAGGTTTGCCACTTCTGCGTGTCGGCATGGCTGAACGGGTGCTAATGCTGCTGCAGCCCTGGGTGGCAGGTTATGGGCCGAGGTCATTCTGATTTCAAATTTACGAGTAATTCACGGCTTCTGTGCTAATTTATGGACCCGAAATTGCGGTCAAGAGCCTCTGCCCATGCTTTGCCCAACTCCTAAGCTGATGTAAGCAGCCGAAACAAGTCTGTGTGTTGAATGGTCGGCGTGAACATTCTGACAATCTGCCCTGGAGAGAATGAGGAGCTGGCAGAGGTGAGGAGGGGCTCGTTACTTGCTATCGGGAAAAGAATTGAGAGGAGGGACATGGCACTGTCAATGGACCAGATCGAGAAGTCCAGGGAGCAATGATGTGCCATAAACACCATTTATGAGACGGGCTATGGATGGCATGGAGGCCTGGTCATCGCGAATAGACCTTTCGATAAAGGCTACTGGAAGCTGACGCGTATCGGGATATGTAGATTCTCTCTGCGACGCAGGCAGGGGCTACGCCTGAAAGACTAAGCCTGTAAGAGTTTGAGGTTGCCCTATATTACTTCCCAATTGCAGATAACACTCTCGTGACGCTGGATCTTACTGCTACATATTCGTACTCTACATACTGACTCTCTCCCTGGCAGTCCTTGCCGGTATAGAACGTGCAAGCAAATGTCCACTGGCCGCCGTAATCGGGCCAATAGACCGCGTTAGCCGAGTGAGTGCCGGTATAGGAGTAGTTATAGCAACTCCTGGCTTGGATGGTAAACTCGGTACTGTACTTGGTGCAGCGGTAGTCGGTATAATATTGAATCTTAACTGGCAAATCGACAGAGATTGTTGGCTGGATATCTATAATCCCGAGGTCTTGCGCCGTAGCGTTTGCTAAAACTAGGCCAGAAAGGGGAGCGGGAGTGGGAACGGGGCTAGCAAGTGAGAGGGCCCAGAATAGACTTGAAGTCTGGATGGAGTAGGTAGGTAGCATCTTACCTAATTACTCAATACCAGTGTCTATTAGTAGCGGTTCAATAAGGTAATATCTTAGAGAGCTGAACAATACCTTTTAGTAATAAGGTTGGGCTTAGACAACAATGAAGGCAGGTGTAGTACGAAGATTGAGGATCCAAAGACCTACTGGAAGTAAGGGGCTTTATATCTATTACTGAAAGCAAAACCTTACCGCTTACGTCCCTCGGCTTATGCCTACGAAGCTGCATTTCCAAATGTTTCCAAAGCGATTTCTCTGTCTGCTAGCCTCATTGCCCAGTGAGATTGTTTGCTGGCGTCACTACCAGCGGGATCGCTTGCTGGCGTCACTGCTGCCGAGATTGCTTGTGGCAGTGATTACGCTGGTAATGACGCGAGCCAACATATAAATTACTAGAACTAACTCCAGTTCCCACTATCACCCACCACGGGCCAGTGCAACCCAACACGCTATCCGGAGGGCTTTGACCGGCCTGCCCCGCATTTATGGAGCATATGGCCCCAAGGAGTTTGACTGTCTTCTGGGGTGAAATAAGATGGTATAGTAGGTGGAGTCCTGAACCCCGAGTCTGAACCACCTAATACTCAGGATGAGCGTGGTAGTACTATCGTTGTAAGTGTGGAGACTCGTCCAATCGGAGTATCAACCGTCTAGTGCATGCAGGTTTTCGTGCTTGGCGCAATGGTCTATGCGTAGCAAGGACTGCTTCACTGAAAAGTTCCTATATCTATGTGTCTATCTAGAACATTGCGAAAATGATGGCTATGATTAGGTATTTTCTGAACCAGACCCTGTGCAGCCTAATCCGCCCCGCCCCACTATAGTATTAAGGTGAACATCGAAGAGTACATCCATGGGGCGTATGGACATCTGGGAGTTGATTTGAATCCAGGGCGGAATAAGACAGTAGGTCTACTAAGTTCCATTCTACATGGGCGGCTTTACAGGAAGACCAGTGCCAGACCCAGGACCAGGAGTAGGAGGGCGAACAACGACCTCGAGTCCGTTAGCGAGGAAGAGGTTCGGGCTGCCCTTGGCGTCCTCCACTCTACCCCGAACGGCGTAGCTGAGGACCGTCTTGTACAGAGTATCGACTGAGTCAACCTTGGAACCCAATCGGCTCTTGAGCGTGGCTGCGAAACCCGTGACATGCGGCGTGGCCTGCGAGGTGCCTGACAGCCTAGCGGTAGCCTTGTCCGACTTGTGACCGCACGATAGGATGTTCACACCGGGACCAAACATGTCGACGAGCTTGCCGTAGTTGCTACTGCGAGCACGCCAGAGTCTATTGCCGGTGTTGCCGGCCGACGCAACGGTAAAGACCTCGGGCACATTGGCCGGCCAAGCGTTGTCCACGTTCATATCGTCATTGCCCGCCGACACGAATACGGCCATGCCAGCCTTTTTCATCTCGAGGATCGCATCACGAATTGCTGCGCTGGTCGCGCCCTCGCCGCCAGCCGAGTAGTTGACCAACGACTTGTTGAGGCGCTTGTTGCGGCGCGCATGTTGATAGGCCCACTGGAAGCCCTCGAGCGTTTGCGCCATGGGGCCGTTACCTTCCTTATCAAGCACCTTGACTGAGATGATGTTGATCTGCTTGGCCACGCCAAATGTCTTGCCGCCAATGGTACCTGCCACGTGGGTGCCGTGGCCGGTCCCATCTACGTGATCCTCCGTCTTGATAAAGTTGGCGCCATAACCCGCTCGCTTCTCAAAGTCGCCGTGCGTGATGCGCACTCCCGTGTCCACCACGTAGGCCGTCATTCCTTGGCCCTGGCCGTCCTTGTAGAAGCGGTAGCTATCGGCGGCCAGCGGGGTCCCCGAGGTCCAGTTGAGCGACATGGAAACGAGACCCCAAGGCGCGTCGCTCTGAAGGAGTTCGTCACCCAGGCTGATGAGGTTACTGCCACCGGAACGGTCCTCGTAGTTCATGTCCTCGTCATCGATAGGCACCTGGTGCCCAATGCTGATGATCTCGTTCCGCTCGACGAGCGCCACGGGTGGGTGCGATGCGATGGCCTCACGGGTCGCTTCGTCGAATACGGCGGCGTAGCTTCGGTGCTCGTTGATCTCGTGTCGGCTCATGATGCCCGTCTCGCCTGTCGTCGGCGAAAGGGACACTCCGCGGCGAGCCAGCGCCCGACGATGCATGTCGTTCGCGAAGTCATAATGCGAGTCGATATCGGAGTCGTTAAGTCCCCGCTTGAGGGAGATAATGTAGCTTGCAAAGCCTGCTCCGGTGTCCTCGATGGGCAAAGCTGCGATGGAAGGGACAAGCGCGCTGAGCACGGCCAGAAGATTCTGTGGTTTGACCATGGTGACGGAAAGTTGCGCTGATTGAGGGATTTGAGAGGGGGCGTCTTCTGCTGAAATTATCGATCGGGAGCAGGCGAATTGAAAGAGATAGGAAATAAGGAAATGAATCACGTTTAGAAAATTGTGGTCAAGCTGTGCTTTGCAGTCTTTCTGCCTTTTAGTGTTGAGCAACTAGAACTCAGACAGCCACAGGAGCGCCGACCCTCATGTCTTATACGCTTCGGAGAAGTATCTTCAGGAAGTTCAACACCTCGTGCCCCTCGCGAAGGCCCTGCGAAGTCTACGGAATCAGCTGACCACATGGAATATCTTGGTCTTTGCCTCAATGGTAATCGCTGATCTCAGCCACGATGTCGCCAAGACTGCACGTCGACTATTTCATGGCGCCCTCGGTAGCTTTCACAGCCTCCCTTCAGCCCTGTCGTGCATAATGCAGGCATTGGCCGCTTATTGGCTCGTCTGCACCTGTTAGTAAAAAATTGCTTCAAACGCTTCCCATTGGTCCTTTGAGTGAGATGTTCGGGCAGAAAGGAATATCGTGATTGGTCGGAGACTGTGGGCCCTTGGGAATTTCAGGAGTGAGCTGAATCTCCTACCCACGTAAGTCTAAGCATCGTGCACAACGTCGGCGACCAGGCCCGCTATATCAGCACCTCGCACCCTCGACATCGTGTCCATGTCAGTCTCGCATTCGACTGCGCCGAGAATCCGATAATGATACCTTGTACACTATGGAACGTTACACCTTTTCCAGCCTTCCTACACCGTAGAGGCACTTAATTTAGCTAAGAGACACATAGTCTCGCCACGACGGCATCGACATTGGTACCTTGGTAAAACTGCCTTGTTGACCGAGAGTGGTTTTGAAAGGGGAATGTCGTCAAGGATAAACATCGTAGGTGTATTTCCGCGCAAATCTATTTAGAATATTAAGTGAAGCGTTAACCGCCTCCTTTTCCCCCAATAATGTTAATTTTAACAGTGTATACAGCATATAGGAGACGCAGTACCTTTGAATGATTCTGATGGCGAAACCAGAGGAACTCGTCCCAGACAGGAATTCCAAACGGCCTTAGTCTGTCCGCTACCGAGAAGTCCAAGCAAGGCCACAGCATGGTGGGATACATATCAACATCGCATTGCTGAAAGTTTACCCTTTTCCACGAGCGAACCATACCAGTACAACGAGCATGTACATGTCTTCTATGTTATAATGAATCATTGGATACTAGGCAAAAATTTCACGAGCGCCCATAACTAGCGACTTCCGCGCATTGCGCCGTTGGGCGAACGATACAAATTGTTGACTATTGGGCGGGTCCCTGCTAGTTATGTTTCGACCTGCTGACTAGGGTGGTAGAGCAGGTGCATGTTCTTGTTCTTCTCGTGCGTTCCAACATCTTCCGGGGTTTCACAAAGCTTCCGACCATACACGCGAAATTGCAGAGTGGTAACTGTACTCGGGTCGTCGCACGATGCACCTAAAACACTTTGCATAACTACCTCACATCTTTGGTCGGCCCTGTACTCCGCCACCACCGACCCCTCATCGGCCCGGAGGCTTTACGGAACTCGCCGATGTAATAGCCTAATAGACTGCGTCGGTCAAATTTGAAGAGCATGTGGCTCTGCTCGTAAGGCACCAAGGAGCAAGGATACCAGAGCGCCACATTTGCCATGCGGCTGAGGGTGCAACCATTGTGGATCACTTTGCGGGGTCTGATTGGTGCGATATCCTGCTGTGCAATGTTTTCAAAACCCCACTGCAGCCTTTCTCATGGGCGCCCACTCGCCAAGATCGGTGTCTCCGAACAGTGGACTTGTCGAAAATTGTTTCCGTACTCGGCCAGCACCATCAAAGACATAACTTTACATCCCACAGGCTCTCTTAGGAGGCTTTTATTTGAATGGAATAGCTGCTTAATCTGAAATAAAGGCGGGGGTTGGCTTTCCACGCTCGCACACTCCCCGCGAAGATAGTAGCTCGAGACTATATCATACTTCCACTTAACAACAAGTTCTCCCTGGCCATAGTACACACGGCATCAGCGGCCATGGAAGTGTGGCTTAGCGGTCGTATGATGCAGAGTATCGCCAAGGTGGGTGAGTGGGCAGAGGGGCTGGACTGAGACAACCCACCCAGCAGTTTGCATAATCGGGCGAAGCAGGTCATACACGCGGGGAGTCAAGGACAGGCGGGACGCTTACAGGACCCTGCCAGGGACATGAGAGCGATTACAGTGTCCAAGGGCCACAAAATGAGGCATTGAGTGCTAAAACTATAGGAAAGCGCAAAGGCTTGTAGAGTTCTGCCAGTCCCATTTGGAACTAACAGTTCCGCGAAATCTACTATGAATCACTATCTACGTACGCTTCAAATAGAGGACGAGCCAGCCCAGAGCGCGGTATCCAACTATAATAGCTAGTAGGATACCGACCCACTTGCCTTGATCGCCAGTGGAATAGCCGTAGTTTTCAAGAATGGCCTTCCCGTCAATCAAACACTCCCTGGCCATATCGCTTGGGTAAAGGCAGCTACACTCGCCTGGGCCGGACCCTGGTGTGACATCGCAGGAATAGTTCCTCGAGCCAAACTCGTTGACCATCATTCCCTGGAAGACATAGGCCTGGTAGTCGATATAGTGAAAGACGTAGCGCCAAAACGGGTTGAGCGTCTGTGGGGGCACGAGGAAGCCGCCCGTGCACATCCATAAGCCATTGGCGAACGCCGTGCCGGCCAGGGCGACGACGAAGTTGGGGACCAGGGAGCTGATGAGAACGACCAGAGACTCAGCTGCGATCAGGTCCAGGAAGAGCCACATGACCCAAGTGAAGAAAGCGTCGCCCGCGGGACGGAAGTTGGCCAGCCAGTAGGCTACGATGGAGAAGAGGATAGAGATGAGGAACAGGTAAGGGACGCCGGTGATGAAGTTGGAGAGCAGGAACGAGGTTGGACCATAGAGACCATTGGCGCGCTCCTTGACATAGAGTGCGCGATCTTCGAGGAATGCAGGAATGTAGGCGACGGCCATGAATGACATGAAGGCACCGCCGAAGAAGATGGCGTTGATGAAAGATTGGATGTTGCCCTGCGTCGGACTGAGGCGTAGCCAGACCGTCCCCATCATAATGGCCAGGCCCATATACATGGCAACGCGAATGCCGTAAGCAATCACGTCCCGGTAGGACTTGATAAGCGACCGATGGATCAGGGCGAGGAGGACAGACATCCTCCCGGCGGTAGCGCCGACCTGTTCCATGTCGGTCTCGCTCATATCAATGGGGTGAGAGTCGACCTCTTCAGCCAGCTCTGTGACGAGAGCCAGTGCAAGCTGTGACTGCCGCCACGACCAATGGACCCTGCTCAAGTGCTTGTCGACCTCATCTCGGTCGTGGGAGAAGTCAGTGTTGACAAGGTCGATGATGAATTCTGCCGGGTTCATGTAAAGCGGGATTGGCGCACCGCAGGCTGCAAAATACGACTGGATCTCCGAGGTGGGGCCGCTGTAGGCGACAGCGCCCCGGGACAGCAGGAGGAGCTTGTCGAACATGGCAAAGGTTGATGTGGAGGGCTGGTGGATGGACGCAATGACAATCAGGTTGTGCGCTTTGGCAATTGCCTTGATGAAGCTGATGACTTGCAAAGAGGCAGCAGAGTCGAGACCAGACGTGGGCTCGTCCAGGAACAGGAGCTTTGGGTTGGTGATGAGCTGGGCAGCGACACTGAGACGGCGCTTCTGCCCGCCAGAAATTCCCTTCCGGATAGGAGTCCCGACCAGAGTGTTCGCCTGATGCTGTAGACCAAACGCCTTCAGGAGGGACTCGATTCGTTGCATGCGTTCTGCCTTGCCGACCGTCGACGGCAGGGCTAGGCGAGTAGCAAAGTTGAGCGTCTCACGGACGGTCAGAGAACCGACAAGGGCATCTTCTTGCTCGACGTAGGCAGACACGCGGCGAAACGTCCTGGGATCGGGATCGCGACCATTGATAAACATGGAGCCCTGGATGTCCGCGGCCAGGGTTGAGGTACGTTGAGCTAGGACGTTGAGCAATGTTGACTTGCCGGACCCTCTGTAATCAGACAAAATGTTAGAACAAATTCATGGAGGCTCGTCTTAGTTGGTAAGACCATGACTTACGATGGGCCCATGAGGGCTAGCAGCTCGCCGGCTCTGACAAAGCCGTTGACGTCACTGAGGATCTCCTTGGGTTGCTTTGACTGGCGGTCGTTGACGCACACAGAAACGCCTCTCCATCCAAAGCTGCGGATGTCCATGTTGGTGAGCTGGGCATAGCTACCGCCTGCCATCATCTCAATGTCGGCCATTCTGTCGTAGCCTGCGCAGTTGCGCGAGTTGTCGTAAGTCAGGTAGAACTTGTGTCGGGACTTGGAATTATGTTGCACGGCAATAAGGTAAAAGTTAAGGTACAAGTGAAAATGGCCGGTCTATCGTACAGAGGTCCAGGGAAGGAGAACGACCAAGCTCATGGGCTGGTATTCCTCTTAAATGAGCTCTGTGCTACCCAGTATTCCTCTGTTCTCGACTTTTACTCATCTGACAGCCCTGCAATAAAGTATGCGCTAGTGCTGACAGCTGAGCCTCATGGTAGCTGAAAGTGCCGTAGTAGAGCCATATGATCCCACGCTGACGGTTAAAACTGTTACAGGTCGCCGAGGTCGCCGGTGTCGCCGGCTTTGCTGAAACCCCTGGTCACCCGCATGCGCCTCAGCCGAATGGGGCTTAGCTTCCGGGCGGGAGTTACATTCATGGTGCCATCAGCCGTCCGTATGAGGCTTAGCTTCCGGGCAGTTTGTGCATTGATGGCCGCATGCCGCCTTGGCGTCATCAGCCCTGGATTGTTGATGACCCTGAAATTGACGCCTCAGAACCACGGAATTACTCCTTTTCCAGCAGCTTGAGGGATGAGTCGAATGGGATTGAGCAGCCATTGAGGCTGTTGACCTTTGACTCCAAATTCTCAGCCACTGCAGTCCGATAATGTGAGCCGCCAAGTAGATTGACTAGTATGCATGTTTCACAATCACGATGCCCGGGATGCAAATGACAATGGAGCATGCCCAGGGCTGTGCTGCTGGGAGTGCCAGGGAAGATTTGCCCCTGCTTGGATTCTCTCTACTGCTGAACACCAAAGCACACATTGGCTGTGAGGAACCCAAGACACATAGGCCAATTATTCCGCTTCACCGCCTAGGCGATGTCACCGCATCCGAATTTGGCCATGCTCGCAACACATGGCTTGCTTATGACTCATGATGGTTGGGGACAATCCAACACGCCGATCCATTCTCTTGCCGACTTATGGCAGGGCCAAGAACAAGTCCCGCATCTTGGGGTAGTTGGGCGTGCCGAGACCAGTCGCGGGGTCCCACCTGTTATTGCGCGAGGACGCCAATCGTCAGCACAATTTGTTGGAAAGACAGCTACAGAAAGGGGGGAGGGGGTCTCTGCTTACCCAGGCACGGCCTTGAAGCCATCGGAGCCGCACCCGACATTGGTGCCATTGGTGATGTCGTTGAGCACTTCGGGATGAGCGTACAACACCGGGTTGATGAAGCCGATGGAGCGCTTGCCGATGCGCGCGCGGTCTTGGTTAAGCTGTGGACGAGAGAGCAGCATGTCAGCAAAACTAGGTGCTTGATCCTGCAGGGGCGGATAAAGGGATCTCGCAACATACCAGAGTCAGGATCGAGGCGAACAAGGGCGACGACAGACTCGCGCCGTAAAAGTGCACGAGCTTGCCATTGAGGAACGAAGCGAACGAGGCACCGTTGGCGGAGACGTCGGGGTAGGCACGGCCGACGCGGTTGTACAGGCCCTTGACGGTCTTGAAGTCGGGCTGGAACTTCGAGTACGAAGGGTACGGCGGGTTGTGCTTGCGGAAGTAGTTGTCGACCGTGGCCTTCTGATAGTCGGGGATGGCAAAGATGTTGGAAAACCCGCCAGACGATGAGAAGTTCTGGGCAGTACCAGAGAGATTGACGTGCATCACGCTCTCCTGGTTGAGGATGGTCTGCGAAGGGTAAAGCATGGTGCCGCCAACAGAGGTCACGTAGGGGCAGTTGCTCGGGTATTGAGGGTTGAAGATGGTGCCCTCGGGGCCGAGGCAGCCATTGGTCGAGCCGTCGCCGGGGAACGAGGCCACGCCGTAGTCGCCCGAGGCGACGAGGACCGAGGTGCCCATGAGACCAAACTTGAGGAACTCGTTGCACTGGCGCTTCATGTAGTTGGCGGGGAGGTCGTTCTCAGCCTGGCCGTACGAGGCGCTGATGACCTTGGTCGGCTTGTACACACCGCACTGGAGCTTGCCTATTCAGAGTTTGTAGAATGTCAGCTGATCAAGTTCCAACAGGTAGGACAAGCTTGTATATGGCATCGTACCCTTGTATCCGCCAGGTGCCGGGTTAGGATAGACTGGGTCAATCTTGGGGTCGTTGCCGGTCTCGCCGTAGGCGGAGTACGAGCAGTAAGACTGTGGAGAATTAGCAATGCCAGCCGTGGTTGAAGGCAAGTCAGTCGTTACTCACGCCGTCAAGAGCATCCAGGAAGGTGTTGAACAGGTTCGTCGTCGCGAGATCCTGCAGGGCGTAGATGTTGTCGTCCACCTGGTACAGCGTGACCGTCTGCGGGTAGATGAGGGACGTGCTGCCGGTGTATGTCAGCCAATCTCTTTTCGCCCACTCTGCGGAGCAGATACTCACGCCAAGGCGACATCAATCAGAGCCTCGCCGCCGACGTAGTCGGAAGCATTCGGCGGGAAGTCGTACTGGGCGCCGTCGATGAGGGCCGAGATCGGGTAGGTGCCCTGAGGCACGTAGGGGGCGAAGACGGCATTGTACTTGTCGAGGTCGGGCTTGTCGATGAAGTCGCCCTGCTCGTACAGGCCGAGCGAGTTGCCGGGCACCGCGACGGGGTGGTCAGGCAGCTTGTAGAGGGAGCGGTAGCACGGGGCGGTCATGTTGGTCGTGCAGTTGCGCAGTTCCGCGGGCAGGCTGCCGGCCGCGGGAGGCGGGTGGCCCCAGGAGTGGTCGCCAAAGAAGGGGTTCTCGCCGTCAAAGACCTTGCCGACGCCGCCGGCCTGGTGCGACGAGTGGCGCGGCTCGACTGCCTTCTTCTCGATCGTGCGGCGCTTCACGGCCGTGAGCTTGGTGCCGGGCGTGATCAGGTCAATGTGCTCGACCAGGTGCTCCGGGATGTGGTATCTGTGCGACATTCCAGGGTCAGACTCGGCGCCCTCGCCAGGATATACTGCATGCTACATTGAATTTCTGTCATACCTGTCCGTGCCGACACGCAGGTTCGAGAATGACGCGTGCTCGTACTCGTGGAACTCGGCGAGCAGCAGGCGCTCGGCCTCCTCGGTAGTGGCATCGAATGCGAGCCAGCCCTTGTTGTCCGTGTGCACGATGCGGTCGCCGTGAATGCCCGAAGACGTGAGCCATGCCTTGACGGCGTCGACTGTCTCGGCCGTGGGCGCGAAGAACTCGTGGAGCTCTTCCTGCGACATCCACTGCGAGTACTTGGAGGACGACGGGGAGGTCCTGGTAGATGCATTCGCCAGTCAGCACAGAGCGCGCGCTCAGAAGATACGACAATATGAACAAGAGCCCACTCACAGGTCCATGAGCATGTCATGGCCGCGGTCGAGGTTTGTCTGCGCCAGAGCAATGCGGATGGGTAGGATCGCAGACTTCTCAATGCGGTCCCTCTTGGCCCAGTCGCTGCGGGCCGCGTCGCGCTCCTCGTGGACGACGTGGTGGACAGGCGAAGGCAGCGCAAGAGCAGACCCGGAGAGGGCCGCGACGAGGCAGGAGAGAACTGTGAGCGACGACATGTTGAGACAGCAGGTTCGACAGACACGACGCCGGTGACTGGGAGAAGACCGGGACGCCCCCTCCTGGCTGCTGTCTGGACGATGTCGTGCCTGGTATTTATTGACGACGCCCGCATGGTCGCACCCAGTGGTGTCTGTGCCAGCGCCTTTTTGTTTTTGCGCGTCCCTGGCTACCGCTCGCGAGTGCATGCTGGGATCGCCGCCCGCCTTTGCACGGTTTGGGCAGGTCACAAAGGGGCCTACGTAAACGTCCCCCGCTCTCGGCAGATAACGAGCCCCAGCCTGGGCATTCGCTGGGCAAAGCTTAGCCAAAGCTTGGTCACTTGGGCTAGCTCAGGGACCCTTGTCCCACAGATCGAAGGGGGCCGGCTAGTGCCCCTCGGTGGCGCCAGCCGGACTCTCCCACCTTCCTCTTTCCGTGCCACACAGTGAACAGCTCCCACCGCGGCTTGGAAACGTCACGTCATCTGGTGTCTCCTCGTAAGGGTCGTCCAGTTGGGGCCCGGTGGGGTGGCCTCGCGCGACATTCTCCAAATTCGATCCTGACAGGTCCGTCCCCTAGACGTCGTCAATTGGCAATCTTTTGTTTGTATCTATCTGATCATGCCGCGGTACGCTTGGCGAGGCTCTGCAGATGCTGCACGATGGCCAGTGCGGCCCTTGTGCCCACGTCCAGGCTCTCCTCTGGCAGTCCAAGCAGCTCGTTCTGCGTCTTTGCAGAGAAGTCGGCTGGATCGTCGGGGTAGAAACCCCTTGCATACAGCAGCTTGATGAACCCGCTCCTGTCCCCGCTCTGCACCTGCGCGAGGCCTTCCTCGTATCGCTTCTTGCTGTCCACGTGGCTGACCTTCCAGTCGGCGTCCGTGGTGCCCGTCACTCGTTTGACACTCTCGAGCATTTCCCTTTGATTGACCCTGAAGCTCTGGACATAAACAGCCTTACCCAGGAACGACGACAGCGTGGGCCCCTTGTCGCCCTCGTCGTCAGGGAGCTCCTTGAGGCTGAGCACTTTGGCCACAGCCCGGCCGACCTGCGCCAGCGTCGAAAAGGTACCATACGTACTGCCATCGTCGTAGAAAGTAACAGCCCGCTTGGCGAAGTCGAACCCGAAGCTCCATTCGCTCCCCGCCAAGCTGTAGTCGTACCAGAAGCCACAAGCTATAGTGATCCACTGCATACCAAGCCGCTCAATTTCCGCTCGGTTCGCTCGGGCCACGGGACCCAGCATTGTCTCTTGACCCATCTTGACGTTATCAATGTCGCCGCCGTAGTTGTTGGGCACGATGTACGGCACACCGGCCTTGGATGCGGCATGCACGAGCTTACTGTGTGTGTTTGGGGGTGCAGCTGGTGCCAAGGTGATGATGAGGCATTGCTGCCCGCGCAGAGCCTCGACGATGCTGGTCTCGTCGTCGTAATCGATCGTTGCAATTTGGACACCAGGGGCAATCTTGTTCGGACTGCCCTTGCGGGACAGCGCAGTGACAGTGTGTTTGCCACCCTCAACCAGGGCGCTGACAATGCGTGATCCCACCGTTCCCCCCGCCTGCAAGTTGTTGTCAATATGTGAAGACTATTCAGATGGGACGGCTTGTGCGGGTGGTCTCACCCCGACAATCGCTACGCTCTCAATGGCATTTGTGAAGCCATCAGGCTGGTCTTTCGCATATCTGGCCATTTTGTGTGCTTTTTGACAAGAGCTGTTGATATCGATAGGTGTGCTTCGCTCTGACGAGTTCTTGTAACACTAAGGAGGGAGAAAAAGTCTTCTCTATATATACACAAATTGAAAACTGCGCGCCGTTCCAATGATCCAGACGAATTCCGCACCGTGACGCCTGGTCTCCTTGACTCCTCAATTTCAGGCAACTCGGCCTGTTGAATCACGCCGTGCTTGCGCTCCCCTCGTGAACATCCCGCAACATCCGCAATAACCGCACCTGCCGCCACAGCGCTGGCATTGGTGACCAAACCTTAACACCGCAAACGCCGGAGGCAATCATAACTCCGCAAGTGAGGAGTTTATGGCTTTGTCTGTAGCGCCTACTGCACGGACGATAATCACACCGCCCCGGAAAATTGAGTCTCCTCACAGCGAGCGTCTATCACCGAGGCACCGAATCGAGCATCCACAGATAGGGCTCGACGAGGAACTGGTCCCAGTCGACATCCAGGCCCATATCGAGATTGTCCGCATGGGCAGCATCGACTGATGTCCCGGCGGCAGTCATCTGCGCAGAAGCTCCGATACTTTCGAGCTGGGCAAGTTCGGCACGTTTCCTCGCCATCTTCAAGCTCAGCAGGTGTTTTGCCATGGATAAAGCCTCCCTCGCCAGATGCGCATGTGCAACCTTGCTGATATCCTCTAACCGGCCAACAGCCACTGGGAGATGCGCCATCGCAGCGGGCGTGTCGATCGCCAGCAAGACACTGATGCAGTGGAAGACGCTGCCGATGACGTTCCAGAAGACCCGGCCTTTGCCAGCCAGCTGGGCAGCTGCAATGACACCTTCGTGTCCAATATCCACAATCAAATCAAGGACGCTAGCTGGGATGCACACGCCGAGGTGGTACAGGCGGCGGTAGAAGCAGAATGCCAGGTCTGCCTTAGTGACCGCGAGAAACGGGTGGGCAGTTGGAAACTCTCGCAGCTCCCTGACCCGCATACAGAGGTCGCTGCTTGTGTCGATAGTGTCATCCTCCTCAATCGCGGTCAAGTCATACTGCGGGATGATTTGGGCAAGTTCGATAAACTGATTGGTAATGGTTCCGTATACCGGCTTCGCAGGTCGACAGGTTGTTCTCCTAATTTGGACAGCCGAACGATCATACTCGTACGCCATGACTTTGTGCCCAGCCCACGAGAACCAAAAGAGCCGCCTCAGTCGTTCTGCTTCTTCGTCCTGCTGTGCCGGTGTGGTTCCATCTCTGGATGCAATCTTCCTGATCATTTTCTCGTCATGGAGGCCGACAACTTCGCAGATATGCATCAGCGTGCAGGAAGCCAGCCACACGATGTCTAGACGTGTGGTGGCGCGTAGATAGAGCACCCGCAGCGCCCATGCGGCAACGTGGTCAGTGTCGAGCCTGCGTGCCGGTGACGGGTCTTCCAGGACGACTTTTGCGTGCTGCGCCATTTCAGACTCGTGCGGGTGTCTGGCCGGCGACAAGAACGAGCCTAGAGCAGCGACGCCCGCCACAACTGGAGCACAGGCGAGAGATCGCGGGTCCGTCGAACTCTGATAGTAGTCCTGTGATCGCCGTGCAAAGTGATCTTTGTCGATGATGTTCGCGATGGGCCCGATAGTACCAAAATAGATGGCGGAGAGGTGTTGAAGCTGCTTCTCTGTAAGAATTGTGCGCAGGTTGGGATGTCTTTGCTCTGGGCCTTCCCGTCTCGTCTCAGAGTTGTGAGCAAAAGATTGCGGTCGCGGCAGATCAAAGGCGTCCAGGCTGATGCCAAGCAGATGTGGGAATGCCATCGTACTTGCAAACTCAACTCCAGTGGCCGTACTGCTGCTGCCATGATCCTCACGCTCCTGCAGAACCCTTGTCGAGTCAGAATCGGCTGAGAGAGTGGAACGATTTGGCCGGCCACGGCGCTGTGTGTGCGAGCCGATATTCGAGCGGCTGACTTCCCGCAAGCCATCACCGGCCTCGCCGTTGTATCGGCACCTATACTCGTAGCTTGTGCACATGGTGCAGGGCTCTCCCCCGTCACATTTGCGCTTCCGCTGGCGACACGGCACGCATGCCTTTCTTGCGCGCTGCCGCCTACCTGTTGATCGCAACGTGACCGAGAGAACTCTAGGATTCCTTGGCCTCTGGGTGGTGGATCGGACTTGACAGGCGGGATGACACAGTCGCAGAGAGAAATACACGTTGGCAGGCGACGATTCGATGCTAAGCTTACATCGCTTGCCCAGCCACTTTGCCCGCCGCCAGAAGTCCGGGCGCTTATGTAAGCAATAAGCCGTTCATATGACACATACCACAACATTTGCAATCCTCGAGGACCAGACTCTTCCAAAGCCATTAATGTCACAGGTCGGGCACAGAGACAAAGGCCCAATTGGTTGCTTACATATACATAAACCCAATTTAACCAGTTTTCACCACACCTTTAGCCACACGCTTTGACGTTCAGAATAGTGTGGATTTACCTGATAATGCCCTTATTAGACAATCCCTCATAAGTACAACGGCACCATCCTCGTGCTATCGTTACTAGCCCCCCCCCTTTCCCTCTATCGAAATCTACCAGCATCCCAAAACTGGGAATAGCCTTACTTAGGCGGTGCTCCCTTCGGTCGTTAGGTAATTGTTCTTCCCAGGAATCTCACTTTGCCCCAGCTCACTACTAGCCCTTGTGTTGACAGTTTCTTTCCCCTCCCTCGGTCTTATTGTATAGCACGATCTTCGTGAGATGTTATTCGGCGATCTCAATTTTGCCATCGTAGAGGTGTCGTCCTTCGGGCACAACTGCGCGTTCGGCGATCACAGCTTTGCCGTCGTAGAGGTGTCGCCCTTCGGGCACAACTGCGCGTGGTATGCTAAGGCCCACGGCTGCCGCACAAGTCATGCTTGACAAGCTAATTAAGCCCAAAGCGATGTCGAAGATTTTCATATTGAGTTCGGTGAGATATCTGTAGATGTGACGAAGATTGAAGTGATTGATGATATTTATGGCCTTTGATAGAATCTTATCCGCACACACTTTATGAACAGGAAAGGCTGCGAATTTATATATGCCTCCTGAGAGATTCCGTCGGGAACTTTCCCATGTTTATCGTCTTACATAAGGGTAGAACCTTGGAAGGACTGGGACACCGTACGTTCGTCCTTCAAGCTTTGGAGAATGCTGATTAGGTTATTGTGTTACCTCATATAGCTTACCCCGGAGTTCGATACCTCTTTTATTCGCTCGATAACCATCCAACGTCGTATGGGTACCCAAAACCCAGTTTACCCCTTTACTTGTTCGTTGACCCACCAAGGTTGTATGGAGCCTTGCTCCCCTTGATAACCCTCTAACATCGTATGGTTACCCCAGAGCTTATTTACCCCTAAAGTCGCAGACTAAAATCAATCGTACCAAATGCCTCCCTCGCCCACAACCCTGAGTGCCGCCTGAGCTATCCCCACATCGCGACTGAGCCCAACTGAGCCCTCCTGAGCTGGCTCGCGCTAACCAGGGCATTGCTGATTAAGCGCCCGATCTCGGAGCTGGTCGTCACGCACACATCCTGACGGTAAATTATGCAGGGATGATAATGCCAGACCTTATCTAACATACGTATGCTCGACATAAGCTCGTGCATAACGACTGCCTAAATTATTCGGCCCGGACTAGATAAACCAGCCATCTGGAGATCACATAATGCATAATAAGAAGCATCACAAGCGAGCTCGATACAGGATCCCGCCAGCCAGAACTATTAAATTGACCTTTACGTTCTCATGATAGTATGAACAGAGAATCTGTTACTGCGGCCGTTACTTTACCCTAAGCCTAAACAACGTATTGGGCCTGGTACATTATTACTCGGACATCATTGGCATTATGATTAATCGCTACCAACGTGAGTTGTTCTATTTTCACAAATGTATGATTGTGTCAGCTTGATCCCGCATACTAGAAGGTCCCTGTCATCTTGCCGTGTCGCTCTAGGTTCTTCACTATGTCAAAAAGCGAACGACGCACCGAGCGCTTGTTTCTGTGTTAGCCTAGAGTCTACTGTTCACACGAAAAGCAGTGAAATCATGCAACGTGAGTCGGCCAATATTGGACCAGGGTGGATGCCCCTCGGAATACGCTAATTATGGCGCACCCACTAATGTTACTTCAACCCCTGAGACCCGAGCCATTTCCGAAGCAGGAGCTAAAGGCCAATCAAAGCCTCGAAACACAATGCTACTATTCTGTATTGACACGACAAGGTTAGGTTGGTCAACACCCCATGCTTCACGCTCCACAAAAAGCCAATCCTCAGCCGGTCCCACGATCCGGCAATCAGGATGCTCTAACCGCTCTGCTACATCCAGATTCTGATGCGTGTCAGAAGCCAGACGAGACAATGAGAATGTTCTTCGCGAGCTCCACTAGTGGCCCCGTACGTTCACATTTGTAGACGGCAGTCCTGCGACATGCGATGAAATGATGTGAGAATGGATCATGATAGTTCTTGAATGGATGTCCAAGGGGTTCACACCGGCAGTGTCACATATATGTCAGGACGGAGGAGCGAAATCTACGTACTGTACTAAACGCTTACTACCCGAATCACAATCAATACCGCAACCTCCACTCAACAGACCAGCTTCCCAGATATTCGCGGAGATGTTAGTTCACGTAGATGCTAGCAGTATCGACCTGTTATAGTGCTAATGCTCTGCACAGAGTTCCCAGACTCCGTGGCGTCCATGGTATCGCGCGAAGCTCCCAACCATTGCACTGTAAAGAGACAGAGATAAGCCATCCATCGCTCTATCTTAACGGAGACGCCCTCAACACTATCCTACCCCGGCCTGTCTCAGATACTTTGAACTGTTCCACCACGGCTTCATTTAGAGGAATGCCTGGCCTAGCAGCATTCGCTAAAAATCGCACGATTCCCGCAACGCTCGATACGAGTATCGCTTATCCTTACAGTGCTATTGGGACACTTGTTTCCTCAAACGGGAAATCTTTCCGTGCGGGAACGTTAGTTGGCCGGCGATTGGTGCTTACTGCATCAGGATGTTTGGCGTCAGCTATTGTTGGGTTTTATCCCTTTGCTGAGGAGGCTCTTGGGAACGAGTGTAATCCTTATCAAGTAAGCACGAATTATCCTAGTGTTGGTAAAGGGCAAGTCTGAAGCTGGAACGTCGAGAAGAGCAGGGCTTCACCGCACCGGCCCCGCGGCACGTGAAACGTGTTATCCCTGGTTAGCTGGAATCGACCACCGTTGGCGAAGCCACCTACCGTGGAGGGCGGGCAGATCATCGCGGTATAGTGCCATGTCGACATGTCGTGGGCGATGACCCTTACGGCTAGCCTCCGCTGAAAAGTGTCCTGGAATGCATCGAGGAGACCGTGGTAGCCCTAGGTACAGCCGCGGCTCTCGTTGACACGCAGCACTACGAGCCACCGACAGACTGAGTTGTCGGTGAGGTGCTGCCAGAGTAGGGTTCGTTTGTCACAAGCAGGGCTCGACAGGGCCGCACGGAAAGGGGATCTAGCGGTCATCAATGCCTATTATAGGCCAAGTGTCGCAGACTAGGATTTTGATACGACACTGATAGCTTCGCATGACCATCACCAAAGTTGACGGAGGCTGTGCCTTCTAAACAATTTGGAAGTAATAAGCATAACCAAGCAATTAACACTCGCTGGACCCTGATCGCATCTGTGTGGGGGAGGGCGAAGACGCTCTGGATATTGGACAAAAGATGAAGTATATTTTTACGGACAAGAGCTGATCGAAGCGCTACAGTCAGATTCGAAACCGGTGTCCGCCTTTCCCGAAGCGAGAGTTTCTATGAGCACGGGTCATCCGGGCTTAGCAGGATCGGATACAGGACTGGACAAATGCGACGCACAGGTAGGGCATCTCGGACAGCCGTTTGCTCCCTAATATCATCTGTAGCGTTGTTTTAAGTCTGAGGCTCATCTCTCTTCAATTTCATAGGCTTTTGCGTGTTTGCTATTATACCTCACACGGAAGGATGAGGATCTTTCTCAAAATGCAGGAGCTGCCAGGTCTCACATGAGCAGCACTGACACTGATCCCATCATGCCTCACGCAACGCGATGCTTTGGTATGACTGGAGGAGCTACGGTCGAAGCAAAGGCTGGTGCACGGCCGAAGCGCTGATTGTGGTGCTTCTGTTGCAACATCTGCATTGCACTGAAGCGGATGGCCGGTGGCTCTTGTGATTTGTGCTTAATTTGGCTTCGCTACATGCGCGACGGCGCATTGTGCATGCAAACGGCCACCAGGACACATTGAGCGTGCATGTGCCCCCAGAAGTGCTTGATGCATACTTGTGCATATGCGCATACGAGCACAAAATTTGTGACACGACGAGCCTCAAGTGATCGTGGAGGTGAAACACAGAAGTACCGAAGCTTGGGAGTGCGACAAGGGCCAGAGTACTTGACACGGCTCGATGGTGCTGTGGCTGTTATCTCCAGGGTTCGTGGTTAGGTTGTGGATGGAGACACGCTAGTCTCCTTCCGGCTGAACACAACAATGAACCGAACCAAGTAACGGAACTCGCCAGTTGTCGTGCGAACCAGCAGCCATGGACAACTGTGAAGCGAATGAATCAAAGCCGGCCGGCCGCAGCGATGTTGAACAAGACCTCTCGGGTACGAACCTGGATGCCACCAACCACAACCGAAGGTCCTGCCACTGAGGAGTCTGCAGACCGTCACGACGAACTGAGTAACGTCCATCCCTGCATCGCGAGCCACCCTGCGTGCCGAGCCAAAATACAGGTACTTGACTTTTGACATAGATTCGAGCCCGCCCATACATATGCACTTTCTCAAACTTGTCCGGAAGTTAAAGAATGACCACATTCAAGCCATCTGATCCCTCTCAACCATCAATTTTGATTAGTGTCGGATCTCGAGCCTATAATCCGAACCCACCGATGTCTGAAGCATTTAAAGATATAGTCAATCACACCCCACCATCATCTCCTCATCGCCTCTCATAGCCATCACTAGACATCAATCGAGCCTCTGATTCGGATTCTCACTGCGAAAAGTGATCAGCAGGTCCAAGGCTGATGTGGGACGGTGATGTTTTTTGAGCAACGTCAACACGTCGATCGGTACTTTTCCAGTGGTGGGTCTTCCCGTTTAGGCTAGCGTTAGACGACAAGTTACGTGGGGCATGTACTGCTCGTACTACCTGTGGCTGGTATGTCTGTGGCTATTTGTAACTACTCAGTGGGAGGAGCAAAGATCATTCGTAAACGTCCAGAAATCAAATGATTCAACTAACAACTAGCAATATTAACTGCGCATGTTAACCACGTCACCTCATTGCAGCCATCTCTTTACTCAAAGACGCATAGTGACCCTCGCAAGCTAACGTAGTAGGATGACTTGGCCCTAACACTTTCCTGAATCCATTCAAGGCGTTTCCATAAAGCTTGTCGGTTTCATCGAGTCGATTTTGCTTATGGCAGAGGTAAGCGAGGGAGCAGATGCTTGTACATATGTGGGGATGGTCCTTGCCCAGCGCCTTCTCACGCCCATCAAGCGCCCATCGGTGCATCGCTTCCGCTTCTTCGTACTTGCCCTGGTGCCGCAGCACTCCAGCAAGATTGCTGACGCTCGTGAGTGTGTCTGGATGGTCCTTTCCTAGCGCCTTCTCACGACCATCAAGCGCCCGTCGGTTCATTAGCTTAGGTTCTTCGTACTTCCCCTGGTCCCGAAGCACAAGAGCAAGAATGGTAACGCTTATAAGTGTATCACTATTCTTTGCGCTAAGAACTGCCTCTCGAACCTTCACTGCCCTCCGAAGTAATGCCTCGGCCCTCTCGTACCCTCCAACTTGCTAGCTATACCATCCTACGTTTGTTAATAACTGCGCCAATTGTGTCGCACCCTTAGCATCCGCAGGCTGGGTTTCGATAAGCTGCGCAATGTAAGGCTTAAGTTGTTGACACTATGACCAGTTCTCATACCTCCCCGGCGGGTAATTCTCTGATATGATATGTAGAAATGTCTGCTTCCATCTTACCGTATCACCCACTGACGAGAGCCAGGCTCGTGTATAAAACTGCACGAGTGAGTGCATCTTATAGATGTCTTGTTACACGGTCACGGCCACCAAGGAGTAATCTCGGAGCGTTTCAAGGTTATCATCCAGATCGTCGTCGTTGTTGTGGTTTTCCTTTCCATCGTCGTAATGTTTCCCGATCCTGCATCTCCGCTAATAGTAGCTTCGCAGGACCCATTCCGGTATCTCCTACGGGTGGAAATGGCTCATGAGAGAGAGCAAGTCTACGGCCGACCGCCTCTCCTTCTGGATCTGTTCGAACGTGATCTGCCAAGTCACTACGACCGAGTTCGCCGCCGCCCCGTTACGCCGAAGATCGCCCAGATCTCGATTTAGCAAGCTTTCCTTCTTTTTCTCGCTCTTTCGAAAGTGTTCCAGATACGTTAAGCACGAGATCCGTGGCGATCGTCGGGCGATATACGCGGCTGCCTACGTAATTGCGAGAGGTATGTACTCAAGTACTTGAGCTAGGGGCCCGGCAGCCTCTTCCTCGAATTCGTCTCGAAGCTTCTTCTAAAGTAATTATGTTACTTAGTTCTCATCTATCCGCTATATAGAGAAGACACCCCAGCTGCCTATCAGCCATTCGGCCGCATCCCTATTACACGACGTAATAAGGATCTTACCGTTCCTGCTCTGAGGTAGGAGCGATGCTAGTGCCCGTTGCTTCGACATAGTTATCCCAGCCCGGTCGTGGCGTTTTGGATAGAACACTCCTACATTATCCGCATTGTCTAGTATCATTAGCCATTGTCCATTCTCCGCGTTGAACAGCTAGTTATACACCAGCTGCAGCACATCCACCTTAGGATCATAGCGCTGTGGCAGCTGCAGTCGGTCTGCAATGCCGCGATACGCCTCCTCAAACCGCGCTTGCGTGTCCGCGTGCACCCAGAGCACGTACGTACTCGGCGATTGTTGCCGGACTCGGTGCGCGTACTCGATCGCTACCTGAGACTTGCCGATACCTCCCAGGCCGACAAGGGCGGCGCGGCTGCCAGGCTGCGCGAGGGTCTTGTCTAGCCACGCGGTAACATCTGGACGCTCGACGAAGTCGGCATCGGGAAGGAAGGGCACGGTCGAGAAGGGTTCGGCGTGTCGCGGTGTGGATTCTACAAGTCGTCAGTCTGCTGATTGTTGCTGTGTCGTAGGAGGGGTGGCCCTCACCTGGTTCGTGGACGGTGACGTTCAGGACCCCTCCCGAGACGTGGGTCCCCGCTAAGACGGTCCGGCCGTCGATCCGCTCAAATGTCGTGGATGCGGCCATCGATGTGGCAAGTGCGAATTCAGCCACCATAAAACAGAAGGTAAGTCGTAACAACGAGCGTCGTGCAGTCTACAAATTTGTCTACTGACGACTTCATATATGTGACTGGAAAGAGATGCCGTCAACAAAGTCCTGCAGGAGTGTCAATTAAGAGTGCGGCTGAGTCCAGAGCGTTATTTTTAGCGCAGGCACCGCTGCTGCCTGATATGTTCAACCTCAGATTGTTTTTGCTTTCTGCCTTCCAATGAGGATCACCTCCTGTCAATTATCGCACTTACCTGACATGGACAAGGCCAGTCATGCATTGAAGCAAAGCTTACCATCTGCAGTACGCAGATCGTTTCGCACACTAACTCTTCACAGCGATGTAGCGCGTACTACACTTCAGCATCGTGCACGTGGACGACGATCGATCGAAGAGCAAGCTCGAAATCGACAATATCTTTACCCATTCGAAGAAAAAGCACCGAAACTCAGGCGGGAAGACTACACGGTGGGCTGGGTCTGCCCGCTTGAGGTCGAACAAATCGCTGCCCTGCAGATGCTCGACACCCACCACGACCGCCTCCCACAGCCTGCTACCGACCACAACGTCTACAACCTGGGGAGCATTGCAAGCCACAATGTCGTCATTGCTGGTCTTCCTCAGACCGGTAACAACTCGGCGGCCGCTGTCGTGACGCAGTTGCGGACGACATACCCCAACGTCAAGTTCGGCTTGCTCGTCGGCATCGGTGGCGGCGTTCCCGTCAAGACGGATAGTGGCATGATTCGGCTTGGTGATGTGATTGTCAGCAAACCGACCGGGCCGCATTCTGGCGCGGTGCAATACGACCACGGCAAGGCGCTGACTGGCTCGTTTCAACGAACGGGAGCACTTGCCCCACCGCCAACCGTGCTCCTCCACGCAGCACAAGACCTCGCATCCAAACGAGCGATGGTGCGAGACGATCCGATCGCAAAGAGTATCGAGCGTATCGATACGACAATCCGAACACTCCGACATTTCGCGTATCCCGGTGCTGGACAGGACCGTCTCTTTAAGGCGGACTACCCCCACCAGCAGCACGGGGTACCCTGCGACGAGTGCGGATGCGAGGCGTCTCAGCAAATTGCGCGACGGACCGATGGGACTGACGATACATACATCAGAATCCACCGTGGAACGATCGCATCGGGAGAGCTCGTGCTTAAGGACGCTATCTTGCGGGACCGACTCGCCAAGGATGGATTAATCTGTTTCGAGATGGAGGCGGCTGGGGCGCTGACAGACTTTCCATGTCTGGTTATTCGAGGGGTCTCAGACTACTGCGACTCGTACAAGAATGACATGTGGCATGGATATGCTGCTGCGGCTGCGGCCGCGTACGCGCGGCAACTGTTCTTTCACATGCCTATTGATGAGGTGCAATAGTATGTCCCTGTATGAAGCCCTCCGTAGTGTTTAGAGCTGATCAAGATCGCGTAGCACGGCTTTTGGCCATGAACGTCTTATTTATTCTCAGAACGCCACACCGCGACACGCCGAACCCTTCTCGACCGTGCCCTTCCTTCCCGATGCCGACTTCGTCGAGCGTCCAGATGTTACCGCGTGGCTAGACAAGACCCTCGCGCAGCCTGGCAGCCGCGCCGCCCTTGTCGGCCTGGGAGGTATCGGCAAGTCTCAGGTAGCGATCGAGTACGCGCACCGAGTCCGGCAACAATCGCCGAGTACGTACGTGCTCTGGGTGCACGCGGACACGCAAGCGCGGTTTGAGGAGGCGTATCGCGGCATTGCAGACCGACTGCAGCTGCCACAGCGCTATGATCCTAAGGTGGATGTGCTGCAGCTGGTGTATAACTAGCTGTTCAACGCGGAGAATGGACAATGGCTAATGATACTAGACAATGCGGATAATGTAGGAGTGTTCTATCCAAAACGCCACGACCGGGCTGGGATAACTATGTCGAAGCAACGGGCACTAGCATCGCTCCTACCTCAGAGCAGGAACGGTAAGATCCTTATTACGTCGTGTAATAGGGATGCGGCCGAATGGCTGATAGGCAGCTGGGGTGTCTTCTCTATATAGCGGATAGATGAGAACTAAGTAACATAATTACTTTAGAAGAAGCTTCGAGACGAATTCGAGGAAGAGGCTGCCGGGCCCCTAGCTCAAGTACTTGAGTACATACCTCTCGCAATTACGTAGGCAGCCGCGTATATCGCCCGACGATCGCCACGGATCTCGTGCTTAACGTATCTGGAACACTTTCGAAAGAGCGAGAAAAAGAAGGAAAGCTTGCTAAATCGAGATCTGGGCGATCTTCGGCGTAACGGGGCGGCGGCGAACTCGGTCGTAGTGACTTGGCAGATCACGTTCGAACAGATCCAGAAGGAGAGGCGGTCGGCCGTAGACTTGCTCTCTCTCATGAGCCATTTCCACCCGTAGGAGATACCGGAATGGGTCCTGCGAAGCTACTATTAGCGGAGATGCAGGATCGGGAAACATTACGACGATGGAAAGGAAAACCACAACAACGACGACGATCTGGATGATAACCTTGAAACGCTCCGAGATTACTCCTTGGTGGCCGTGACCGTGTAACAAGACATCTATAAGATGCACTCACTCGTGCAGTTTTATACACGAGCCTGGCTCTCGTCAGTGGGTGATACGGTAAGATGGAAGCAGACATTTCTACATATCATATCAGAGAATTACCCGCCGGGGAGGTATGAGAACTGGTCATAGTGTCAACAACTTAAGCCTTACATTGCGCAGCTTATCGAAACCCAGCCTGCGGATGCTAAGGGTGCGACACAATTGGCGCAGTTATTAACAAACGTAGGATGGTATAGCTAGCAAGTTGGAGGGTACGAGAGGGCCGAGGCATTACTTCGGAGGGCAGTGAAGGTTCGAGAGGCAGTTCTTAGCGCAAAGAATAGTGATACACTTATAAGCGTTACCATTCTTGCTCTTGTGCTTCGGGACCAGGGGAAGTACGAAGAACCTAAGCTAATGAACCGACGGGCGCTTGATGGTCGTGAGAAGGCGCTAGGAAAGGACCATCCAGACACACTCACGAGCGTCAGCAATCTTGCTGGAGTGCTGCGGCACCAGGGCAAGTACGAAGAAGCGGAAGCGATGCACCGATGGGCGCTTGATGGGCGTGAGAAGGCGCTGGGCAAGGACCATCCCCACATATGTACAAGCATCTGCTCCCTCGCTTACCTCTGCCATAAGCAAAATCGACTCGATGAAACCGACAAGCTTTATGGAAACGCCTTGAATGGATTCAGGAAAGTGTTAGGGCCAAGTCATCCTACTACGTTAGCTTGCGAGGGTCACTATGCGTCTTTGAGTAAAGAGATGGCTGCAATGAGGTGACGTGGTTAACATGCGCAGTTAATATTGCTAGTTGTTAGTTGAATCATTTGATTTCTGGACGTTTACGAATGATCTTTGCTCCTCCCACTGAGTAGTTACAAATAGCCACAGACATACCAGCCACAGGTAGTACGAGCAGTACATGCCCCACGTAACTTGTCGTCTAACGCTAGCCTAAACGGGAAGACCCACCACTGGAAAAGTACCGATCGACGTGTTGACGTTGCTCAAAAAACATCACCGTCCCACATCAGCCTTGGACCTGCTGATCACTTTTCGCAGTGAGAATCCGAATCAGAGGCTCGATTGATGTCTAGTGATGGCTATGAGAGGCGATGAGGAGATGATGGTGGGGTGTGATTGACTATATCTTTAAATGCTTCAGACATCGGTGGGTTCGGATTATAGGCTCGAGATCCGACACTAATCAAAATTGATGGTTGAGAGGGATCAGATGGCTTGAATGTGGTCATTCTTTAACTTCCGGACAAGTTTGAGAAAGTGCATATGTATGGGCGGGCTCGAATCTATGTCAAAAGTCAAGTACCTGTATTTTGGCTCGGCACGCAGGGTGGCTCGCGATGCAGGGATGGACGTTACTCTTGATAGTGAGCCTGCGTCTCAGCTGGCCAGAAGGACTTGCGGGCAGCGCGTCAGTGGCTATGTGTTCGGCTCTCGTGTTCACGATGCAAAGTCCCGCACCATGAGTTGATGGCGGGTTAGTCTTTGGACGATCGTGACGATGCCTAAAAATGGGAAGTTTTTTTATCCCCTCTCATGGGCAACTACAGGTGTTGCTGCCAGGCAACCCTTGCTGCTCTATTGCATGTGCCATTGATGCCAGGCTGGGCTGGATGGGTCCCCTGGGCTAGACGTGGCCAGTTCCTGACCCCTAGGCGCTGAAGCCCATCACGCGCGGTGTAAAAAAAAAGGCTGCAGCGACAGAGGCGTAGGGGCTGCTTGACAGCCGCCCTTCGCGCATTGCGGCACACTGAGGCGCGGAGCAAGACGAAGTATGTTACATGCCGAGGCTGTCCGAAGATCCGGGCGCCTCGTGTGCGTGACTCGATGCGCAGCCAATAGCACGAGGCGCTGGAGTGATGCGACAGCGCAGAAGCGCGTGATGTAATTGGCTGAACGACGTCCGGCAGAGCGCCCTGTGTAGCCTGGAAGGCTGCAAACGTCACTGCTGCGCGAGGTCCCCTCCCCCACACTTTTTCACAAGCTCATGGTCGTCCTGGTTTGGGGTCTGGCATAGCGATAGCCGTGGCCAGACCCAGAGCCATAGCCGAAACGCATCACATCCGCACCAGCACAAGAGAGAGGACGATCGCAGCAGCCAGGCAGAGGATGCGCTTCACCAAAGCGAGGCCGAGCATCCCGTTCGACCGGCCAAGTCCCCGTGGCGCTCGCCCGCCCCAGCCAGCCCAAGCCAGTCCAAGCACCTCGTCATCATCACCCACCACCATCCATTAATCATCCCTGTGGCAATTGGGGTCGCCCTTCCACGACACCCCTTGCCCGCGCGGATTGCCCTATCAGCTGCCACCCGTCTCGTCTGCTCGGCCCCCGGCTAATAGAGGGCCTGCCTAGCAAGCTAGGTACCCCTTCAGGGGCTATGGTGAAGAGGGGTTAGAGTTGTAGTGCGGAGCTGTGGCCGACTCTTTAACTGTCATGGGTATATCTCAGGACAGAAATAGCCCCCGACCTCAGGCTTCCGATGCTTCATGAGGCGATCATTTGATTCATAGCTATGCTAAATATATACATTCATTGCCCTCATGCTTATCCGCCCGTCCGTCTCCCCGCCCAGCTCTCGGTCTTATCTGACAGCAGAAACAAGACTGAAGACACGCCAATACCTGGCCTCCCCCTGTCTGGCCGTCCCCCACCAAACAGCGTTCGCGCGTTCATGTGGAATGCCCTGGGACATGGTCTAGCCATTCCCGTTGGTCTGTAGAATGGGATCCAATACGGCAACAAGGTATCGGTGCCTCGCTGTCTGACAGGAGCACTGCGACCTTCACTGGGGCAACTCGAGGCCAGTATTGCTCGTGGTATGTCACCCGCCCCATTTCCTTCTGTGGAAGCATATTGAGACTCCATCGAACGAGACCAGGGAGCAACCAGTTGTACCTCGCTCTGCTGTGCCAGACCTACCTGCATGCTTCGGCGCATTGTATGCAGCGTGCAAAGCAGCAACAGGAAGCCGTGCAGAGCCTCTTTCGCCTTCCTCACAGGGGTTCGCCCACTGCTGTCCTCAGCGCTTTCCTCGTGTCTTTTGCCGGCGCGAAGGACGTTTCGATCGCGTGCTAGGCTTGGAGACTCGTTGTTGGGACTTGTCTTCGTTCGTTAGGACTCGGCGACTGGTTGCGTTTCGCTGTGCCGCGCCGCAGCGGGGCATGCTGGGGGAGATGGCGCAGCTTATCAGCTTGTCTGTGCTTCGTGATTGGGCCCCAAGTCCCGGTGCGTGGGCTTTGTGGTTGTGCAAGTGGCTCTCACATCGTGACGGTTTGTTGGTGTCGCAGGTCGCGTGTTCCTGATTTGAGGGGAAGCTTAGACGTTGAGGGGTCTGGGGTTGCTCTCATTGCGATCAAGCTCTCCCTGATTATATTTGAGTAAGCAGTTATAGACGCGATGCATGTAGGTATTAATCGAGGGGCTTTGGCAGTACCTCGAGGATGGAACCAAGGCGGCAGCGGGAGCGATTCGGCACAGCCTGCAGTATCTTTCTCCTCGGGCGATTTCATATTCTTAGTGAAGAGCAGCGGTGCCTCTATATGCCCTCAAGCCATCCCAAGACTCGCTCAGCGAAGCTGTCTTGAAGGCATTCGCGGACATGTGAGTGGAAAGATTCGCGGTCTCGAATGGCGAAGCTGATAGTGTTGAATCGGGGTGTGACTCTGTGGCTTTGGGCGGGCCAGGAGAACTCGGAGGGCAGGGTGTCGGTCGCTAGGTTTTCGAACTTCGTATTCATGCCGCAGCTGAACGTGTATAGAGGAATGGGTTGAGTTGTTCTGAGCTCGGATATTCGATGCGAGGGGCTGACGGGCGACGGCACCCAGCGCGCAAAGTGCGCGCGAGCTAACGGTGGCGCGACACTGCTGGCTGGCTGCTAAAAATACATCACGCGCGTCCGCCCAGGGTCAAGTACACGCCAGGCGGAGGCAGCTTTCGCAGCCGCACTGTACAGGTTCAGGCTGGGTCGAGGCCATGCACTGCTTCATGCGGCCTGGCTGCGGGCGAGCCTCAGCGCCCCAGAGGTTATGATAACAGGTCGCATCCATAGCATGGGGATAAACATAGGCACATTACTCGCTGCTCCAGCAGCAACCATGACTTGAAACGTTTATTCGCTTGCTCAACCACTAGCACTGCTCAGCACTCTCTACAGTGGTTCTGCTACCATATACACCACACTCATCAGATCTGCCAAACCTCCGAGCACCTCAAGATTCCATCGCCGGACACACCACTGACTGCCAAAAACCATCGCTCCCTGGCACTGAATCAGCCCACATCCAGGAGTATTCGAACGACTCGAAGTCCGGCATCACGCCAAAAGTGCCTCTGGATTCCCGGTGCCGAACGTTCAACGGAGCGAGCACTTTCCAGACCTACATGAGGACCGTGCCTCTCAGAATGATCGAGGAGCATGTCGCAGGTGTCTGCCAAGCAAGGTCGCCGAAGAGGGCATCCCGCGCCAGCTCTCCCTCGTCGCCCTCCGATACGATCTCGTCTTCAGGCTGTTGGTTTATGCGAGCCACCTCGAAGAAGTCTACCGTGCTGATGGACACAAGACGGCAGATTGGACCCTGGTTGGACTCAAGACACACGACGGGACTGCGACCTCGATGAGATGTCTTCTTGCCTGCCAAGGGCCAACAGAGCCGCGACATATGATCCAGGCGCCTACCCACTGTAGCCTGTGGTACAGTCCGTCCCATGACGAGACGCTTATCCGTAACCACGGACAAAAGTCCATGTTGTCACAAAACTGGACGTGGGAGGAGCGGCACAACGGCAACGTGGTCCAGTATGACACTGACTTTACCGTCGAGCCGGGACTGTGGATACTCTCGCGGCAGATGCGAAACGTATCGCCTTTGACATAGGAAATGCACTGATTCACCTCAAGCGGCATAAGGTACCCCATAACGATATCAGACCTGACAACATCGCTTGCACGCCTTCACGCGAGGCCAAGATCTTTGACTTCGGCAACGCTGTTACTGGTGACTCGACGCGTATTTGGGGCGGTTCGCCCAGGTATGTACCGCCAGAGTATCTGCAGAGTGGCAAGCGTGGCGTTGCCTCCGGTTTTTGGAGCCTTGGAGTAGTGATGCTGTATCTCCTGAGAGAGCTTCGACTTCCGAAGGGGTCACACACGGCATGGATCATCAAGAACGTCGGGAAAGATTATACACTAGGGATGGAAGCAACACATTCGATGAGCTTCTGGCTAGGTGAGATACGGAAAGCACGGCGTCGTCTCAGTCAGGAGCCGTCTAAGAACATTGTACGAGAAATGCTCGTCCCGCAACCAGAAGGCAGGATTTTCCCGGATGCGCTCGTTCACAAGTTGGAGGCGGTATCGTTAGAATAGGTATAGAACAAGACAGACTTTGTTGAAAGCACTGCAAATCCGCGTGCTCGGTGTGAATGAATATATCTAGTCTACGCTGGGGCTGAAACTAACATCATATCAATGCTATAAAGATTGCACAGTAATGCTACATACTCAGTAGTACCGTTTGTGGATTTCTGATTTGAGAATAAGCCCTTGTTAAGTAAGAGCTGTAGCCCGAGCCGTTGCCCTACTTATCAAACAGAACAGGTATATCGAATCCTCTAGTTGAAGAATCCACGCAAAGCCACGTAAGCTTAGGGTTACAGAGGCTTAAACTCTCACGACAGCGAAGCGCAATCCTTCCAGACGCCTCAGTGTCGCACTTCAAAGTGCGCACTCGAGTGCTTTTGAGGTAAAGAAGTTGCAAAGATCTGACCCCATCTTGCCCTTGATTTACCAAGGTACGCTCAAGATTCGGCACTTTCGAGTAGTCTCCCTCTATGAACTCGGAGATATTTAGCCTCTGCCCAGATTCCCTCATTGTACACTCGAAGGTCTTCCCGTCAAAGTCGTGCTCCTTCAACGAGCTTCTCAACAACGACATCTGTCCCGGGAGTACGCCATCCCAATCCATGCTCGACAACAACATATACGATGAATCCTTGTCGAGTTTCTTGGACACTAGTATAGGATTCATGATTTCGGAGAACATAGCTTCGAACCACTCATCGGACTTGAACAGGCTCGTCCATAGCCGATTATGTTCCTGCTGTTCTTCTGTGATGTGAATTATCTTTTGGTCCGCCAGTCTGCGTAATCGGAAGGGCTGGATATTCTTTGCTATCTGGGCTTGCTGGTGAAGTCTTAGGTTGTCTACGCTTGTTATATCTCCGACTATGAGCAATCTTGCAGCCTCTTTGCAAGCAGCCTCGAAGAGCGATTGGTAGTCTAACACATCCGCCGCGTTGACTAAACCAAGTACTTCATCCTTATTCCGCTTCCAAAATGCATCTTGCCACGATCTTGTCTTATGCCGATACTCCTCCAGTTCCTGAGCGTGTCTTTCGGGCGGAGGCTCTGGCGTCTGGGACACCGAGGTATACCACTCTATGACTTTCTCCATAACAAGGCCATTGGCGAATGTGATTGGAATAGGTTTGTTACTAAGAGCTTCAGGGATGTGATCAAACACCGACTCTGGCAGGATTCCTTTAACCACTTCGACTTGTTTTCCGTCTCGACACTGTAGTACTATCTTCTCCATGCCCAGAAAAGGATGGGAGGAACGGGGGAGTTATGAGGGGTCTGGAACAATCCTGAGTTGCTGACCTACCTCTATTTATACACGGCGTACAAGCGCCCGAAGAATCCCAGTTGTTGCAGAGCTTGGGAAGGATGTGGAGAGCATCGCCGATTGTGGATCCTTGCCCTTTCTTGGCTTATGAAGAGATTCTCGATCATGCCTCCTATTTTGGCTCCACTGCCGCTGCTACTGCTGAGGAACATGGTGCATAGACCTACAAGGAGGACTAGTGGGATATGTATGTTCCTCATACTGAATCGACTTACTCTTGCCAAACGATATTGTAGCTATCACTTTATCGCTGCAGTATTGGGCTCCCGACATAGTGGAAATGTCGCCCATCACAAAAGTCAGCGGTGTACAGGGCCAACAAGGCCAACTGTCGTCCAAAGAGCTTATGCTATACCATGAGATTCCATCGTGGCAACAGGATAATGAATTTGTGCTGTCTGGATACCGGTACGTGCGCTTGGATATTCGGCTTGTACATGACTAACCTTGTTATAGGCCAGTCTCCGGGTCTTTATGTAGATCACTACGCAGCGTTCTGTACATGCACAACGAGACTGTTAACATAGTCTCACATGCGCTTGGTTGTATCGCTTTCACCACTATCCCCTTCTTTCTCCCTCCTATGCATCATCCCATAATATCGCGCTACTGCTTCGGAGTGGCCTTTTGTTTCGCGTGCTCCGCTATGTAAGCCCATGGCTCTAATTCTCCTGCGAGATGATTGTACTGACGTTGAGAACATATTCCACTTCGTGTCCAACCACAGTCGCATGTGGGCCCGGGCCTGCAATCGCCTCGATTATTTAGGCATTGTGGTCCTCGTCTGGAGTGCTAACGCACCCGTGGTTCGTTACGCACTGTCAGGGCTCCCAGACCTGCAGAGAATATACAGCTTGATCGTATGTTACCTTTACCAGCAGTATGTCTGAGCGTATCTGATCACCGTTTGGCTTCAAGAATATCATCACGGCTGCCATGAGTGTAGGGTTCACATTTGGCCATCACTTTGGCCTTTCTGCCTTTAGAAAGTGGCGTGTACTTTTCTACAGCGCGTCCGGCTTGGGCTCACTCGCGTCACTGGTACATGGCCTACAAATTAAAGGCTGGGCCGTTCTGGGAAACCAACTGCCCCTTGGGTGGTTGGCTTGCACGATGTCGCTTAATCTCATCGCCGCAGCTGCCTATGCCTCCAGGGTACGTCGCCTACGATGCTTCGCCTAAGAACGAAAAATTAACGTCCTGGTTACAGATCCCCGAGAGATGGTTTCCATATAGGTTCGACCTTGTGGGAGCTAGCCATCAGATTTTCCATGTCTTAGTTCTGGTAGCCACGTTCACACACCTAGCAGGCCTGCTTGCAGCTTCTCAATCTGCCGCCATGTGATCGCCTCTGGGCTTGGTACAACGTGGCAGCTTTGTCAAGTGCTACAGCTTGGTGTCAGGTTTGGACTTCATGGGCTTATTTTACGCAGCGGCATGCCAAGACTATGTGCTGTGGGTTCTCCTCGAACCGGGTCGATACAGGAGCGTTGATTTATGGAAACCTGAACAGCTTCAGACACAAGTCCCTCCACTCATTCACCATCGCAGCCTCCACTTCACGTGTAGGAGGGAAAACCACCTTGGCGGCCTGCCTTGAGGCCACCCTGGAGGTGCTGGCCATAGGTAGACAGTATCTAGACTGAACCTGTAGCTGAAAAACAGATTCAACAAGATAGCATGACAGCCCAGTGGCCATCGTTGAACCGGGTACGGAACTTCGCTGTGGCCTCTTCTCGACTAAGGCGCCCTGCCCGGACGAAGTAGAAGTGGTAACGCTTCCAGTATGCCCTCGAGTCTCGTCTGTCCTCAGTAGTGAAAAGGCGAGCTGCGGGCTTCTTGACGTAGGCGCTCGCTAAGAAGCGCAGTACCTCCTTCGGCGCCTGCGCTGTTCGCTCCATCCCTTTGCGATCTGGCTATCGAAACTCCGAGCCGGACGAGGCGCTTCTGCTCCGATATCCTGCCTCATTCCAGACTACGCCAGATGCGCCTACGTCGGCCGTTCCGACAGATCCTCGCTCGACTGCCCAGTACTGGGTATGGCTCCCCGGCTATAGGGTTTGGAGCCATACCTGACTCCAGGCGTTATTACCACTACGACCGCTGGTCGCCTGGTCGTGTCCTCCTTGTAAGCAGTGGATTGTGATTATCTCCCGTAGTAGTTTCCCCACATAGTGACTGTCCACTATGACATGGCCGAACCGTACCCAGATACTGTCACCTACATAATCTAAGGCGCCAGATATGGCTCCAGAGCAGAAAACACATGACGCCCGAACAATGCGAGACGCAACGCTAGAGGAGCGCAGCAGTTTTAAATCCGGAGCGCAGCCGCAATTGTCCGGGTCTCATGACCCTTCTAGTGCAATCTACGACTTATCGAACTTAGCCCGCAATGGATGAAGCTACCACAATACTCCAGCGCCGTAAAAAGTCCTATCATCAGCGGCAAACACTTAGCTCCGCCAGACCCGTCATTGCTTCCAAGCGAGAGACTCCATCTCAGAATCCCAGCAATCCTGGACGATACCACAGATCTATAGAAACCAGGAGCGGAAAGATTCTACACGACAACTCACACTCTGAAGTCGTCGTTGAGTGGCTGCGCACTATGTCTCCCTGAGTTTTGTAGGAGGGCGACCCAATGATACCGAGGATGCCGGCTGGAGGATTATGTTATCTCAGGTTAGATAAGGATCTCTAAATGGAGCGGAAAGCCAAGACTGCGCTCAGCTTGGTTAAGAAGGGGCCTAGGGGGTGGAGGCTTGTTATTCACGGCGAGGTAAACTTGGGCCAGCTGCGGGCTAGTACCCGGCTCGCCACTACAGCCCGCAAGACCCAAGCTGCCATCCAGCCCACATCCGTCATCGTATGCACGATCTAGGGAAAAGATAACCAGTACAGAAAGCCACATCCCATGATTGCAGGAACTCAATTATCCCCTCTACGGAATCCTTCTCCCACATGTGCACAAGGACCGAGAGACAGGGACTGATTTGTGGGACCGATGTCGAATGAAAGAGGATGATCAACCCAGGAAAACGGCCTATTCCAGAATCGGACTCCGTACTTTGCAACCCTCCACTATTGCGCGTGGGTGTGGTAGCCACCATCAGTTATACCAACCGTACTAGAAGTTCCTAAGCGGCGGTCTTGTATCGCGCGAAGCCACCCGCTCGGCATCAGCTCCGGGATCCGTTAGTGGCCCCTTGCGGCAACCGTCGGCAGCATAAGATGGTAACCACCGCCCCACTGTCGTGCTCAACAGCTCCCATCTCCTCGCAACATCGCCTCTGCGCCTGTTTGTCCCATTCTCCACAGAGTCGCGCCAGGACCATTCGTTCCAAGACCAAAGTTCGACGCCGTGCTGAGCCCACATCATACCGGCATTGGACCTCTCGGATGCGACCCTCAACAGCGTTTACGTCACATTCTTGACTTGATCGCAACTCGTTGAATGGTTTCTCAACTATGGTATGGACGACATTCCCTCGAGCAACGGAGGCCCGTCATGACTATACGAAATCTGAGCACCTTAGAGTGCTGCCATTCTTGATTTATGCACTCTTGTCATTTCTCTTATGCAATCCCGTTGCAGAAACGGTACTTTGATAAGCGGAAGGGATGGAAATTCCGTAAGGATATATTGCATAATCGCCGGCTCGACATCTTAAAGAATAACGGCACATCGAAGACGAATTGTATCGCGACCCATTCGTGTTTTGCTTATACACAACAGCAAACCAAAAACCTGGGAACAGTGCATATCTGAGCCTATGAATTGATATCAACGACGGCTAGCACTAGGAATTAATGAAGTCGCCGAAGGTTCCGTTCTGATCGAGATTGGATTGGGGCGGAACTCTCTCGCTCAACCCAGAGGAGATAATATCCTTGATCCTGTACAATTATTAGCATCACTTTTGTAAGAATCCATTCTGAAAACCTACATTTCGTGATTGTGCTCTCCCCTACATCTTCGTGTTAGTCACACTTGTTGCCATTGAAAAAGGCACTCACTTACAGCTTCTGAATGGCGTTGATTATCCTCGTGCCCTGCTTCACCATCATGAGTTCCAAATCTGCAATTTTGCCCCCTACTTTTCTAAGCTCCTCTGCCAACTCTTGCTGGTGTTGTTCTGTACTAGTGCAGGTGAGTATTGGATCATGAGATTTCTGAGCCATGAAGCCAGGCAGACTTACAGTCGTCCTTTATGAACCTGCGTATCTAAAATTTCTTGGCATTTCTGAAGAACTTGGGCGTGTCTGTCATATAGAGGCAATGTGAGCGAAATGCAGAGTGCAAGCTCAATTTGTTACGTGATCCCTGACCTTTTGCTCTCGATATCTCCAATAAAACCGCTGCGTCTGGAGGACATTGCAGCTGATGATGCCTGTTGAACATAGCCTAGGGGATCAATTTCTCCCAGGAAATACCCGCTGCTGGATCCTGGTTGACCGAGATCGACACTTGGTGGTATCTGGATTTGCGAGTGGACTTGCTCGGGCGTGTGCTGTTGAGCCTGTTGAGCCTGTTGGGCCGGTTGAGCCTGCTGGTACAGCTGCGGCTGCTGAGGCTGCTGGTACAACTGCGACTGCTGAGAGGACTGGGAGGACTGCGAGGGCTGCGGCTGTTGAGACTGTTGTAATGACTGCGACTGCGGCGACAGCTGAGCGTGCGGTGGCGGCTGCTGTGGCGGCTGAGCGTGCGGCGGTTGCTGAGACGATTGCTGGAACAACGGTGGGGGTTGCATCGTCTGCATCTGTTGAAACTGGGGATTTCCCCGGGGCTGCTGAAAGGGTTGCATCGCCTGGGGCGGGGCAACCATGGTCCGAGCACCGATGTGGAGTAACGACAGAAATCTGGTAGTGTTCCTCAAGCCCTCGAATGCCTCTCTGCTGCCAGCTCCCTTCCAAACACTCTTGGGCGGGTGGTCGAATTTATATGCAATGCATCAACTCAGTCGACCTCTCAATCTGGCTTGTTTGCTATCGCGATAATTGTCATGATCATGCAAGCAAATGTTGGGTCTAACATGTTGGTTGTGCACGCTAGTATGGAAGTGAAGCAGCCAGAAGTGGCCTTGCTCCATGACCGGGTTGCTTGAGAACCTGGTCACAGACATGGGTTGCCCTTGCCCATGAGCAAAGCGGAGGTCCGCCAAAACCGAGCATGCCGTGCCCGGACACCTCCGCCAGTATTTGTGCGATATGCGCAGTGCTCAAAATGGTGTAAGATTGGTACTGTACAGTCGCGACCACTAAACGTGTCCGCTTTTCCCATTTAATCGATGTTTCCGCACGGACCAGGAAGATGTGGCGTAATGTGGCGCACACTGTGCAGATTGCCCCACAACAAGTACCCTCCACAAGTACCGCATAGTGGAAGATTCACATCTGACCCCCTGCTCTGTCATACATGGCTTTGATCGTACTTTGAAGTACTGCTTCCGTGCTTGCTTGGACTCATACAGTATCGATCTAGCGCTGTAATAATCTTCGTAGGTTTGACACTAGATGTGCACATCTTGTTAGGTATGATCACTTATCGGTTGGACTGTTGTTAGAACATCTCTAATGGACACTAGGGACTGTGGGTTCTTGGACAGATACTTAGGTAGGACTCCGTGGTAGATACCGCAGGGTACTTCGGCTTTCGGAAAAGAACCTTAGTCTTATGTAACATCCGCCTCCAAAATCACAAGCAGCTAGCCGACCAAGCGAGACTTGATATAACAATCTGCTAATCTCCTCTTCCACAGCAACAGTCCCGTCTGCAATAGCAAAATAGCATCGCACACCTCCTTACTATCGCAGCAGGCTGAAGTCAGGGGATATATAATACTGATTGATCCAGATCCTCTTCTCAAAGATCCAGGACCCGGGGCTAACTGTCTCCTGGCGTCCTAGTGTCACGATCCTACTACTACTTGTCGGGTAATAGCGGGACTGGCTTGGGTTTATGTTCTGAAAGATGCGTAGCGTAAGCAGTATCGCACTCAAGTCGTATCGTAATCTCTCGGTTGTCGGTTGCGTGTCTCTGGGAAGAGATATCACTCCTGCACAAGCAAGATGACAAGTCGTGATTGTAGTTGATTGGAATGATGCTTAGATTGATCGCTGAAGTATAAAGGTAATGTCTGTCTATCTAGGAGATCCTCCGTCCTTATATCCTTTATCCTTCAGTCCTAGGCCGACTTGATATTGTCGCATGGCCGCTCCTTGTGTGTCGGCAAGCCGACTGCCAAGAGTCGGCTTTCCTGTCCTTTGATTATCTAATTCTCGTGGGCGTGGCTACCGTACCCAGGTGGTCCTCCGGTTGATTTGACCTGGTAACGTAAGGGGCCCACTCCTTAGCTTAACCCTTAATGAGTACATTAGCTGTTCTGTCCTGGTTGCCCCCGGTGGTCGCATGTTAGGTCGTTACACCTGGGCTCATCTTCTGACGGTAGGTGAGCATTCGACAACGACACTAAGTTTCAACTACCCTTTTCTCTTGGGACCTTTCATAACTCTAGGAAGATATACTACTCTCAAACAATTGAGCGACTAATTCATGTGGATGATGAAATTGATTTACAGCTTGGCAGCTACAATCTTGGCGCTGACATATATCCGCACTTTGTGAGCTAAAGTGCGGTGCACTAGGTTAATTAGAAGTTACGAACCTTATATTTGGAACAGCATGTAGTCCCATTAACTATGCAGCTATTAAGTATAGTACCATACTGTAATATATGGATCACCAGCTTAGGGCCAACTGGGTCCTACAATCCTGCTTTAGGCGTCCTTGGGTGCCCTATGCTGGACTTTTATTCAGCATCCCACTCAGCACTGTGGGAGAAAAACAATCCTCTTCGCGTGCGCATTTGATTGCCGTAAAATCAATGTGTCATAGCCAGCGGCTGTGTAAGACACTGGTGCCCGATATCGAATCTATTTCAGCCCAGCGTGCGGGGAAGCCACCTGCCGACTTTCTCTCCCCCTCATCCTTAGGACTCTTCCTTAGCATAAAGTAGCTAGCTCCTACAACTGAAATTACTTCGTTTTGAGCGAGATACCTCAACAATAAGCCTCAGTATAAACAGCATCAGTAAAAGCTGTGTTATGGACACCATTGTTTCGTTGATTACTATTGGATCTTTCCTTTTAGGAACTGGCCAGTGGAGTCTACTGGGATTGGGCACCGGATTTCTACGTCTTTTACACAACATCCCACTCTCGGTGCACCTCGTCATTATCAGCCAGAGGACAGACCTTAGCCTTACCAGAGAAGAAGTGGAAACGCTAATCCGAACCCTATCTGACACTGATCAGTCAGAATGAACTTGCTCGACGCTGACTAACTCTGGACCCTTGAAGGGCTTGGGAAGCTCAAGTGTGACTGTGCGTGCCCTGGGAGAATATTGGCGTGTATTAGTGTACAGTATTAATGCGTCCTTTGTCCTTAGGTCACTCCACAACACCGATCTCTGTTGGACCATGACCCACTACGAGCTGCTGCAATGCGTTATCTTTCTCGAAGCCTTGCAGGCCGAGTGTACTTCGGTGACCAGCAGGTTCATATAGCACCTCAATGGCAAATGGACCACATGTCGAGTAGCTAGAAAACATTCGGTAGCTTGCTTACTCTCATGCAGCTGGACTGGATCAATGAGCGGCTTTCTGCTAGCGCAGGTCCTGCCACAAGCTCTGGAATTGATTGGGCGTGCTGTATCCCTGATCCCATAAACGAGAACAAAGCTGACTTCGGTAGAAAAACGGTCCTCTGGCTATGCGAGAGGTTCTTGGTCAGCTTCGGCGAGCAAGTTCTGTTTCTGCAAGACGAAGACATCCATACAATATGTTCCGCATTTTCGAACCCTGATCGTCCAGATCATGAAGTGGCAAAGGTCCTTTGTATAGTGAAACGCCTTATAAAGGCGATAGCGGATGGGGAAGAAGAAGAGATTATGGTAGGTTAGAGCTGCCAATCCCTGAGCTGTGTATTAATATAAGCTTTTAGGAAGCTAGCAACGACCTGAAAGCGATAGGGACTGCTCAAATAGTGGCACTTGTGGTCGGCACTACTAAGCCTCTTCTAGATTGTCGACGTCGCTTCCTTGATCTCACCAGTGAGCAGATCCTAATATTCCCTCACCCTCGTGCAGAAAATCCTAAATCGCATTGCTAGCAAATCTGGAGGACTTAAACAGTGAGGAAAAAGAGCAGTTCAGGCTGGCAATTCGGCGCCTAATTGCTGTCAACGTACCATTCATCGGAGCTGTCGGCCTTCTTGGCAAGGACTTTGTCCACACCCGAAACTCACGAACCATAGCCAGTGGCGTTTTGCTATTTGCTGCTGGTGCATCACTTTTGGTCGCAGCGCCCATTGCCGTTGTCTGCGGTGTGCTCTCTGCTGGGTTTGGTACCGCAGCTTATACGAAGCATGCAGCGTACAAGGACGTGGAGCAACGTACGTATTCAAAACAATCAGATGGCTTCAAAGTTAGCTGACAGGCGCCTAGTCAATAAATTGGCCAGTGAACTTGATATTTTGGGATCTGCCAGTCGATTGTATCTCCTTACAGCCCTTACTAAAGCTGGCTCATTCTTCGTTGCAGGTTCAGAGGAGTATAAAGGGTACAAGCGACTCATGGGAACCTATTTCAGAGTGGATATTGAGACTTCACAGCCAAATCACTACCTGCAACAAGAAGCGCAGGCCATTTGTGCTAAGATCATGGACATCAGGTCTGTAGTCCAGAAGCATGCAAAGGATTGGGAAATCGAGTTCGCTGAATAAATCAAAGTAGAATAGGCGCTCCAAATAAGACGATGAGCTCATATACGTCCGAATGATAAGTAATTGTTCAAGTGGCCTTTTGTTGCCTAGGCACGGGTTCCCCACGAGTATATTTCCACCGACGCCGGCGTAAGCAGCTCTTGGAGTGTCTAGCCACGGGCAACCATCTATTGCCGAAAAAGAGCTCCCACGTCAATCGCGATGGCTCATCGGCCTCAGTCTCAGCGCCTTTCGACACATCAGCAAGGTATGCGTAGCATTTGGTCGACTGCTCATACCAGCGGAACTTGGGATTGATAGCCTCCGAGAGTTCGGAGCTATTGGATTTGTTGGTGCAACAGCTATCTACCCAGAAGTGTTGCATGTTATCATCGACAGCCTGCCTTGTAAAGAAATGGAGACTTCTGGTAGCCTTTCTTGTCAAGACCTGTATTTTGTGTGGCGTCTTCAAACATGTCCTCCTCGCTTTCTTCCCAGGTATCCGAAAATATCGCATACGAGGGGATGTTCTGGGACGTCTTAGTAAGGCTAAACTTGCCATCCGCCGGTCGTTGTAGAAGTCGCATAGTGGTTGAAGGGTTGACTGGCTTTGAGAATTTGGACCAATGCTTTGGAGGGTCGCGATCATCTTCGTCCATGGGGATGGCTTAGGTTGTAGAGAAGCAGGCTGAGCCGTCTTTGGAGAACAGGAGTCTAGCACAAAACACGCATTACGGCCACTGTCGGGGTTATTGCGATGAGACTGATTTGGTCATGGGATCTGCACGTCGTGCCAATCAAATCGTACAGCCATAGGAAAACGCCCATCAGATGGTGATGCATGTCGAGAGCGGCATATGGCGGGTTACCTGCCTGCCTGACCAATGGCGCCTCCTAAAGCGGGAGTTGTAGACTACAGTTGGCCTAAGCGGGTAATCCACCACTATCCTCAAGAATGGAGCATTCAATAGTTGCATACGTTATGCAATTATATCATCCTCCAAATATAGAGTTCGCTTATTCGGTCCGTCCTTGTCATAGTCTGGCACCTGTAAAGAACGCTTCACCAAATAGAGCAAAAGATCAGGCAATAACCGCAGTGGTTGGCGATTATCCAGGTGCTTCCAGTGCCATAAATACTGTCACGATCCTTGATCGTGACACTAGACTAGGGGCGATCTAAGATTTCAATAGCTCGATTTGGCAGAGCTTCTACGGCTGAATAAGGCATCTTGTTAGGCAGGGTGTCTCGCTGGAGTCCCTGCATTAAGGGGACAATGAACGTGAAACGGCCGAAGCCAGAAGTGGAGAGCCGAAGGAGCCTTTATGAACAGTACATAGTGCTGGTCGGTTTCCGCACGGCCCTAAGCCACAAGTGGGTCAATATGGCCCGTGCGGAAACATCGACTAATATGTGGTAAGCGGACACGTTTAGTGGTCGCTACTGTACTGTATCATTCTGTTAAAGCAGAACAAGGAGAACAAGCCTAAAGAAAGGAAAGCACGGAGGCATTGATGCACTAGTGAATCAAGCACTAGCTTTGCCATGCCCATACTCTCAAGCACCGTACGAGGACAATGCAGGGGGGGGGCGGTTGCATTTACATAACTTTTTGCGCTGGCCTCCACCAGGTCATTCTGTGTGGAGATGCACAGCGATTGACCTAATAGTGGATTGTGCGGCAAACACCGTGCGCGCTCCCCACTTTCCCACGAATACGTAAAGCGTTCACCTCATCGGCTGATGCCGTGCTTGGCAATATTAGTCTCGGCTCCTGTGCCAAGTGCATTCGGGGCAGCCAGCATTAGGTACACTCTTTGGAACGACGCCTTTGACCCGCTCGTATCAAAGACGGCGGCATCCTAAGCGAGACTTGTACGAAATGTCTGAATGAGAAGGGCCAGGAACCAGCCGGCGTCACTGGTTATCGCCATACTAGATGACTCGTGGAACTGACGGCCCACCATTCGGGCTGTGGCGCCTGGTATCGTCCGAACAATGTCCTTCGAGGCAAGGGCCAATTCCACCGAAGTCCGGCTCGATTTGCCTATGGGGGACTAGTGGCTACGAGCCTCGCAAGAAAAGCAGGGAGCAGGCCAGCACGCCCAAAAAGTTCCAACGTGGTCGAGAGCAGAAGTGCCAGAAAGGAACCACTTCTGGGGTAATGGTCTCTGCCCCCAGTCTGAGGTGTGGGTATCAGGCGGGATAAGTACCGTAGTCATGAATCATTGCCGACGATGACGTGTTGCCGGATGTACTGACAATTCGCAAAACTGCGCCATCGCGGCACGAGATCCACTACTCGTTGGCTGGTGGCAGGTGGGGCTATTAACTTCTACGCTTTCGAGCCACCTCCCTCCCACAATGGGAACCACAAAGTTCTGTCACTGGCACTCGTCCGGCCCTCCGCGGGAGGGCCGTTTATGACCGCCCAGAGACTTGGGAATCCGATTGAAGACGCAAAGAGGAGCTTACCCCAAGATGGTCCGGCGCGCAGCATTGCTAAGACGGATGGGTACAGGCTCACGTTAGACATCAACCACATGAAGGATGGGCTGCCGAGTTAGAACCGTTAGCAGAGCTTCGCAGCTGCACCATATGGCTCTCAGATGAATGCAGTCTGATTGTGAACCAACCAGCTAATCGGATGCGAAGATCGCCGTGCGATGACCCTCCCCCATATAATGTTATCCACATTCGGGTGAAGGGTTTCCCTGTCGCCCTGTTCAGATGAGTACCGCAGCCATTTCCGGCTCCTTCAGTGTCAGCGGCTATGGCAGAGCTTGTGCAAATATTCCTATGGAGATGAGAGAACGAGAGCTGTGCGGCGCACTCTCCATAGCCATAACCTAAAATCAGCCAATACCGCCATTTCCAACGTTCCGCGCACTACACGCAAGTATCGGCCCCAACCGCCCACCACCCTCGCCACAATGAAGGGCTGTCCCAAATATCACACCAGATGGCAAAAGGAGAAGCACCGAAAGAATGTGCAAAGCGCAAAAGCGAAAGCCGAAAAACTCGGCAGGGCCTGCAACACGTTTGTGCTATATGTCACATTCAACCCAGTAAGCCGGCAAATGGAAGGGGTCTGTCATCTGCCACCAGGAATGCAATTCCCGGACATCAATAAATTTGTAGGCTCCCCGTACTCTAGACAGGGGAGTCTTTAGCTAAACATAGCATAGGTTCGCGAGCAGCTGTTGCCTGGGAACACTGGCGAAAGTCAGGATCCGGACTTTACGCATGTGCAGATGGAGCAGGAAGACCACCGTGACCCCGGCAGTTCTCAGCAACTCGAAGCCACAAGATCTTCATGCAGCTCGCCATCACTTGACTTGAGGGAGCTTTTTGACTCAGACCCTGATGGAGATTTTGGAGCAATATTAGCCGCAAATGGGTCTCCCCCTCCCACGAGTTCTGATCTCGATCTCGCATTTAGCTCCATGGCACCACAGCCCAACCCAGGTACAGCGCTTTCGCATCATGCGGACGATCCCCTCGATCAAACATCTTTGCCAACTATGGAAGCAGAGAACAGTTTGGCCAGTGCAGACCATTCAGATTCTGGCGTCAATGACATATCCTTAAATGTCATGCCGGAGTACTCGCCAGCTGCAATACCATCTGACGATACTCTACCTCAAACATCATCAACTACGAACGAGCAAAGAAGATCAGATCGACGACGTGACGACATGGCAGGAAAAGGCGCGGGCCGGACTCAGACAGATGCAAGAAAAAGGAAAAAGCAATTGCAGAGGCTTCATCTAATGGTATGCTTGAATCAAAGGAAGTTACCTCTGATGAACTCATTTTAGTCCTATCAAAGAGAGATCGCACTGGTATTGAAAAGGGTCAACATGAGGGGAGCGCTGCTTTCAGCCCTCGTCGGTGAATGCTCTGAAAAGCTGGTGTCTATCAGAATTTGCTCTGCGCCACTAGTGCTCACCCCTGTCATCGCGAGCGGCAACTACCCAATCGCATAGCTAGGCAGGTCCCGACAGTTCGGTACGGCCCGCACGTGACGCTTTGCCAAATACCGCTAATGTAGACAGCTGGATCCTCCTCGGCCCGAACGCGTCATACTTGTGTCAAGGCACCAGGCCCCTGGACCTAGCTAGCTACCCGCAGAAGCCTTCAAAAAGTCCCAGTCGAACAGGGATCTTAGCGTGCGTCCACATGAATGTTGCATTTGACGGAACGGCTCCTCGCCCCCATGATCCGCGTCCTCATCTTCCCCTTTCTTACCGCCCTCCTGGCCGGCCACCCGGGCCGGCTCGCAGGCATTTTCCGGCACCCCGCTTCAGCAGGCCTGGTCACTGTCCCCCGTGGCCGACGACATGGGTATCACGACATTTGTGCTGGTCTTCGGCCTCACGCCCGTGGTATCCGGCCTGCTGAGCGAGATCTATGGGCGGTACTGGGTCGTCGTGTCGTGTCGTGCCGGGTCATGTTCACGATTGTCCAGACGAGATACGTGTTCATAACCTCGTTCGAGGGGATACTGGCCGCGCGCTTTGTCACCGGCACCGGAAATCGGTCCACGCTCATGGCCCTCTACTCGCTCTGTTTGTGTGCGGGCACTGGCGTGGGGCGTTCGTTCCTCCAGACCAGTGAGTTGATAAGCAAGATCATAAGCAAGGCCATCCCGGTGTTACAAATTAGCCAACAATATGTCCCTTGCTCCCCTCCTTGTGTGAATGACACGGGCATGGTGGGATACCGAGCATAGCCATGGAGAAAGGGTCCAAAATTCCCGCTCTGCAGAAGTCTATGAGCTGCTTTTGGAGCTTATTGCCGCCGCCCCTCTTCGGTGTTCAGGCATACCCCGGTGAGTGCTATCATATGAGCCGACCTTATGCCGAAGACTAGGCCTGGTGAGCGCTTCATTGTGCTGCCAATGGCGGTTGTGTTCGGCGGCTTTCTGACGCCTGTGCGTTTGCTTGGATACCGGCTCAGTTGTTGATCGCGCGGAAGATGGTGGTGGTGATGAGATAATAGCACGCGGCAAATGAGTCATGTGCTACAAGAAGTACTGCAGAACGATGACATTTGTGAGCAGCGGCGCTGACAGATCCATCTATGTAACATTAAGCCGTACCACAAACTATGCTTTGCGCTCCTCCCTGAACGCGGACTTTGGGCCCGGCTTTTGCTAATAGCCAAACTCTTGGGCTATCTCCAAGTTAGCCTTGCGCACGCTGCCTCCTGCGTGCGCAGGTCTGGCCTGGAGGTGCCCACTCACGGCTAGCTGCGGGTTGCGCACGCTACCTCCTGCGTGCGCGCCTGCAGTCTAGACCTGCGTACGCTGCTTCCTGCGTGCGCGCCTGCAGTCTAGAGCTGCGTACGCTGCTTCCTGCGTGCGCGCCTCCAGTCTAGAGCTGCGTACGCTGCTTCCTGCGTGCGCGCCTCCAGTCTAGAGCTGCGTACGCAGGAGGCAGCATGCGCACCTCGTAGCTAGCCCAGGGTGCCAGACCTGCGTACGCCGCCGTCTGCGTATGCACCTCTAAGTTAATCGTGCACAAGTACATCGTCACTAGTCTCGTGTGCGCGGCCTCCTGCCTACGCAACTCGAAGCTGCATTGTATTGGTTTGGTGGCCCTGGTACCAATGCCTAGATTACCCGTGCTCGAGAAGATCGAGGAGAATGATCGTCCGTGTCTCGTCCTCTGTAACCCTTGCGAAACACTTTCTCTCCCACCTCCGTGCAAGCCTTTCGACCTGCAACAAGTCCATCGCATCCACCACTACTGTTTCACCTAATATCCACTTCAAGGTTGACTTGATTTCAATTTTGATCTAATCGCTGGCGTTGTAGCGCTTAGGCTTCAGCACCGAAACCGATGTGCTAGGATTGTGCGGCCGTACTTGATCTGGGTTTTATTTAAAGAGTAGCACAAAAGACTTGAAGCCATCGCGATGGTTCTCCAGAGGCGGGTTTACACACTGTCATCTAGTCGCTAATTTATACAGTTTTGCCATACCTCCAACCAGTATGATTAACACGTTCTACGCGGTGAACTCTCTTCGGTCGTGGGGTGGTGGTTGTTCCCCTGATCAGAGGAAACATCACTCTGCCCCAGGGCATTGCTTATCTTCTTTCTCTTACGCGGGTGCTGCGGTTCATGCTGCCGTATTTCGACGGGACGTGAGTTTCCTTGGCCGTGTACATAGCTAGCTTCTTGCACCTTGATCTTCTGTTGCAGACTGTCTAGCTCAACTTGCTTAGACTGACTTTCTTCGTTAAGCTCACATAGCTCGGCTTTCTGTGTTTGGATTGAAGCCTTAAGGTTATTTAGCCTGGCTTGCTCAGACTGCCTTTCTTTGTCAAGCTTAAATAGCTCCGCTTGTTGTATTTTGATTGCAGCCTCCAGGTTCTTTAGCTCTTCTTGCTTACGCTCCCATTCTTCGACAAGCCCACTTCGCTCGGCTTGCTGCGTTTTGATTAAGTCCGTCAGGGTATCTAGTTCAAATTGCTTAGACTCGGTTTCTTCGTCAAGTCCGCGTAGCTCTTCTTTTCGTTTCATTACTGAAGCTTCAATACTGGCTAACTCAGCCCTTTTCTCAGCCACAACTTGCGTGAACGACTGAAGGATAGCTTCCTCGTCGAAGATGTCTTCCTGATCATGGCTTTGTGCCTCCTGTCCCTCCGCATTCTCCCTCTCAGACCTATTGGCTGCTAGCGCTGTCTCTGCCATAATGGCATCGGCATCATCCGTAGCCAGTAAATTATCAAGTTGAATTCCAGCGGGAAGCTCACGACCAAAGAAAGCAAAGTAAACGGAACGGCGTACGAAGATTGACGTCATCAGCGGGAAAGCGCTCATCAGCTCTACATGAAGATTCGGGAGAAATAGCGACTCCCTATCCCGCTCATGGTCCATTTTGTGAGGTAAACCCCATCTCACTGGGCCTTCATTCCGGTCGCTAGTCTGGGTGCTCGAAGATGCTTCAGCTAGAGGTACTAATTCTGCACTTTCGAAGACTCCCGTGATCTGATCAACTATACCCTCGAGGTTCTTGTACATATATCGTCCCGGCTTCATGACGGCCAGAAGAGCTGTTCGGGCAACTTGTCGCGATGGTGACTGCTGAAGTATATTCCTTCTTGGCTCCGATGTGAACCCGAGCCGGGACGCAAGATCGGCTAAGCGAAAGAGCGTCACTTCATCCCCTTTCTTGCGTGGCTTGGCTCGGATATGAGCCTTCTGCGGCGCAGCTGGTAGGTCTTGATAGATGCGAAAGGCGGCTAGCCATAGCTGGCGGCAGCCCAAGGCGAATCGAGTCGCCACGGGCCCGGGTAAAAGCTTGTACTCAGACTCCGAGTATTGTATGATGCATTGTTGCTGGCCTGAACTTCCGTCTGTTAACATGCTTTCCAGACAGCCTTCGATAGTGTCTCGTGAGCCTAGATGCAGTAACCTTCTCAGACTCTCGACAGCACACTTGAGATACTTCAAATCTTCGAAAAAGGTATGAAGGGAAGGGATCAAAGTGTGCCTAGACACTGTACAAATCTGGGACCACATTTCCCCTCGCGCTTGCTCGGTGAAGCCCCCAAGGATGTGGCCACTTCTCAACTTGTCTAGAAGGGAGGAATGGTCTGACTGACAGGCCCCAGGGGCCATCCCCTGCAACGCCCGAATCGTGTCTGCATCAATTTTCTCCATTTTATTCTTGTCATCCCCACATATTGTCCTCCACGTCTGTCCTATACATCGCAGGTAGGCGATGATCGGCTGGAGACGGTTAGAAGAGTAGCATGGAGTTTAGACGGGGATAATACCTCTTCACATCTCAAACTCATCATTTGATGTATCACCGTGAGCCTAAAGCCACTGAACAGAGCAGGGACGATTAACAAGTCGTCGAAAGCTTCTAGGAAGGCCTTATTACGGCTCAGCTGTTCAAAGAGGTTCCTCCGGTTCTTTGATAGAGCTGAAAGCTGCCCAAGCCATAATCGCTCGAAGTATTGATTCTTCTGTCCGTGAACACCTTGATATTCACGAATCTTGCGATAAAACTCTCCATCGCTCGGTGCTTCCCGAAAGTCGTGCTCCTCAAGAAACAACCTTCTCAAGTCATCGCTGAGGTCTAGTATGGCTCACTGTTAGCCTTGGCCTGCTCGAGCTAATGGTTACTTACCTTCTAGAAAGAGATCTACTATCCAGCGGGTTTGGGCACCATCAAATGCCTCACAAGCTGCCAATGCCTTCTCGCCCTGTTGCAGGCACTGCAGCTGGGTGTTTGGTGGTAGCTCAAGTTCTACATAAGGCTCTGTCTCTTCTCGAAGCCTCTGGGCCTCTATATTGGCATTGCGAAGACAAGAGTCTAAGAGTTCTGGGCTTATGATAGCCTTCGCGTGGTGCCGATGCTCGTCTGCGCGAAAGCCCTTTTCCTCGCGAAACTTGCGCTTGAATGGCTCGAGAATTCGCCTGTCTGGGGCCATCTCGGTCGTCCATCTCGGCCCAGCGAAGCATAAAGCGTTTACACGGATGGAAGCTACGCCACAGAACTTGGCACGGCGTTCTTGGTCAAGCCGACTGTTCGTTTCCGCGAACGCCATGTTTTGGAGACATATACTGTAGGTTGGAAGAAGGGTAGCATGCATGGCAGCCTAGCCCATTTAACTTTCATCTTCGAGGAACGTGGGTCCTAAGCGCGAAGCGAACGCGAAAGTGGCTTCCCAATGCTACAGTAACAGCGTCTCCTCGAGGACATCGCAATATCCATCGCACCGCTCAGTACTGTAGCAATCATCCGGAACTGTGACACTACTGTACTGTACCACCGTCAGAGAAGGGCCGACCATCTAGCAACGTCCGCTACTGTTTATGGCTTATCAGAGGAATGATACCGGTGTTCGGCTCGGGAAGTGGCCAAGGGCCAAATTTGGCCTCTTGTAGTTGAGAGCAGGATACGAGGTGGGCCCTTTCGCTCGGAGTAGCGATAAGCCAAAATCAAGGTCAATCTCAGACCTATATAATGTGCCTTGCTACCCTCTATACATTTCTCATCTTCCCAACATGTCTCATTCCACCGCCTTGATGTCTACAGATACTCAGATTCCTTCTGTGATTACCCCCCAGGACAAAATCAAAGAACCAGAACGTCGCAACGGCTTACTCAGTCCTGAAGCAACACCAGCGCCTGACGATGGGCGAGTCGCAGCTGACAATGGGTGTCGAATGGCCGCAGGGGGACGCCAGACCCCTGAAGCAACACCAGCGCCTGATGATGGGCGAGTCGCAGCTGACCATCAGCGTCGACTTGCGGCAGGGGGACATCAGACCCCTGAAGCTTCGACTCCCCCGCCGGAAAGCCAAAGTAACAACACAGGTACTCCTGTCGATCATGGGATTGAGCAGACCAAGGCCATGATCAGAACCATCCTAAATTTCACCGATCAAGAGCTTAAGGAAAACCCAAAGAAGGTGCTAGGATTAGGCGATAGTGCTAGTCTTCGCGAAGTTCAAGATGCCTGGACGAACATGGGGCGTATGTTGGGTCGTGCCAGAAGGTACGATTCCCCAGATGATCCAGCTAGTAAGGCTTTGAGCAGTAAGCATCCATCCATAACTTGTTAGTGAGTGCAATTGTTTATAATGGATTCAAGAACTCGAGATGGCTGCGCGCTCCGCAGGTGTATCAATGAAAGAGATCCAGCAGGTACTCGATTGGGACGAGGGCATGGAGTCTGATACCGAAGAGGACGATGTCCGTATGACCACCGATGACCCTGAGTATCCCGTACCGATCCCACGCGTTAGTGAAGTTTATCAACAAGCAATACCTGTCTTCAACCTGATGGCCAGTGACCCTACCAACGACAAGCTCAGCCAACAGCTCATGCAGTTCAATGAGAAGATTAGAGTGGATAATGTCAAAGAGAAACTCCATGAACACGACTGGGAGATTCCCGTTCAATGGTTCATTACACATTACGGACTAATTAGAGAGGCGCGTATCCGTCTTGAGGCAAACCCTGAGGACGAAGAAGCAAAGAGAACAATTATGGCAGAGGAATCCTTGATTGACAAAGAGATTCAGCTAAAGCATTTCCCCACGCAGTGGTCAATCTCAGCGGCAGATGAAGCTTGGAAAAAGCAGCATGAACAAACATCACTGTTCGTAGAAGCTACCGACTCGGGAGCAACCAGACAGATTAACCATTCGAAAGAAACCACCAAGATTGTGTATCCCTGGCCAACTAAGGTTCTGCCGGATGGGTCTGTCATTATAGGAGTTAAAAGAAATGGTTCTCAAGGCCGGCAGGTCTGTATCGAGATAGAGGAGGCTGGGAGAACTGTCCGCTATCTCAAGCCAGCCTACAAAGTTGGCCTAAGAGCGGTCGACGAGTACGCCAAAGAGGAGGGGCATATGAACCTTGCCCAGGAACAGTCGACGTGGTCTAAAAAGAATCGAAACGATATCAAGGATCTTCTCTGGGTAACCAGCTCAGTAGTTAAGGGCGAACCCCCGAAGAGAGATCCTGTTGCCTACTGCTGTATTAAGCTTCACAGCGGTACACTGGCTATTCTCACCAGATCGAGCCTATGCAAGGTTTGGGGGGATAAGGACGCAAAGACCGCGATCAAAGAGGCCTGCGACAGAGATCAAATTCTAACACCATGGGAGGCTCGCGAAGCTAGCTATAGCAACAAGGGCTTGGCCGTCGGACAACAAGACCGCCACGGCAGCTCCGGCGTTTCCCAGGGCATTAATCACCACGCAGACATGCGCCAGAGCTCCGGCAGTCACTCCCAGGCGAACAGTCAGGCAGTGCCTCAATTCGAGACTAGGCTCAACAGCCTTGAACAGCGCGTGAATAAAATGACGGACGAAACGTCCGAGATGAAGCAGCAAATGTCCAATGTGATGGCTCTTCTGATGGAAATTAAGCAGAATACCTCCCGAACTGGCTCCCCGAGTGCTAAGTAGAGCGGCTGTTATACTCTAGGTTGCCTTCACTGTACTACTGTTGCACTGTCACCTTGTCTGTATCACCCCCTTCGTCTTGTCCTGGTTATATCTCTCTGTACAAAACACCTTCACCTTGTCAAAAATATTGTCTACATGTCATTCCGTTTGATTCACTGGTTATTCTTCTTCCCATCTACCAACCCTGTTACCAAGGATGTTCTTGCGCGCTTCGAATGTCTTGGTAGAAGAGACGTGGTGGTTTTCCTCTATGGTTGCTTTCGATTAGACTTATGTTAACATGTTTTGATAAGATATTCATGAACTTCTCCGCAATATGAGCCATGCCCCACGCCCCATGCCTTCTTGAAAGTCTTACAACTAGTCCAAGGACGGCCTTACTCGTGGCACCATCGCCCTGTGTTTGGACAAAGTGAGAACTAAGCGGGGTTGTGTGTCGCCGAAGGATTCTGAGGTCTTTCTGCGAGAGGAAAGCTCGTAAGGCACATCGTGCTAGTCCTATCTAGCGTGATCGATAAGAAATTGAAGCCTTGGCATCCCCCATCTAAATCCTCGGCCTAGAGCCGCGTGCATGCGTCTCTAGCCGACATCGTGTAAGCACGGACCTCTGAATGGAACGGGCAGCGCGTGCGAGACGCGCTGCGTGCCCTGCCAGGGGAGACGCCCCAACGGCGAGCACTTATGAACGAGGGCATGCTGGGCTTGGGCGGCTGCAGAGGCACGTTTTGGCGTTCACTAGCCACCGAGGCGGTCTCGGACGCACGTTCAAACAAGAGGCACCCATGCGCACGGCGGCGGCGGCGGCTGGGGGCCACTACTCGGAGCTTCAGGCTGATCAAGTACTTCAATCTCCTGATGTGGTGACATATGTTGCGCAGCCGCGGTGGGCTGTGCATTCCTGCAGTGCAAGTTAAGTTGCTAGATTACCATCTACTCCCACTTCGTGACCATGGGCTTCACAATCGATAAGGTGACTAGGGTGGTTGGGGAGAGTCGAAGCCTCATATTACCCCAGCTACACTGCATCTCGTTATTGCGACGCGAGGAGTTTCTCGCAGTTAGCGGACAAGAAGCGGACTACTAAGACAAAACAAGACTACGGATTAAATAAGCCTAAGGTGGCGACACAGATGCCGTCCCCTCCCTTCAAATATCTGCGCATAATGCTTGTGCTTGACGTGAAGGTGCCTGACATGTCCATTTGAGTTGCCGGGTGCGTAATAATGGTTAAACCCAGCCCAGCCGGGGCCTTTGCGAAACTGTGGGGCGTGGGAACTGCCGGCTGAACGCGTCCCCCTCGCTCTCGGCACCGTGGGGAACCTGCGCAGGACCTCCATTAATGGAGCACAGCGCTTTGGTACTTAAGCTGCGGAGCACTGAATCATGGCCCTTGTTTAGCAAACTGGGACCCTGCACCCCATCCCTGAGATATGAAATGTCAGGGTCCTCCATGATACCTCGACCCTTGCTGTCTAATGTCACCCCCTTCGGCAAGCCACTTTCGGCTTTTGGAGATCCTCGGTCGTTTACCTGGTTCCCTCGACATCTTCTGGCTCCCTCAAGTGTCCCCTCTATGTATCCTGTGATGCCGACTGCACAAAGCTCGTAGAACAAGAGCCGATTCTCGACCTCGCGTATGGCGCCTTACTCGTGAATTGCACTCGCTGCAGACCCAATGAGCGCTCGTCTCATGCATGGGCCATTTCAACCAGTTGCTGAGCGCCTTATCATACTAGGAAGTCCACGCTCCATTGGATGTCAGCACTCCCCCAGGCACGCGCGGCGTGAGCAGGGTTCATTGCGTGATGCTCGATGACTCGCACATACGCACTAGGATCCTGACAGCTCGGAGTCCTCGTCGCGCCGACACGGATCTCAATCGGAGCAGGTCCATTTCTGGCTTCCTGGTCCCCATTCGGAGAAGCAGAGGGCGTGTGTCCCGTGGCATCATCGTTTCTAGAGCGGGCACGGACTCAATCTCCATTCTCCACACAACGCCCCCCCATTGCTGTGTGCCCTGTAATCCGTACGATGAATGAAATGCCGAGACATGGACAAGGGTCTGACATCGTACTTGGTATCAGGCGACCTACATGATTCAAGGTTTGTCGCGCAAACGGCGCGGCACGCACATGATCACGAACGGGTGCTTGCTTAGCTTGATCCACAGATAGGGCCTGACTTCTTGTCCGCGTGTACACTGCTCCACTAGCACGCGGACATAGTTCTGACCCCTGAGCCCGAACTGGTAGGTTCGTCACTTGCATGCCGCACTAAAGCAAAGGTTTCTAGAGTCTTTCTTAGCCAAAGGCGGAGAGTAACGCTCGCAGTGCCCACCCACGCTTTCCAACAGCGTTGGTGTCACTCACGCATCTACATATGGCAGACTACTGTCTATGGCCCCTGGCACGGGACCAGGGACCGGGCAAGGCTATCACGGGGCAGCACCGTTCCTCTCTTGTTTGAGAACCCGAGGTCTACACGAGACATGTCTCGAGCGAGGTCGCTATCGCTGGCTGGGAAGTACCACACTCGACCAGGCCTTGCCTCTGCGAGACGACTGGGCGTAAACTACGCTTGCCAGGCACAAGATCACTGGCACAGTCAACGGCATAAGGCTTAGGAGGCCGGGGTTGTGTCCCGTTCAGGGCGGCCTTTCCCGTAGCTGCTTGCTACCGGTTCCCATCCTAGCTATCGCGGCAACGATACTTCATGACAATACAAGTCTATCTGATGGTTGATCGTACCTAGCTCGGCAAATTTACTCCACAAAACAATCAGCAGCTCAATTACACCTCATCCGGGCTCAGTTCGACTCGGCTCGAGGTTACAGGGACCATGGAAGCCTGTGTCGCTCTATAAAACGCTCTCAGGGTTGTGCTTCACACCTGGCCTCGTGACTGCGCGTTGCTTCTACTGCACTACTACCTCTGCCTGGACAGTCGCGACCATCGCTCTCAGAGCCTTCCTCTAGCCACGTTCCACTTTGAAATCTCACGCTCACAGTGTTGGTGACAAGGATCGCATCTGAGGACGCCTCTTGCTCATTGGCAGACGTCGTTGCAACGGGAGGTGACTTCTGATTGCATGCACTCGGAGACGCTGGAGGCGCTGGAGACGCTGGAGTCTTGCTTCGCGCTGACTGGCCTTGGACGCCTACGCAGGTCATCTCGTTGCTCATGGTAGCCTGTGTCCTCGCTAGAACATTCGCGACGAGCGGTCGTAGTGCTGGTAGACTTCCACATAGCAACGCGCAGAATTGCTCCACTGCCGACCACACGACGATGTCTACGCCGTCCCAAGTAGCATCAAAAGTCGTGCTGTAACTGACGGCGTACTTCATGCGGATCATAGATGTAAGGCAGGCGCTGACAATGAGTAAGCCTTCCGCTACAAGAGCGTCCTCAAGCCGGGAATGCTTACAAGGAACCGATACTGAACAGGGCGACCAGGATTATTCGACGGTGTCGCTGGATCTGCAGCTGCCAGATTTGCTTCATGGGTAAGACAAGAATGGCGACGTCCTCGACAATACTCAGAATGCCTCTACTATAAATAACAGCATTAATATCAATACAGCGTCGGGCCGTAATAAGCCGGTCCCAGATCGACTCGATTGGTATACACTGAAGAGCCGTAAGAAGAGTATAGACAGTCCCAAGCACCGGAAGAAGACAGAGTAGAACCCAGGTAATGTGGCGGATCGTCGGAACCGGGAAAATCCTCAGATAAACTAGTAAGATGGCCATCTTTCCGACGACGAGAAGAACCATGTAGACGATGGAGTTCAAGTAGAATAACTAGTAAGGATGTTCAGCATGCTTACGGGAAGAGCGGTCAGGCGGGACTGGTCTCACCTTTAATATCAGGGTCCCCGTCTCTACCGGGATAGTCCAATAATGCATGCCGAAGCCGATACTCGCATTATACAAGTTGATCGCAGCTAGCACTGCTAAGAGTATCTGTGCTTCGTTAGTATCGGTGAGAGGCGGTCTAGATGATGACCTACGGCTGCAGCGATTGTCGCGAAGTCATCGCCTGAGAACCCTTTGGCGTAGCGGAGCCTGCTGTAAAGTCGGAGTGCTATTACAGGAAAGACAATGACACATCCCGCAATGGTTACACTTATGACTTCTGAGCTGCGAGACTCTTTGGGATAGCTGGCGCAGATCTCCGTCTCGATCCTCCCGGCGACTGAGTCAAGTTAGTCAAGCCCACTCCCACGTCTGGGGAGCCTTACCTACCTGATCCGCGAAGGTACAGCTAGTCTGTACACATTCAGACAGACCAGCTTGGAGGGCTATATCAGCACAAAGACAGCTCGCAAGATCGGTGCCATTGCAGCCTTTGGCGGCAAACGCATCGACGATACAGAAGCGCTGCAGCAAGAGTTAGCACCGCAACCTGGGTAGACAGTAGTACTGACAGTACACTCTGGTGCAGCAGCCACAAGCTGCGCAACAGAGTCAACTTGGCCAACCACCATACCAGTCTGCAAGACTGGCACAGTGGCAAGAAGGAATCGCCTGATCTTCATCGTAGTGAGGAGCTCTCCGATTGACACTATTTTCTAAACCTTGTGGCTGATGGACGCTGCGACTGAGAAGCGCCCCCAGCATTCAGGCCTCAGGGCTTATATAGCATGTCGCATCCAGGAGCTATAAGTGGCGGAGTGTTATGACACGGAGGAAGACCAGCAGCCCTCTCCAATATTGGATGCATGACGGATGTCACAAGAACGACCTCGGCCCTCGCACTCATAAAAGCCTAAAATGGTTATTTAGTAAATGGAAAAGCCCTCAGCTGCTAGACGACGGTTCATTCACGACTTCAATTAACAGATCCGACATACAGCATGCGTACTACTAAGAGCCAGGTCAACGAGGCCACCAGTGCGGCATGGAAGCCAAGCGCTGCGCAGTACCTCGTCATGGCCACACTATCCTCTCTCTCGTTAATGGTCTCTCTCGATGCCTCGATCCTCGTGACATCGCTCCATGTAAGCGTCGTCTGCTTCCGAACCTCCTTCTGAGCTAATTTGTACCGCAGGCGATCATTGTCGATCTGCGAATAGATACGACCCAGGGCTTCTGGATTGCCACGTCATACCTGCTTGCCAACACTATTTCCATGCCCTCCGCTGCGGCATTGAGTGACATATTCGGACGCCGCAACTGTCTCTTTGTATCTCTCACCTTCTTCTCAGCGGGTTCTGTCGTGTGCTCTGTTGCACAGGGAATCGCTGTGATGCTTGTGGGGCGATGCCTCCAGGGGATTGGTGGCGGGGGCATTATTATCTTGAGTCTTGTCATCTTCACGGACATAGTGCCGCTCGACTTCCGGCCGAAGTGGTACGCAATGATGTGGGTGAGTCCGTGATCCTCTCTTGATTTCAGTACGCTAACACGCAACAGACTCGGAGCCTGGGCTCTGGGAAATTGTACCGGCCCAACTATCGGCGGCGCGATTGCTCAATATACCACTTGGCGCTGGGTGTTCTACTTGGTCTTCCCTTTCTGTGGTGTTGGGTTTGTGATGATCCTTCTAATGCCGCAAACTCCAATCCCAGAGAGTCGCCTCGGCAACTTTGACTGGCTTGGCTGCGTTTCCTTTACCGCCTCTATTACCTCGTTTCTCATTGCCATCTCATGGGGCGGAGTACAGTACAGCTGGACAAGCGCCCCGACTCTTGCCCCGCTGGTTGCCGGTGTTTGTGGCTTAGCAGCTACACTGTTCTTAGAGACACGCGTTAAGACGTCACCTTTCTTACATCTGCGCTTGTTCCGGAGCGTCCGTACAACCGCGCCTTACGTGTGTGGGCTACTACAAGGTCTTTTGGTAAGCTGCAAAGAGGACTTTTCTATAGCCCTGCTAACTACGTGCTAGCTATACGGTCAACTCTATTACATTCCATTCTACTTCCAATCTGTGAAAGGCTTTACCGCACTTGAAACCGGTAAGGCCATTATACCCGTGGCGGTTGCTCTAGTGGTAGGCTCCGCAATATCGGGCATAGTTATCACAAGGCTAGGCCACTTCGGCTATCCCATATGGGGTGGATGGGGGCTAACAACACTTGCGACGGGACTCACTCTACTCTGGGACAGAGATACGCACCAGGTAGTCTGGGTAGTCACTCTCCTCCTGCTCGGTCTTGGCCATGGTGCCGTCCTAAACGCGCAGAACAATGCAACCCAGCAGATGGCTAGCGGCCCCGAGCATGGCACTGCCGCTGCTATGTATGGCTTTCTCCGGCAATTTGGCATGGCTCTAGGAGTTGCGGCCGGCACTGCTGCCTTTCAGAATGTCATGGCACTGAAATTGGATTGGCAGGGTCTATCTCAGGAAATTGCCATCCACAGTGAAAGTTACGTCGCTGAACTCTCCCAGCTTCCGGATGGAAGCGATACAAAGGCGCAGATTCTACAAGCATATCTCTATGGTTTCCGTGGAGTATTTGGCTTTTTCACAGCCATTTCAGGTGTAGCTCTCTTAGTCAGTCTGCTGGCGAAGCCCAAGGAGAGCAGAGGCCGTCGGCGTCTCAACACAAGATGAATGGAGCGCTACCTCGTTACAGGCCTGACTTAGCCTAGCCAGACATAAACCTCTACGGCGCTTGTCAACTGGAGACGTATTCTTCCCCCTACTCTTGCTGGTAATCTAGCTCCTCAAGAATCAAGCCGCGGCTCAGATATCGCCCTGCTACTTTCCTTGTTGTATCACGGAGCTCATGCGATCCTGACACTGATAGAACAAACAAATCAATTACACTGGACTCAAAGTCAAAGTGCGGATGTGATAAACTGACCGAGTACGAGGATATGATCATTGTCTGATTGATATCGCGCTTGCGATTCCAGTAGTGAATCTTGATCGTAGGGAGGTGGACGGGAAGGCAGTCCCACTTCCGGAATAGAATCTCCATCTACCTCACTTTGTAGGATCTCAGCTATATTCGGCGCGTAAGGGAAAGTGTTTACGCGGCCATGATCCCCTAAAGCTTCGTTGTGAGTCGCACCCTCGTTGTAAATGGAGATTTGTAGGATCTGAGGTCTGTCAGGTCTCAACGCAAAAGGAAGGATTCAGTCAATAATCAGCTTACCCTTCTGAGGGTTGGATCCTGTAGATAGTTATTCAGTAAGGCTACTAATGGAGCGAACTCGCTAAGCCTCTTTACGTGCCAGACAAGGTGGGCACGGCATTTGTGTGTCGCAGTAATCTTCTTCAGGTAGGGACAGACCGCAATAATCCCGAAGTCCGTGGTTAACATCAGAACACACTTAGCCTCCTTCAAGGAATGTGATTTTCCATAAGGGCCGCTGAAGAATGCGAGATGATTCCGCACGCCCTCTTTGAGAAGTTGCAAGGTTAGCCCGCCTCGGCATTGGACATATAGCTCTAGTTTGTCCTGCTTTAGAGGGGACCACGAAGTAATGGTAAAGGGATGGCTTTGCGCCCACGACCAATAGCCGAGAGCCCGGGACACAATGCTCAGGCTGATGTATTGTCCAGCGTCGATCTTGATCGGACGCGGCAGCTGGAGGACTATTCTCACGATAACCCCATCTTTTATAATATCTGCTTCAGGGAATGGTTTGCCCCAGCGAATATTCCGGTACAGAAATAGCAAGAACTGCACAGCATGAACAAGACCGATCATTCCAATCAGGGTAAACAACAACCACTGTTGCACATAAGCGGTGGTGCTTATATGTTGCCATGTGGAGAAGGCGATGATGACTGCGAGGGCTTTATGGGTCTTGTCTGCGACTTCGTATAAATGCTTCCTGAGAGGGACTATGCTGAGAACCGCCATAAGTCCTACAGAGGTCGATACCTGGGAAGTTAGTGGGGTCTACCAATCTTGGGAATCGAAAACCCTACCATTATCCTACATAGATCGAGTACTTCTTCAAGATCGAGAGACAGAGAGACGTGGAGAAGCAGTAGCGCGAAGGTCATGACCCCTGCCGCTTTGTGTACTTCTTGTGTCGTTTTACGGGATAGGCCCAGAGAATTAGCTAGAAAGTCTAAGTGGAATGACAGGAAGAGTGGCGTTATATTAGTTGCTGCTAAATAGCCAGCTCGTGATGCCAGTTCTGTTCGCGATGGCTGCGGCAGTAGCAGGCACACCGCATTTGATACCACATATATACCTCGACCGAGGATGAGACTAATGGTCCAGGGTCCTGCCCATCGATGGCGATTGATTATGAAGGTGTAGCTGAACAACCGGAGCACCAGAAGAAAGAGAGCACGACACCAGATGTAGATAAGCGGCAACACCTGCCGCGCTATGAATAGCGCAATGAGGATACCGCAAAGAGACAAAGCATAGACTTGATGGGCGGGAAGTTGCACGCTTAGCAAATCATCCATTACATCTCATGCAAAGCTAGGATTCTGAGACACTCTCGAGAGGGAATAGTACATATATACAGTCTCTCATGTCGGCCTTATGCTATTTCCGGCTCAACTCCTTTGTTACACCTGGCTCCATTTTTGGAGATGTGACTAACACGAGCCTCGTAAAGTTATACTTGGTTTTCAAGCTTATACTCTCGTGGGTGAGCCTGTACCTGACTAACAGCTATTAGAATAAGCAGGGAGCCGCAGTCCCACAATGCGCCATTTCGCCCGAACTTCTTAAGAAACTCGTGCTAGAACATCCATTAGTAACACGAATCGGAATATCATGGGGGGCCAAGTACCTGCTGTAGCTCGGTCGCAGTCTGTGCTGATGTTGTGGCAGCGACAAAAGACACTGCGTCCCCATTAGAAAGCCACTGCCGGTTATGGATGCCCTCTCTGCCTTCATTCTTGTTGACCAAGCCTTGCGTGATTGTGTTGATCCGGGCTGCTACCCAGTGCTTTCGTGCCGGATTGACGGGCTGACACGCTTCACAGCAAGCTGATGCACTTCATTAGAGCCAGTCCGTTCTCCAGACTGCGTTTTCGCTGCTTACATATCTTGACTTCACCATTGTTGTTCACCAGAATAAATTCCCAGTCTAGTAACGGGTGTTCTAGATTCTCGCTTTCCAGAAAAGCCAGGCCATCAATGATCTGTTTATTAGCCACTGGGACGTGTGTCGGAGGAGAGTACTCACTTGTCCAAGAATTGCAGCGCCTTCGTGGGGACTAGGGTACCGAGTACATGAAATGACATGCAGAAGGCTTAGCTGCATCACCTCAAAAATGACGTAAACGTCCTTATTCATTGAGAACGCCTCGAGTGCTGAAACAAAGCTTGTATGCCGACGATTTTGGATATCATAAAGACTCGCCGCGGCTACTGATCTGATGTTCACAAATCTTCCTGGCGATGACTGTTCCAATGCAAGCCAGGTTTCCTTACCGAGATCAAACCAAGTAAGGATTTTGGTGTACTTTTGCCAAGGATCTCCGGGCTGCGCTCCCAGGAGGTTCACACGAGAGGTCTTGCTTTGGTTCGATGGAACGATAGTCTCAATGACAGGGTTGGTAGTATCCCTGATCTGAATTAGGCTCTCAGAATCCTTCGTTTTGATAACCTTGCGTTCTCTGGGTGGTGTCGCTGGTTCCAAGGCAACGGGCTGCCGTTTGTTAGGCACGCCCTTTCGATGAGTGCTGTTCGGGTCATTGATGTAGATTTGAGTAAATCTCGTGTTATCCTTGCTCATTGCTCAGTATTATGCCGACGGGCAGCGTAGGAGCGTATGTGCTTCCATTGATTTAAGTAGGTCGGTGGCCACCGGGCTTGGGATGCAGTGGCTGCGGGAGCACATTTTGGAGCCTCGGGAGAATTCAAGTTCGGACTCCTCGGCACATCCGCCAGACACAGGACTCAATACACTCTTTGCGATGAGCAAGAGAAAGCCAGACTCAACGAGGGACGTGGAGCTCTACTGTTCAATTCGAGAGTGCAGCCTACTAGGCCAACACGACAGGCAAGTGCGGTTGTTAGAACAATTATCCTCACGACATGCGCTGAGATGTGTGCGCGCAATACTGCGAAGTGAAGGCCTTGCTGCAGCCTTTGATAAACCCTTGGCGGTTCCGGCGCTCAGAGATGGCTGGAGTGTCAGTCAATGGCACAAATACGTTAGATATAGCGAGGTATGTGCCACGGCCGCTTTACTCAAGTCCCCCTGAAGGCTAAGCTCGGGGATATAAGGAGGTTATTTGTTATGTACGACGCGTTACAGAGGACTGGGAGGCGATCGTACCTTTCGAAGGGCTTCTGCTTGACTTGGACACAGATACTGTAAAGGCTATCGAAGGGCGATGCCCGATGGTATCGACGCACGATGCTGAGGAGATTGACTCGCGAATGGAGAGAGGCACAATCTTCAAGAACTTCAGCACCGAACAGAGATTGATCATCAGACAGGGCCTATGGTCTATAGGTCACACAATTCCCTCCCTGTTTACCCTCCTTGACGACTTGAAGCTTCTGGACTCATGCGCTCAAAGCATTAGTCACCTTATGCCATTACTAAGCGGTGTACTAAACCCTCCATGTCGCGTGGTGTCGAGCGCGCCAATAAGCATATACAGTATAATCAAGGGCTGCTATCCAGGTGATCCTAGTAATAGGGGCATCTTGGTAGAAATAGCCGAAGGTGAGTATTATCAGTTGGACGCCTCCTCAGAGGTACGCTTTGAGATCGCGCGACGACAGCTGTGGCTGTATGCTCTGAGGAACTTCAGAGACCTCCCGAAGGCCCGAGATGGTAGGGCGAGGAGGTTGCTGACGAAAGTCGAGCTGAGTAGAGCACATTTGGAGTCCTTGCAAAAGTTCGCGACGTTTGCAGGCCGGATTGGATTTGTATCGCCCGAAATCATGAGATTAAGAAGCCAGGAGGATGTCCCCATCACAACCGGGGATCTGCCGCAGCGTGAGAGTAGTGCAAGCACAAAGAAACGAAGCGGGCTGCCATACGAAGATACATTCAATCAAGACAAACAGTACTTGTTTATTCCTAATCTCCATCGCGACCATATACCATCGACGGTTACCTCATTTTTCGTACTACAGTCCATTTACACGGCTTTCTTTGGTACTATGCCTCAGCTCGGTCATATCTTGCCCCGAGCGTTGACGCCATCCAGTATCTCGTCAGCCGACTCGAGCGAGATCGAGAATACACAAAGTGAAGCTGATGACATCTCGTTACCTCGCCAGGAAAGTGGAACAAAGAGGGCGAATGAGCTGCCGAGTCATCAAGCAGTAAAGCGACAAGCTCGATTATGGGCGAGCACGGCCGAAGTGAACTCACCCGTTCATTCTCCCGCCCATCATCCCATTCACTTCCGCACATTCCGATATGGACAGCTAGAGACTGTTCTTACAGCGCACGTTGACCCTTCCGACGAAAATGAAGTAAAGAAGGTCGCGTATGAGCTTCAAGAGCAGGACTTTGCGTTTCTCTCGACCTCTTTTAAGTCGTTGCTCCCAGAGCAAGTGCAAGGTAGTGCTTTGTCAAGTGGAATCAACACGGTCCTGGTCCTCCCGCGAGACCGTGTTGTAGTGGATAAGCCTCTTAAACAGGCGATTAAAAACCTACTAAATGGAGGAACTGAAACGATACTATAACGACTAGAGATGATGAAAACGAGCTCTGAGCGAGATAGACTAATGCGAACAACACCCGTCTTACAACGCCTTTGAGCAAGCTCCAGCTCGTTGTTGATCGTTTGAAACACACCACCCTTCCAAATATTCTTGAATGGAAACTGGTCCTTCGAGAAACAGCCATACGAGGAAACAACTATTTACACTACATGCCAGCGCGATATCGTGGCTATTCTACGCCCGCGACTGAGATGCAGGAGGTTCGCTAGCGAAAGGCGCCACTACTGGATCAAGAGCCAGCCCTAATAGCGGTCGAACCTCCCATGGCATCGTAGCATAGTCGAACGCTGAGGTCTGCAGCGGTAGGCGATCGTTCGGACGAGGATATAAGCGGCTGAAGATGGAAGGACTGTATTCCAAGTGCTGGTACATAACTGTGGTCGTCAGGTTCTCGTCGTGTGAAGGCCCTCCTGCATTTTGTCCCCCACAGTCAATCAGCCAGCGGAATAAGTGATGGTATGCCTCTCTCATGACTTGACCTTCCATGTCGCTTGCTGTTTGGACAGCTTGAGTCATCTGGGATGATGCCATATACGATACACGTGAGAGGTCCTCAGTGATGATCATACACCACAGACGGAGCAGGACGAGCCAGGACTCGTGGTGACCCTGCTGAACGAAGTACGAGCGGCTGTAGATGATGTGACGAAGCCAGGCCCAAGACTGCTCTTCTTCTGGCTTCACCTTTTCTCTGCGAACTTTGACAAGGGCCTTGCGTATGAAGAAGGCTTTGTGCAGAGGGCAATCATCCCGCCAAGAGGCTTGAAGCTCGCCAGTCCGCTCCAGGGAGTAACCTTCCTGGAGCAGTGCCGAGATAGCTGAGCATGGTCGAAGGAATGCCTCAGTACATTCACAGCCATACTGCGCAGATACGCGCACCATATGTAGGCCATTTGAGGTTTGGTTCGCTGGGAACATTGCACGCATAACTATTCCATGACCATATCAGAAAAAGGGGTCACCTCTACTGAAACTTATATCCGAAGTGCGTCCACTTCTGGCCTGTACAGCCTCGTGCGCTGTCTACTTCGCCTTTTTCTGGAGCTAGCTAAAGAGGGCATTGCGAATGCCTTCTACCCGTGTGGTTCCCTTCAAAAACACAGCTTGCACAAATGGGAGAGCCATCGTAGCCCCCAGTTCCGTAGAACTGCCAGGCTGGATGGTAGTCTGTCCACAATGCCCCATTGAACAATGACCTGCCCTCAAGTACATCTGCTGTACAAACAATCTGGCTCTCACATTCGAGCAACAGGTCGTCCATGGCGCAGAGCCCGAGGATCAGCCCAACGGCTCGACATTTCCGTGCGAGGATATAATTTTCGAAAGCAGTCCAGCTTGGAAACCTGGCGAGAAAAGGAAGGTTCAGCTCGAGACTGCCGAAGGTAGACCCAGTGTCGTACAGGTACTCGCAGAAGTCAGTTAGGTCAGTCATCTCGTCTTGCTCAGACTGGCACTGTTAGTACGAGCAGACGAAGGCCGAAAATGCCAAGTACCTGGTTGGGCCAGCCAGTCCTAATCATGGACAAAAGATGCTGAATGAGAGGGTCTTGGATGTGCATTGGACAGGTGTGAGATAGTGGATTGGAGCTCAATAGTACTCTCTCGTTCCTCTGGATAGCTTGGGCCATTTCTGCTGGTATAGAGATATGGCGGCCGAGGATTATGACTGGTACTGGTACGTTCGTTGGATGAGACAGTAGTCTTGTCCGCTCATATGACCACTACTATGTCCGTCATATAAATGTTCTGCCCTCTCACCTATTTGTGGCGCCTGTAGAGTTCCTACTCGCGGGATCATGTTGATCTGAAAGCGCCATTCTTGGTGCAGCTGCTCTTGCGGGCCGACTCTAGCTTGCTCCTTTACTGACCGTGTTTCAGGATGATAAGGGAAGGGGGCTCGCGTCCTTCAACTATAAAAGTAGCTGTCCGGCTCCTGATGAGCTCCTGTCTCGTACATCGAGGCGGTGCAATGGGTTCCCTCGCATCTCCTCTCTGTTTGGTCCCCAGGCGTAAGGCCAGGGACACCCGCATGGATATCTCATTTATTCTTAACAAAGAAGGCGATCTTCTTGGGGACGCAATTATTTTGCCCTCCAATAAGCCTCCAGCACGTCGAAGGAAGGGGACAGATTCAAGCAAGAGCTCTCGATATCGAAACGAGAGTCGTCTTCTTGAGCGTAGCTTCGAAATCGTACAGTACTACCGCTGTGTAGACATGTCCAATACTGATACTTTCGCAGCAAGAAGTTATGAACCTGGGCCCGACGATGGCGTGGCGTGATGGGAAATATTGAGAGAGGGTTGGTCCCGAGCTTGGGTTAGTCCTCGCTTGCTACTAATGGAGATCGATCAAGTACTAAGGCTAGGGGCTGTCTCTACATGTGCATGTCTTCATCGTCCATCCGGGACTTGTTGCTCTATCTCCTGCGCTTGGCGATTGTCCTCGAGCCCAGCCTTGCTCCCTCGTTCTTGTACGCTCGTGCTATTCCTTGACTCATACTTTGGCGCACAAAGCGAGAGCTGTGCCTTGATTCTCTGTCCGAAGTACGCACCATATAGTGCGCGGCTTGTTATGATAGCACCTTTGTTTAGGAGGACGGTCTTAAACAGTCAATAACATCTCGGAAGTAATCGTGGCAAAGCCCGGGAGGCGCGTGGGCGGCAACACTGCCCACACACTATCGGAAACGAGCGACGTCATCCAGAAGGTGGTAGAGCGTCCAGCAAGCTACGATGTTCGTGTAAATGCCACCACGACGCTACACTCATGTGCTAGTGCTGAGACATATTATGGGGATCACCAAGAGGAGACTGCGCGATGTGAGATCGCTGGCAACTGGTGAAAATGAAGACCATGCTGGGAAGTTCTCTTCGTCTCCTCTCGCTGTAAACGCACTGATGCCATTTCCGACTGGCCAAGCAACTCGAGGCTGATGTCATCAGAGCCTCAATCTCGGCATGCAACTACTCGAGCACGATCGCCGGAGTGACAACCACAATGATGGCTTTACATGATACTGGAATGGGGCCAAGGAGGAGTGCGTCAAGCTTCGAAGTGCCAGCTCCGGAACGAATGAGCCAAATATCGGCAGCAAGCCGCTGAGAAGGAGGGCAGCTCACGAGAAAGAAACATACATAATCAAAGTGGAGGGCTCGCATTTCCTACCACCAAAGGTGCTCGGGGGAACCATGTTTGTCGATAGGGCAACGCCACTTCAGAGACAACGGCTGAATGGACGCTCTGATCGTCGCAACGTGTCGAGGCCCTGTCTGTGCCAAATGATCAAGAAGCCGCAACTGTGTCAGTGCAGGGTCCTCTAGCCGCGCTCCATTTTTGGCGCCTCCTTCTCTTTGCTGCCCCGCACTCCGCTGCTCCATTTCTGGCTGCTCTCATTCTCGAGGGAGCTAGGACCCCAGGGTTGCTTGCCAGTGGGGCTCCACTTCTACAGGGGCGCGGATGCCATGCCGCTCCACCCATGTAAGCGTTGCATAGCGGAGGTGGTTCCGCGCGCCCATCTCCGGCAAGCCCTGGAGGTTTGTGAAGGAAGGCGTTCTGAGCTTGCCATGCTCGACCTCGGCGCGGCGTTCTCAACAACCAGCTCCATGATACTTCCGATAGCTTGTACGAGGTGTCTCCTACGTAGGCACTTCAATGCTCATCAGCCAGCGTCCCGGCGAAGGGGTCTCGTCAAAGTATAGCGTACAGTATTGTGCAATGCCTTTCTGAGACTTGACTAGCTCCTATGTTCGAACGCACACGAGCAACGGCGGAGTGTCCGCGCAGCACCAGGAGGAGCCGAGAGTAGTCTCTTTGGCACATGGGAAGCTGCGGCGCTAGAAACCAGCTGCACAAATTAGCGCCCTGCTTAGCGTACCGAAGTGGATGGAGCTGGGGTCCTGTGGGGGGGCTCCATTTTCAGCGCTCGCAGATCTCGGATGGCCTTGCTGCCCATTCGAGTGCAGTTGGTGAAGCTTACAACGTGAGCGCCCAGTCAATCGACTCTGACTCTCGTTTATTCCTAGCTGATCAAAAGAATAAGAGCCCACATGGTCTGCTGCCTGAGTCCTTAGACTTCCCGAATCTCCAAGTAGCCCACGCCAACTACCGTAGCATCACCAGAGTCAGCCAGAGTGCCCTGAAAACGACTTGAGAGGACAGTCTCTGCTCTCCAGCACCTCACATGCGATGACTTCTAAGCCTGCCCAAGTCCGACTGCCGTCAATCCAGGATATGGTTCCGGAGTCGCACCTCGTCAATCCCGGACACATGGCGCAGTACAGCCTTGTCCATGGTCACCGAGTGAGCGAGGAGAATGACGCTAATTGCGGGTCATGGACTTCCTCACAACCACAAGCGACAGACGGACTCAACGCTTACTCCTCGCAGCTGTGGCTCCCTGACCCCACGGGGCCACTACTCGTCACCGGTCCATACACTATCCTAGCGACTGTTCACTTAGTCCTGCCGACGTGTGGTGCCGTTAGTCAGCTTAACTATCCTCCATTGATGCCGCTTCCGCCTGTCGAGATGCAGGACCTAGTTCGCCCTGCTCAGGCACAGCTACCAGAGCTGCAAGGCAACCAGACTTATCACGAACCAGAGACAATGATCTCGAGCTGGAACACCGTGCAGTCCCCGGGTAGCATCTATCAAGAGACTCTGTATTCCTCTCCAGGTCCAGCATACAGCGGAGCCCCAAATGCCGTCCTACAGAGCCCGGAAGCACGGCTGCGCGAAGATCTGTCTGCCGGTACTTCAACGCAGCTGCACGACGAGCATAGCATGGCCATTGCTGGCACAGAGACCATGGTGGGATCAAGCCTGCTCAACATCAACGGTGGAAACCGAGTCCTTTACCCGTCTCCGGGCGAGCTCGTCCCGAAAATCGATCGAAAGCAAGGCAAACGGCGCCAGCGTGGGTCCGCAGGCTCGAAGAGAGGGCGCTATAGGGGTGGCAATGCTCAGAAAGCCACCTATGACAGCTGCGAATCTGGTTCTGGTCACGGAACGAGCTCACACACGCGTCAGACGGGATGCAAAGCCGAATCCTCGCCTGAAAATCAGGGAGCAGCACCTGAGGTGCCTTACTAGACGCATGCTATTGTGGTGGCGCAAGCTGTTCACTTGTAGAAAAGTAAACAATACCACAGCATTCAAACTAGTGCCCAAGGACATGTGCATGTGACTCAGCTGCCGAACATTACGCTGAACGATCGGACATCAAGAGGCGCGATGCTGACCGAGACGGGAAGGCCACAAGGCGTGCGTCCCGTTGTGGAGAAGGGTACTCTCGACGGATGAGGCCACCCACGCCCCAGAGGAGACTGAAGGGGTCCGCTGGGCAACAGAGGGACCTCTGCAGGTGAGAGAGATTCGGATCGGTGAGTTGTCCTTACGCCTACCTGCAAGGGATGAGCGTCAGAAGCAAGCCATTGTCGTCGAACCAAGACAGGGGCATGTGCCGAATCGCCAGGAGGAGCCACACAAAGGCTTTGCCCTTCCAAGTAGAGTACGGGTCGATCCTTGCGTTGCGTCTGATCGACCAAGGTTAAGCGACAGGGAGGTGACGTCCCGCTCAGCAGGGGGAAGAAAGACCCTTGCCACTGGCACAAAATGGAGTCAAGGAGGCTGGGTTGTCCCTGCCCGTCTGCAGCGATGGCCTGTGCACAAGACTGGCGCGCTGCCAACATCACATTGCGTAAGAAGACCCTGGACCTTTGAGCGGGACTAGTAGAAGCTAGGGCTGTCTGCGAAACACCAGGCTGGTTCACGACGACCGTCCGATGGCAGGGGTGGCATTCCTTGCTCAAGTGGACCAACCGGGATGCAACCGGAGGCCCCGGCACAGTGCTTCCTGCTCCAGGACTCGCAATGACCCGAGCGGTGACTTGTCATGCACATTGGCCAGGATTCATCCAGTCATACATATTAAGGCTCGGCCGATACTTTGGGCCGGTGAGGCACACCGCGCCAGTCGCGTCCTGACGAGGCTCCGAGCAGTGTTTGCCAAGGCCTGTAACTTCTTACAGGGGCTGGCTGACGCTAATGCGCTTTCGAAGAAGGCTGCTGTGAGGAGCCAGCTCCACAGGCCCGACATATAAACAACTTCACCCCAATTCACATCCGGGGACAGCCATCACGTTCAACACATCTGAACGACCGCCACGCAGTGCGCACGACGGTGTCAGCTATTCTTCCGGCGCGAGTAGCGACAGCGACTGACCGTCATACGACCATGTCAGCCATAGCATCGGCGCCAAACACCGCAGACCAAGATGGAGGCGTGCTTGGCACCGTTTCTAATCTCGCCTCGCACCACAATACCGCCAGCACCAGTGATGGGGCGACTCTCTGCGCCCGCCTGAAACAACTCTTGTCGCGCGCCGAAGAAGTCCTAGACAGGTTCTCGAGAAGCCGGGCAGAGCTTGAGACGCTTGAAGAGATCTTCAAGCAGGGTTGGCTCAACATACGCGAACAGACCCAGGCGGGCGACACGAAGGCACGATCTCCCCAATCTCAAGGCCAAGATTCCGATACAAGTTCCACAGACATCACGTCTAACATCCAGACGGCAACATCGAACGAGGTCTCGGCCAGCTCAGCGCTGCGTCCTCGTCGCGTCGCGCCTGCATCTGACCGTCTCTTGTCTCCCAACATGCAGCAGCAGCCTGCTGCTGCTGCATCCAACAAAGAGATCGCGCCGATCAACGATACTACTGAGACACAACCAGCGGCGCCGACGGTCGAGAAGGATCAGCAAGCCAACAGCAGCGACGGAGGAGCGGCGGATACTCTTCAGCAGCATCTTAGCTGTGGCCAAGTGCCTTCGTCCAGTGCACCAACGCCCGACGATGGATCCGCCAGCAGCAGTGAGGATGGTTCCACGCCTGCGACAAGCCCTGACAGTGGCTGTGCCAGCAACAACACGACCACAGAAGGCACCGAGGGCGAGAGCATGACGGACACCACCACCCATGCAAGCAGCAACCTGCATGAACAACGCGATGGGGTCGGCATGTCCACCAACGTTGAAGCACAAGTCTCCACAAACGCGGTAGCGACCACTGGCGACAAGGCAATCGAGCCCGCCAGGACCGCTGACGACACTCCGACGACTCCAGATCCTCTCGGCAGCGGCTCAGATCTCAATCGGCCAGGCGACAAAGACCTTCCGAGCGGCGTCGCAGACGAACACCGTGGCAGAGCTCATGAGCCTAGCGATGAGCAATCCAATCCAGGCGTGGCCAGTAGTGGCGATGCTACCATCATGTCCAATCGCAATGTTCCAAAGTTCTTGCCCATGGATTCACCGCCTGCGCACAACGATGACCTCCAACGATGCTATACCTACAAAGGATTTCCAAGCTCGAATGCCTTTGGAGATGGTTTGCTGGGTCTGGAAGGTAGGAGCGAAGACCTACCCCAATGCGCGTGGGCGCTTGAAGCAGGCATTCAAGCTATGCCAGTGTGTTGCACAACGTATCGTTTCTGGCAGCATCAGTGTGGGCGCAAACCACATAGGCAACTTACAGCGGGCTATCTCTTACTAGCTCTCGTCCTAACGTTCATCTTAATGTGTGCATGTTGTACGTGCCCCCTGGTTGATTTGTGCTAGCATCATCAAGCGCGATCTCTATTGCAGATAACTAATGGGTTTTTGTGCTGGTACGAGACCAGTGTCGCTGCTTTTCATCTAGGAATCAGACTCATTTTCGGCATGGGTGAGATGGGCGTCACGATCGTGAGGCATAAAGCGTCGCTGCTTGCGAGACGGGCTTCTCTTGGCGGAGCAAGGTATCTCAAGGGATGAGCGACATTCTCATCGTGGGGCTCGGGGGGTTCAAGCAGCCTCACAAACCACGCCCCCCTCGGTCCCACGCCCCCCGGGCCCCCAACCCCACTGACGGAGTGGCGGGGCTTCCCTCTACCTGTGATCCACTCTCATGTGCCCCCTGCCTCTGCCGGCAGCCAAATTTGGATCTAGCAATGGGAGTGGCACAGGCATGGTTGCCTGCCTCGCGTTTCGGACCGAAATGTAGGTTGGCAGGCTGAAGACTATCTGTTACGTCGATTCTGGAGCATTACAACAGAGGATGGTAGCCGGCTGCAGGTACGAACTAGAGTATTTCACCATCGTGGTAGCTTCGCTCGAGTAGATGCTCTTTCCGTCCACTAATTCAACTGAGCTCATGCACCGAAGTATCCTGTTATTATGTCTGGCGTAGTAACGACCCCGATTTGTGCTTCTTCCGTATCTGAGGATCAATGCGACAATGCGAATCGTTATATACCTATGATTCGAGTCGCTGACGAGGAGTACCCGGCAATGACATTTCCTCGTTATTCAGAGAAGCCATTGCACGAGCAACTCGAGCCAATCGCCGTGGTTGGAATGGGTCAGTATAGAGACAATACGCAGTAATGAACCTGCTAACATTTAGTCTTTTAGCATGTCGACTGCCTGGCGAGGTTGGATCTGCGGGTGACTTTTGGGATCTGATGATGAAAAAGAGAACCGGCCATACCCCGCGAGTGCCCTCATCCAGGTTCAACATTGATGCCCACTACCACAAGAACAACAGTCGTCCAGGTAGTTTCAATGTCTTGGGCGGCTACTTCCTTGAGGAAGATCTCACAGGCTTTGACCCGGCTTTCTTCGGCATCACCCCTATCGAGGCTAGGTGGATGGATCCTCAACAGCGCAAATGTAAGCCAGCGTGCAATTGTACAAAGGACCCCAAAGAATCGCAACCATTAACGCAGTAGCTGACCTTCCTGCTCGACGTACCTAGTACTGGAGGTTGTCTATGAAGCTCTCGAGGCTGGTGGCATCACGCTTGAGGCCATCTCAGGAACTCGTACTGGAGTATACGCAGCCAGCTTTACCGCAGACTGGCAGCAGATGGCCTTTCGTGAGCCCTCCTTTCGGCACAGCGTCGCCGCAACGGCCGTCGATCCTGGCATGATCAGCAACCGCATCAGCCACGTCTTCAATCTGAAAGGGCCTAGCATGATGTGTAACACTGCCTGTTCTTCGTCGCTGTATGCTCTGCATAATGCTTGCAACGCGCTCCGCAATGGCGAATGCGAGGCGGCCATTGTCGGCGGGACGAACATGATCATCGCAGCAGATCAGCACATGAACACCGCAAAGATCGGCGTGCTGTCTGCCACATCGACTTGCCACACTTTTGACGACAGCGCTGACGGCTACGGACGCGCTGAGGCTGTCGGTGCGGTGTACATCAAACGGTTGAGCGATGCCATTCGTGATGGTGATCCCATCAGGGGCGTCATCAGGAGCAGCGCCGTCAATGCTAATGGTCGAACAACTGCTGTGAGCATCAGTCAGCCTAGCTGTGAGGGTCAGGCTGCAGTGATGATGGAAGCCTATCAGCGAGGGGGCAATCTCGATGCCCGTCTGACAGGCTATGTCGAGTGTCACGGGACCGGCACACCAGTTGGCGACCCTCTCGAAGCGGAGGCGATATCTGTAGCGCTGAACACGAACCGGAACACATGCGATGAGCCCCTGCTGATCGGATCCGTCAAGCCCAATGTCGGCCACAGTGGGGCTGCTAGCGGTCTCTCCTCTTTGATCAAGGCTGTCTTGGCTGTTGAACGCGGTATCATTCCGCCAACTTATGGCGTGGCCAAGCCAAGCAAGGCCATCAAGTGGAACGAGTGGCAAGTGCGAGTACCGACAGAATCTCTGCCATTCCCTGCTCATCTTCCTGTCCGGCGGATTTCGGTCAACGCTTCGGGATATGGTGGGACCAATGCCCATGTTATTATTGAAGGCGCCGACTCCATCGTCCCTCAGCTGGGCGGTAGTACAGAGAGATCTGCTAGCTATACGTACTATTGCTAGCATCACACTGTCGGTGGTGAGATAACAACACGGCAATTTCTCGATCCTAAGAGCACGACAGCAGAGAAGTGTTCTCGGCAAGTTATCGACCATGACCGCCCATTTCTGTTGCCCTTTTCAGCACATAATACGGCGACCTTGCAGCGCAACATTGCGGCTCACGCCAAAGTGCTAGACCGCTACAGCCTTTTGATCTCTCGCATACGCTCACTACGAGGCGGACCAACCTAGGAAGTAACGCGTATCTAGTAGCTAGCCAGCGGACCCTATGTGCGATTCTCAGCTCAGATTCTACGACTGCTACAGAGTCGTTTGTATCCGGCGGTACAAATCAGCCGTGCAGGAAAGTGGGCTTTGTGTTCACAGGTCAGGGAGCACAGTGGCCACGAAGTAAGTCGAGCACTAGAATTACTCGGCCATGTTTCACCCCCAACGCTAGATTTAACGAGGCTAATGCGTCCTATCTTGTGATTTAGTAGGTGCTGAACTTATCAAGTACAGCTCTGTGTTTGCTCGCTCGATTCAAGCGCTGGACAACGTACTTCAAGGCCTGCGGGACAGGCCCAGCTGGAAGCTCGAGGAATTATTACTCGAAGAAGCTTCCACTTCGCCTATCGCTTCAGCAGAGTTCGCTCAACCCCTTACGACCGCTGTACAAGTCGCGCTGGTCCAACTCCTAGATGATTGGGGCGTGCACCCCGCGGTCACTGTAGGACACTCTTCTGGGGAGATCGCGGCAGCTTATACCGCCGGGCTCCTCACGGCCAGAGAGGCCATCACGGCTGCCTTCTATCGCGGTCAAGTCGCCCGGGGTGTTCGCGCTAACGGCGCAATGCTGGCGGTGGGCATAGGCGCCGAGACCTTGAAGGAGCAATACCTCAGCAGTCCCCAGATGATGGAGGTCGAAGTAGCATGCTACAATTCCCCGACCAGCGTAACTCTCAGCGGTGATGTGGACGCTATCCAAGCCGTAAAGGGTCGGCTAGACGCCGACGGAGTCTTCACCCGTATGGTCAGCACTGGTGGCAAGGCTTATCACTCACGTCACATGGCCGATGTGGCTAGCAAGTACGAGGAACTCATCAGCCAAGCTAGAGCTGACTGGGCTCATGCATCGACCGCTGATAAGGCGGGGTGGATGAACTTCCAACGAGGAAGTGGCGTGGCTATGATATCGTCCGTCACGAGCAGCCTGTTAGCCAAGGACACTGTTCTTGACGGGACATACTGGAGCAAGAATCTGCAAAGTCCGGTTCGCTTCGACCAGGCCATCCAGAAGTTGTTAACAACTGCGAAATATTCGGACGTCGACTTAATGTTGGAGATCGGGCCTCACTCGGCCTTGTCCGGTTTCATCAGACAGATCCAAACTCACGTGGGTTACAAAAAAGCTGATTATCTCCCGACATTACTACGGAACGAAAACGGTGCTGTCAGGCTGCTCCAGGTAGCTGGCGAGCTCATTCTGCGCAACTACAATACGCTAAACAGAGCCAAAATCGTACGAGCATACAGTACCCATGATTGTCAGCCTGGCTCCTATGGTTAGGGTCGAACCGTTGTCGATCTCCCGCTATACCAGTGGAACTACGAACGAATTTTGTGGGCCGAGAGCCACCTGAGTCGCGAGCACCGGCAACCTGCTTTCCCTCGTCATGATCTTCTTGGCCAGCAAATTGTCGGTTCATCCCCATTGGAGCCAACGTGGCGCAATTTGCTGCGGCTCCAAGACCTCCCCTGGCTCAGGCATCATCGCCTAGGGGGTGAGTATATATTCCCGGCGGCAGGATACATGTCAATGGCTATCGAAGCCCTGACATAGATGCGTGAGCTCGGGTACACTGCCGCGGAAGGTGTGATAGACGGCTACATCTTGCGTGATGTGAAAATCCATACCGCCCTTGCGGTCCCAGAAGCGGAAGACGGTGTTGAGGTGCGACTCAGCCTGTGGCCAGCGGCGGGCAGGACCGACAATGGCTTTTTCGAATTCAGTATGTCGTCGACGAGCCACGATGTTTCCGTCGCCAGCAATCATCGCGGCATAGTCTCGCAGCATGTGACTGGCAGGATTCGCCTTGTCACAAGAACAGGCAGTGACGATAGAAGCTTTAGAAAACAGCCTCGACGAATCCCGGATTTCCCGCAGCGAGCGAGCGGCCGAGCGTGGAACAAGGCGCTCCGCGAAGTCGGATTTGACTACGGCCCGACATTTCAGGACATGGACAACATCCGCTTCGATGGTCAGCAACATGCTGCTCGCTGCACGACTTCAATCAAGCGATGCGTGGATAGAGAGCTTGGAGAGTCCCGCTACGCCTTGCACCCCGCGTGTGTCGACTCCATTCTGCAGTTATGCATAGCAGCCATTCATGCTGGCCGAACCCGCGCGATGACTTCCGGAGTTGTGCTAACATACTTTGAAGAAATAGCTCTCTATCCTCCCACAGAATCTCAACTAGAAGCTGGGACTAGTTGTGGATATGCGTGGACCACAGAGCGAGGAGCGCGATCGTTCAAAGTCAGTGCCCAGATGACCGCCTCCGATGGACAACTTGTCCTGGATATCGTCAATGCAGGGACGACAAGGTACGAAGCCGCTCTGCCGCAAAAGGACAGCTCAGTTGACCCGCTGAACGGGATTACACAGCCGTATGGCGCAGTAACGTGGAATCTTGACCTCGACGCCCTGCTCGAAAGCCTGTCGGACGACCACGGGGACCAAAAGGGCGCGCGTCTTCTCAGTTCGACCGTTGACCTAGCAGAGTTGGCACTGTTCAAGGATCCAGGCTGTCATATTGTCGAAGTTGGTTTCCGGTTTGCACGTCACACTCTGGAGAGACATCCGCTCACCAATTACACTGTAATCGTAGACGAAGAGGTTAAGTCTGAAGCTGTACAAGCTCTCGACGGATTTCGTTTCGCCAACGTACAAGTCGTAGAGAACGGGTCTCTGAGATACGATGCGCCAGCAAGTTCCCAGCAGCCTTTGAATCCGCCCGGACTGATTGTAGCCGACTCACTTTGAAGTATCCCGGCATCGCTGATGGACAATCTTAGTAGTCCGGGGGTCATCGCTACGGCCGTAACAGAAGAGGCACGGCCGTCTGGGTTTGATGTCATTCATCTTAAAGACCAGACGATCTACCACATCAAAGCCTCGCACGCTTCAGGTCTCACCGCGCTACAGTCCAAAACCGTCCTCCTCGTATATCGGAGCATTATCCCCCGAGTTTTCAGACTGACCCAACATGTCCTCCGTGAACAAGGCTTCGTGGTTGAGACGTGCAAGCTTCTGGCAGCCCCTAGGGTCCTGCATTCTAAAGGCATGGGGCAGGTCATCTTACTCGCCGACCTCGAAGGCACATCCTTGCTTCACACCATGGTAGAGGCAGAATTTGCTGCTGTACAGAAAATCGTCACACTTAGTTCGTCTCTGCTCTGGGTCTCTGCAGGTGGCGCGATTGTGGCTTGCAAGCCGGAGTTTGCTCTCGTCCAGGGACTTGCCCGGTGCGCTAGGGCAGAGCTATGTTCTCTCGACTTCGAAACGCTGGACCTACATCCTGATCTCAGCGACGAAGTCATGGTCAAGGGGATCCTGCGCATAGCTAACCTGCAGCGGATGCCTCTACACGCCGTTATAAGCGAACCAGCTGACACAAGTAGCCGTCGTGATTAGGAGTTTGCTGTTCACGACGACGGTAGGATGTACATCAGTCGTCTCATCGGCAACAAGCATCTGAACAAAGCCTATGCCAGCGTACCAGAGCCCGAGACTACGCTTCTGGCAATCGAAGACCGCAGGTTAAGTGGTAAATTGGTGTCACGAGGAGAACTCAAGTTTGTGGACTGTTCACATGACTAAGATGCCACTCAACCCATCCGACCAGACCATATGGAAGTCCACGTACATATCAGCGGTCTCTTAAGGGTAGGAGTCCTAGCCATCAACGGGTCTACTTATGCTAACGAGTTCAGTTATGAAATGGGCGGCGTCGTCGTCGGAGTTGGTTCTGATGTGGAGGGTTTGAGGCCAGGTGATACAGTCGTTGGGTTCAGCGCCGCTAAATTCTCAACATTTCAGCAGACACGTGCGAGTCTCGTCCATAAGGTTGAAAACGGTACAGAAAGCAAGATGTAAGGACTCGTGGCATCTCTACTGCCGTTCGCTAATGCCATCTATGGCCTCGAAGAGCTAGGCCGCATCAGGCCCGGAGACGTCGTCCTGATTCTGGACAACACCGGGCCGAGTAGTGCTGCTGCAGTCCGTGTAGCCCTCCAGCACGGTGCCCGCCCAATAGTCCTACAGAGCCTTGACACCGAAGACATACCTGCAGACATTGCTGTACGGGATCCTAGATGTATCATCAAGTACCATGCATCCGAACAGCTCGAGAGCGTCTTTCAGCGCCTCACGGAGCTTACTAGCGGCCACGGCGCAGATATCGTCTTCAGCGGTAGCAGCAGTGTTAACACGGGCATGGCAGCCGAGGCATGGCGGCAGATTGCACCCTCCGGCCGCTTCATCGACCCTGGAACAAAGGATATTTCGACGCACGCTGGCCTCGACACAGCGCCGTTCAGCCGTGGCGCGATTTACGCCGCCTTTGACTTGATTGAGTTGTACCATGCGCGGAAAGAGATCATCGCGAGCTTGTTGCCTCGAGTGATCGTATCAGCCAACCGCAGCATGAGCGAAATCTCACATAACAAGGGACTCCCCTTCCCGATTAGCCTGGTTGATGTCGCAGACATCAACCAGGCTGTGGCCTCGCACTCGGAAAGCCACGGTATACCGAAGACTGTTGTTCGCTACCGGTCTCCATAGAAGCCGCTGCAGATCATCCTATGTGCTACTCGCCCTCGCGTATCTTTCAGCCAGGAGGCCTCCTACCTGCTTGTTGGCTGTCTCGGCGGACTGGGACGCAGCCTCACTACGTGGATGATGCAGCGGGGCGCTCGACGGTTTGTCTTTCTCTCTCGAACGGGAGCACGCAGCCCTGCTGCTGGGAGGCTTATTCGAGATATTGAAGCCTCGGGGTCATCTGCGACTATAGTTCGAGGAGATGTGACGGTCTACGCAGACGTTGAGGCTGCAGTGAATCTCGTCCCTTCTGAACATCCGATTCGTGGTGTCATCCATACTGCAATGGTGCTAAGAGTAAGTGCTGCGAGTTCCTGATTCAAGAGTAGTAGTGTTGTGCGTTCCGCGACTTGCAAGACTGATCTACATATAGGATAACCTGTTCCAATCAATGACTTTCACAGATTGGCAGACTGCAGTGGCGCCCAAGATAGATGGCGTCTTGAATCTGCAGTCCGTACTTTCCAAGGCCCCGAACTCTGCGCAGCTTGACTTTTTTCTCATGACGAGCTCAATATCTGGTCTCTTGGGCATGCCAGGACAGAGCAACTACGCTGCTGCTAACGGCTTCCTTGATGCCCTAGCCAGGCGCGGATCGCACGAAGCTATTGACCGCACTCACGATAAACAGAGGCCAAGAGCAGCACGAGCGCCCGTCTCGATCATCCTGCCTATGGTTCTCGGTATCGGTGTGGTAGCCGAGAACACGAAGCTTGAGCAATTGCTGACGCGCACGGGGGTGTATGGTATTGATGAGGAGCAGCTTCTCGAGGCGTTCGAGGTCGCACTGAGCTCTGGAGCTAACCAAATAATCCCTGGGCTCGATCCCGCCAGACTCCGTCACTGTCTCGACGAAGTGGGCGAGGATGTATTCTGGCAGTATGATGCCCGCTTCAGTAGCATCATGCACACTATCCACTGTGCACATGCTCTGGGTGCTGGCTCCAAAGCGCTGGCAGACAGTCATTCTAGGCTGACCATACTCGAGACCATCCGTGGGGCGCAGTCGCTTTTAGAATCTGTGCTGACTGTCAAGGAACACTTCGCCGCCAAACTGTCACGTTTGCTCGAGCTAGACGTGCGAGTTATCGACACTCAAAGTAAATCCATAGCTTTATATGGTTTGGACAGCATGATCGGCGCGGAGCTGCGCAAGTAGATCTTTAACGAGTACGGACTAGACTTCCCATTCCAGCAGCTCCTAGCTCCGACCTTAACGACCGATAAGTTTGCATTGCAAGTATGCAAAGCCGTGAGGTCGGAAGCAGGAACAGACGATACAAGAGACGCGTAGTGGGACTCTACTAGGACATAATACATGCTTAGATCGCACAATAAATTCAGTCGCTTAGATGTCGCGAATAACTCGTAGTGTTAGGTGCTACTGTATACATGGTCATTTCCTGGCTTAATCACTGCACTTGAAAGTTTTTGAGATAACAAGTTTTGAGCAGACGCTCATCACTTAATAAGCGAAAGATTTCTACCAGCCATTATCACCAGCATTCGTGCTAGGCTAGGCATCACCGTTCCTAGCTTGGTGGCTCTTTGATGGATCTTTCTGCTCTCCTCACTGCGATCATGATTTTAAGAAAGGGCGATGGCTTCGACGGGTACGGCTCGAGCAGGGCGACCACAGTCTCTTTATAAGACTGGAAATTGTTCAACTCCATGTCGTCGTTTCGAACCGGCAGGCGTAATGCAGGCTGTCTGAGGGTCAATTTCCAAGTGCTAACCGGGATAACCCAATAATGCATCGTGTTCATCTCGCAATTCTCTCCAGAGAGTAGCGCCCACTGATATAATTGTTCTTCCGTCGGGCGATTGAATTGTTCTTGAAGGAGTCTTAGCAAGATATTAGGATATGGAGATGTTAGAACGTACCTGTATAGACTCTGATGTCTTCTGCGAATTTTCTTACATCGAGATTTCGAGCACCCTCTTCTCTCAACCACTTCAGTTCTTTGCTGCGCATGACATCAGGCACAATAAGATGCCTGCGTGCTTTGCAGGCGCTGATGACTTTGGAGTTGCTATATCTTTCACGTACTCGCTTCCGATGGAGGTCAATGCCCTGCTGCTCGTCGTCCATTGTTGACAGAGGGGAGGTCGCTAGGGATCCGTACTTTGATTCTGTGTTGCGAATCATGAAAAGGCTCAACCTTTGCTATGAGAGGAGTAGAAGGGGGCGTTCTAGAAGTGACTGGAGACTTGCGGATTATTTATACCAGTGTTTGTCAGCGGTCTCAGAGATAGTGCCGGACCTCAACCATGGTCTTCGTCCCGTCAATCTAAGCTTCCCTGTGATTGTTAGATGCCAAATCATATCGTGCCGAACCTAGGGCGGCAGGCTAAGGCGGGGACGTTGTCCTCGTGCGCTGGGGTGGAAAACAGGCCGATGTGCGGCATGACCTACTCAGATGATGTGTCCTGCATAAGCAGTACCACCAGCCGTGTAGGAGAAGCATAGCTAAGGATAACGCCTATCTCGTCACGACCTATTGGGTGTCGGGTCGTTCTGGGACCAATCAGAGTCTGTGCTGGTTGCACTTGTCGCTCCTCGACGCGAAACTGTGACTGGTGCTGTCCAGCATCTGTGGGCCTCTCACCCCAGCACGTTTAGCCAAGCACTTCATGGTCTTCTCCTCCGTACAAGCGCACAAGTCCTAGCGCAGCATGGGCGACCACCTCAGCAGGGCAGAGTTGTTCCCAACCGGACTGAGAAGCAGACTTCGTGACGGAGGCGCGCTCCGGCGTGGTGCTTTACTCTTGGCCCAACGGCTGTTACGAAATGATATCCGTGTTCCGCCGAGAGCCAATGCCCGAAAAGGTGTGGCACACTGTCGCAGGCGTCGCTGTCGTGCTGCGACCGCACTCTGGCAGCCAAGCCGACCTCAAGAGCATTCTCAATACGAGAGATCGCAAAACTGGGCATTGGCTAGAGAAGATCATGGAAGAATACTTCGAGCGGGGCACAGGCACAGACACCGCCAGGCTGTTTTCTGAGAATGCGTGCCCGGCCTTGATGCCACCCTTCGTCTCCGGATCCATGTCCATCGAGGTGGAGATTAAGGAGGACGAGACCACAGAGGAGGAGACCAAGGAGGTAGAGAGTAAGGAGGAGGAGCGACCGAGTGCCAAAGTCCAGGAGTGACAGAGAACGCTACCTTTCCGGTCTCCCTCAAGATAAGGATGATCTGGTTGGCTGACTCGATCCATGTCACAGCTGCGTGCGTATATTGCGACGGTCCCGGAGGCGAGCTTTCTGTACATTATGTGGAACATGGAGACTAGGAGAAGGCTAGCTACATGAGTCCTACGAACAATCACCGTATGATAGTCGATAGGCCGCTTCGTGTCCTTTGCCCGTTGTCCATCATACCTACCCAGCCGAGCCAGCTCAGCCCCCAGGCCACAGACGCGAAAGCGCCTCTCCAGAGCAACGGTCTAGGATGAGGCTTCAATAAGTCATTTGCTACCAGCTTGGCATATTCTGTTGGGCTCATGGGGGTGTAATCGCTGGACGTCTCGTTCAATTCAATAGAATTTGCTAAGGAGCTGTAGTAGCTTCCTGCCGGGACGAATGCGGCCTGTCGCTTGAGCGGTGTGTCCACTCCCCCAGATATGATTGTGGTGACGCGCACTCCTAGTGGCGCGAATTCTAGCCGCATCGTATGCCCCATCGCCGTAAGGGCGGCTTTGCTGGCTGAGTAGATGCCTTGCCAGGGTGGGCACAGCCCGGCAGATATGCTGCTCACATTTGCCACGAGCCCAGTGCCAGCCGCGTTGATGAGCAAAGGGAGGAACGCCTGCGTCACGGCCAGCACCCCGAAGACGTTGGCCTCAAAGACTTGACGCGCATCCTCCAGGTTCGTGTCGGCGAGAGGCATGAGGCTGTACACGGCCGCATTGTTGATGAGGATATGGAGGATTCCTCCCGTTAATTTTGAAATAGTCGCCGCGGCCGTGTCTCGAGATATCTGATCGGTGACGTCCAGCGGCAGGGTTTCGATTCCCAGGGCCTCCAGCGAAGCTAATCCCAAGACATTGCGAGCCGTGGCGAAGACCCGATGGCCGCGAGAATGAAATTCTTTCGCCAAGGCCGCGCCAGCGCCACCTTCACTGCAACCAGTAATGAGCACGATCATTGTAGTCATTGGCGCGAGGTGTATGGAGATTGCGGGTAAAACCGTCAGCAACACAGCCAATGGGTTAGGTGAGCTGCAATATAATAAAGATCAGCCGAAGCTTCTGGTGCAAGTTCCAGTGTAGAAGATATTCTTTCATTTCTTTTATATACAGGCTTATTAAAAGGTAATCTACGTGGAGTTTGAATATTATTGCCGGTAGTTGCCCAGCCAAGAGTCGGGTACACGTATCGGGGGTTACTCGGGCCCGAGTGGGTCAAGCCTCGGGGCTTGGTGCACTTATCGGGCGTTACAAAGCCCGCATAGGGGCACAAGTGGCGCAGTCATGGACCCCCAGTTTCCATACAGGTGGCGTCACGAGTCGTCTTTGTAGTTTCCCGCTCCCTGGCTTGCTTCGTCGATGCGAGCTCAGGATGCCCCAGCCACAGCTCAAGGCGGGTTAGTCTTCCTTCAGGTCTATCTGCCAAGAACTCAGTTCCGAGAGCAGAAAGGAAATTTGGGGAGGTCGGCTTTGACGGCAGACTCTGTTGCGAGTCGTGCAATTCCTTATCGTATATATTTACACCAAAACGTTAACTCTTAACAACTTCATCTTAAGTTCTATAAACTTGAAAATACGTTAGATACCAAACGATAAGGATAAAATACTTATTACGCTTCTTCAATTTTACTCCATTACGTATCTTCGTAGTATAGTAAGAAAAGCAGGTACATATAGTCCTGTAATAACTGGCACCTATAGTAGCTGCGTGTGACGACCCGACCAACAGGTCGCAGGATCGGGCCAAGGACAAGGGCAGGTCATGCACGCGGGACGGGCACACCCCAGGTTACGTAAGAAATCTCCTTATGTCAGCAAAGGTTATCGATAGGAAGGATCACCGGCTCACTAGGTGAGCCAGTGAGCCTCACACCAGGGTCACGGTGATCCACCAACCGGATCACGGTGATCCACAAACCCGGGCCAGTGATCCACTGACGGTTTGTTGGTGTTTGTTCGTGTTTGTCACTACAAATATGACATGAGCGATGAGGAGGAAAGAATACATAAAGGGGCTGAATCCCCCAGAGTAATTAGTTTAGTCTTTCATCCTTAGCGATCAATCTAAGTATCAGTTTCACCCACACTTGAACTAGTCACTCAATTGCCGAGACTGGTATCTCTTCCAAGAGACACGAACGACAACCCAGAGAGAGAACGACAGCAGAGTGTTAGTTGATCTTGCACAGGCTTTACCTATCTTGCAGAACAGCAACCCCAGCGCCCTGTCAGACGGTTGACCCCGGAGGCAGGATCGTGACACTACAGTCTCCACTTTTCCTATTTAGGTATAAGTAAGCGGTACTATCGCAGATCTTAAGCTACTAAAGTATTATTATTCTTATCGTTTAAGAATAAAGAAGTTTCGAAGTTAATAGCTCTTAAAATGAGAGAGTTATTAGGGTATGAAAATGTGGGCTTAATGCGGCGATAAGGAAGTGGCTCACTCACTTGTGTGGCTCACTCACTTGTGGATTACGTTATACCAATCTGAATGTCTCATTCAAGGCATGCACGTCGCTACTAGGCTGAGATGTTAGCTAGGAATGGAAGACTGCTCGACATGTAGAGCATCGAAATGGCCTCAACTCCGCCGACTTCACTAACCATGCTATCTGCAATCAGCCTCGAATGGAATCCCATTGAGGCCATTCCAGGGATTAACCAGGGTAGCGAGGATCATTGAGCGAAATGACCCAGCCGGAAGCCTAAGCGATTGTTCATTTGGTCACACAGACAGACTTTGTCATTCTAAATGCCTGCATAAACAGAAATACATAAGCTCGAGAATGCGGTGTTCGACAATGAGTTTGAGGACTCGCCAGTGTCTATAGTTTCTTGTATAGTTACAGTCTTACACGAGCTCTCAGCATCACGTACTGCCCTCATCGCCTATCATGGACAACTCCAACACCCCCTATACGGACCTAATCCGTGGGAATGGTAAGCTACACATCCATGCGACCAGCCTTGCATAGTTGTTGCGCCCCAGAGGTCGCCCGGTTATTCTGTACGACGTCGTTAATGCCTTGCCCTGGTGGCCACGTCTAGGGAATTTTGGAGACATGTTTTGGTCCGATACAGCATATGCACCCAAAGAGGGCAATTCATCCACGCAAACTGCAACCGGGGCGAGCTCGCCCGCGCATTGGCCGGCGCGCCGGGCCCAGCAGCAAATACGGCCCTCAGGGACGCAGCCACCTCCATTGAGAGCCCCCTTTCTTGGCCAGTCCCTGTGCAGGGTCATCGGATACTCCCTAGCGGCAAGTTCCTGGAGGAGGCGGGCTTCGCGATGTTGTGACGGGATGGAGATGCTTGGGATTGAATGACGCCATCTGAAAGAAACAATACCGAAAACATCACCCTTGCGTGAAGGCAGATCGCCGACTTCATTATGGCCAACTGATAACACTACTGCAGTACAGGCAATCCCCTTTTCGGTAGGGTGTCAGTGTAGAGCGTCTGTTGCTGTAGTTGCCGAGAACCTGCGTCGGCCCCGCCAATTAACGTTGTGGCCACTGCGTCTCCTGTGCGCCTCTACCGACTGGATGAAAGGGGATTGGAGCCGGAGAAGTGAGGTACGGTGGCTACCAGCACTGGGACTCAAACGTCATAGATGGAAATCATCACGGGGCTTGGCGCTTTGCTGACGTCATGGACATACCTGGCAGCAACAACAACCTCCTTATTTCAACGTACCATGTACGGTAACATGCCATCAAGATATGACAAGCAAACCTGGATTTCACTAGTCACGTCGTACGCTAAAATGGGCATTCAATACCCCTACAACAACGCGGTGATTCCGACATCCTTTGCGACTTGCAGCATCGGATCATATTCTCACCCAGCCCTGCCTGAGAAGTTAAAAGGCCATTTGCAGCGCAGGATTCAACGCGGTCGAATTGGCCATGCCGGATCTGTTAGCATACGGCATGTTCTTGAACGGCGAGGAACCGGATGCGAGTGACTACGACACCATTGTCGAAGTCGCTAGGGCTATTAAGCCTCTAGCGGAGGAAGTCGGAGTCGGGATCCTTATGTTGAAGCCGTTTGTGAACTTCGAAGGATGGAAGTTAGGCCTCCAGGATAGTGAAAGAGAAGATGCCTTTGCGAGGGCACGAGGATGGTTGATGGTGATGGAAGCCCTCGGGACAGACATGCTGCAGGTGAGCGATCTTCTACTGCTAGAAACATCGACATAGGCCTCTGACAGGACAGAAGTTGGCGTCGTCAGATGCTGAAGAGATATCACCTTCGGTCGACGATCTAGCCGCAGACGTTGCGAAGCTCGCTGACATGTGCGCCGAGGAAGGGTTCCGCGTCGCATACGAAAACCGATGCTGGGCGACGCGAACCCGGACTTGGAAGGCAGCATGGGAGATCGTGAAGAATGCAGACAAGCCAAACCTAGGGTTATGTTTGGGCACCTTTCAGATTTTGGGCGGGGAGTTTGGAGACCCAACAACCAGAACGGGGTTGATCGAGGATATCTGCAGGGCTGAACTGGAATCTCGCTGGAGAGCGAGCCTCCGACAACTGTCGGCAACGGTTCCTGCAGAGAAGATATTCCTCGTACAGCTATCGGATGCGTACAGGATGGACCCGCCAATCAAGGAATCCAGGGATAGTCAAGGGTCATTGTCTCGGTTCAGATGGAGTCAGGACCACAGACCGCTGCCCCGATAGAGTCTGGTAGCGGGGGGGCGGCCCCAAAAGGGCGATGGCATGTCCTCCAGGCTGACAGCAGCGACGACACAATACGGTAGAATACGCTCTTGCAGGAGATTGAGAAGGCAGCAGGTTACTTGAACCGACGCTGTGTACTGGCCCACGGGACGACTGAACGTATACTTTCGCGCAGGTTCCTACGTACATCCCCTGGTCTAGGAATTGAGCCTCATCGACTCTTCAATGCACCCCGTTCTGTTCCGCAGCATTACCTCCGGATTTGGGCGGCATGCATTCTATTCACATGCCGTTTACTTGTCCGAGTCCTTGCTGTAGAAGGCTTCCTCCCCTCCCAGATCCTTCAGCGCCTCCTTCGACTTTTCCTTAGATTTCTCACTTGTATCTTTCCTCTCAGGTTAGCAGACCAAACAAAATCCCGATGAGCGGATAACACGCACTTGGATTGCTCAGATTGGCCTTGTGGCCTCGCGCCTGGTTGCTGCGTTCCTCTGGGGTATCATGCATGCCTTCCAAGGCAGCATCCTCCTTCTTGATGTCGCGCTGTTGATGGGACATGACGGCGTTCGGATAGGTGTATCTTCGGTGGACGGTCATCGAGATCCAAAAAGTTTTGGTTGGGGTCAATATATACAGGGGCAAGAGGAAAACCTAGGCCGCACATGTACACTTAGGTCCAAAGTGAACCACAACATCATAGATCATCATCAAGAATATTACGTAGTTATTACGTCAACAGAACGAAATCGATGGACCTGGCGGAGGAAATACCACTGAAGTGCGTTGCAGCCGAGGCCTCGAAAGCATAAGAGCTGCTAACTGAAGCCCAGTCCATCTTTTGTGCAATGGGGAATACTTGAGCTCGGTCGGCAAGGCGCACTACGCAACTACAACACTTCGCATTCAGCTTTAATCGCATCGCCACACCAGTCATCATGTCCAAGGTGGCTCACGCTTACACCGACGACAAGGAAGGCGCCGCCCTCCCTCCGGAGGCGCCAGATGGTCAAGTGAGCGATTCCTCGTACTCGACCGGAAAGAGCGAACCAATTCCTGTTCAGGACGACACCGCTCCGGTCGAGGATCCCATTCGGCCTGAGAAGGCCAACTCAGACGAGCAACTCGGCAAGCATTGCTTTCCTTCACAGCATATGCATCCATCAGCCAACAAACCCATTATGCTTACTAGACCTGGAATGCTTACTGACACCATAAGTGCTTATAGAACAGGATGAGAAGGAAGCTATCGACAAATCCAATATCATCAAAGAGCGTACCCGAGGTGCGCCGCCGAAGGGCACGTACCAGGGGCCGTCGGATGAGAAGGACCTAGTCGAGTGAAAGTGCCACGAGTCGTTAGCCGTATGCGTCAGGTGGAGTCATCTCTGAGAGCTGCCATGAGCAGTTCACGGGCAGGAGATATAAGGACCACAGCTAAAAGTAGATACTTAGCGATCTTCCTGTCGCAATGAAGAGCAGATCAATCCGGGTACTTCTGTCTGCCCGAAAAAGCCGTTTTAACGTAACATCTCGACAGAACACTCGGCTTTCCTGACTCCAATTGGCTGCCACGCCGGCTGGGCCCCATAGTGTGCCTACTGTGCATCCGAATTCTTCAGAGCACCAAAATGCCGGCGACTCGATTCCCAGCATGAGAGAGAGTGAGAGACCGTGCAGGAGGGTCAAATCTTAACAGGAGGTGGCTAGTCTTTAAGGGCCTAGGGCCTATGGCGTTGCATGTCTATTTTGCCGTCTCTCCTACCTCGGGTAGATGAGCAGCAAAAAACAACCAATTTCTCCCAGCTCAACCACAAAAGTCTCGTACCTCAACTCGCCTTGATTCCCTCCCGCAGCAGCAATGTATCCACTCGTCACAATCAATAAGTCTTGTGAGAGTCCATGTCTATTTGGAACCACCTTTCCTGCCTGCCTCGGACGCGCGCTCGCTGCCGGGCTCGAATTTGCCTGACGAGGCCTGGCCGCCTTTCGAGGCGATTTCGCGCTGTTTTTCACCCTCATATTAGCTAAGGTGGCACCCGGGAGCGCGATGGTGAGGTGAAATTTGCCCAGGAAAAGAGTATAGCAATGTACCTGTTTGTCTGGATCCATGCTCGCGAAACCACCGCTGTGGGAGGCCTGGCCGCCCTTAGATGCTACCTCCTTGACCTCTTCGGTGGGACTGTCTCTTATGAGCGAAATAATCACGGCGATTGTGGCGGGGCGCTGGGGGGTCATACCGGTTGGCGAAGTTACCGGGGTTATCGTTGGATGACATGCTGAGATGAATCCGATGCTGCTGGCTGGGCGGCGTCGGTTGCAATGTAGTGTTCGGTTGGGTTGATGCTTTGGTTTTTTCGGGGGGGCTGATGTTGAGGTTGAGGATTGCGTTAAAGTAAGGAGAAACGAACTGATGGTGAAGAGGCTGTTATTTAAGCTACAGTAGCGACCTGCGGAAGGTCCACTTTGGCGTCTCCATGAAGTCATTGACTCCGCCTCTGACACGGATCTGACGAACTTCTGCAACAATCAACCAGGTTTCTCTTGAAGCAGACTAGATCCTGCGGTGACGATCCTCTGACGACACGAGCCAACGGTGAGTCAACGATTGGGAGAGCTTCATCTTTTGACTTTGCACCAGAGCTGCAGTGGTTTCAATTTCGTCACTACCGTGTAGGTGGGACATTTAGCGAATCAAGGCTCCGCCCCACATCGGGAAATTCCCTCGTATCCGATCCAGACACCCTGAGCTCCGGCTCCGACGCCCAAGACTCCAAGTCCCCGGGGTTCCGACAAGTTTCGGGCTACTCACGCTCGGCTGGTAGTGACTTGGGAAGCGAGCTCGAATTGTCAGGGTTACAGGGCCCCCACTAGACTGACGGGTCCGTCTGCTTACGTCAACCCAACAGATTATATCAGCCCGCATAAGTGCATCACCCGACGCCCGCAACGAGACTCCGTCAATCGAAAGCCAGACCTCGGTGACCAGCAAACTACCCCTGATTCGACTGGAGGACTGGGTCGAGGAGAAATCCTATGATGAGGATCCGCCTACTTGTATACATTACTCGATCAAATGGAAATTGACAGTAGATGGCAGAGTCGTCCCTGGCTCCAAGGATAGCGAGCAAAACCTTGTCCTCGCGCCAGGTGACTACTGGGAGAAGACCCTACGAAGCAAACTCGATAAATTGTTGAAGAAGAAGCTAGCCTCGAATCGATCGTATCGACCAGACGACACCACCGTTGTAGTCCATGTGCAGGATCGATCGGAGAGAGACTTTGTGAAAAGATTCGACGAACTGGACATCGAATGGCCGATTCTGGAACAGCAACTTCTCCTCTGGAGCAACCTGTTTCGTGCTGGACGACGATCGAGGATCGAGATCACCTTTAACTACATCCAGACAAGTGGAGGCGCTGGTGTGACATCCAAGCGTGGGACCAAACGAGGCTTCGCGTCTACTTCAGAACGAATGCTCGCACAACGTGACATGTACATTGCTGCCGAGGAAGGCTCCAGTGGGCAGCCATCAATTTGCCAACAGGTGTACGCGACCTTTCGCTGCCCAGGTCCACCCTGCCACGTCAGGCCATACTGCTGGCAGGATAGGGACACCAAGAAGCGATACCGCTTAACAACACACCATTTCAAAGCACACACGTAGGTCTGCGTTCTGCTCTTCGGCCATTCGACGAATCACTTTTTTAGTCCAGCCTTCCGCCCGCAAGGCACGGCCAATGCTTGACGTTGTTACTAGTGTCTCGAATTCGTCCCAGAGGAACACCACCATCTCGTCTTGGTACATCCCAGGTTTTTCAAGCAATCGATCGAACAACGCACTGAGCATGGCCGGGGTGATACTCTTCGGCTGACCAGCAACGTTCGCAGGGGCTTTCGTGGTGCCAACGTGTCGTAAATGGGATCGTGTACGTCGGACATTGCGCTCACTTCATCGGACAGTCCTAGGTATCTCATTGTTAGCATATTTTCCACTTGTAATCATATGCCCAAGCTGTTCGTGGACAGATTGTGCGAGGTTCGGCGCCATGGCTATTTGTGGTTTTAGATCGGTCACGGCAATTGCGGGACATTCAGAGTTGGGGCACGCACTCTGTCTTCTGGCTCACCCTCGGACAAGCCAGGGTGGACGTTAGCGCCACCAGCGTATCCACTACATCTGGCACAGGGGTGTCGAAGAGGGAAGGGACTGTACATGTTCATGCAATCATGCCAGAATGGCTAGAAAGATGGCTGCCTGGACGTACAGTACCGTAGCTGCCTTGTGAGGCTGACGCCTTACACTCCACAAACTGGGTTGAACGATGGAGCTCATTTGGAAGCCATGGCATCATCACAGAGCTCACACCATGTTCCCTTTCCGGAAGCTTACGGGAGGCTCGTGGCTCGTTTGTGTCGGGCTGCAGGCAGCCCCGTTGCGGGGAAAGGCCAGGGTAACGCCGTCTTAATCCCGGCGCGTGGGTGGTTTGCGGTCCGCCGGTCTCCAGTTAGCCTCCACGACGAAGTTCTCATGTGTAATGGTTCGGTGGATTTGAGAGGGTCTTGAAGAGTTCTCAAAGCGGCTCAGTGGGCATCAGGAACAAATGAGGCTACCTCGGCAAAGCTTGAGTGCGCCACCCATGGATTGCGATGTTGGCATTCTCCTTGGCGGTCTTGTCGTTTTTACTAAGAGCGAAGGCGAGGGAGAAGAAAATATTTGCGAGTACTGGATATATATTTGGACCCAAACTCCCGACAGTGGGAGAAAACTCGTCAAGGATGAGAGGCTGGTGATGGCTTGACGAAGCTATGCAGGCTATCTACTTCAGCGCCCTCAAAATGGTTCGACATGCCGTCCGAGTTGGACCTCGACCCATCTACGTCCGCATGTGACTCTTGGCGAAGGACCTCGCGAGTCACCATGATCACGTCGCCATCCTTGGTCGACTTGTGCGGGAAGATCTCGTCCTGCGACTCGTTCTGTGCCACCGCGTGCCGAAGCGCTTCGACATGGCTCGACGTGCCGTATGCCCGCGAGTGGATGCGATTGGCATTCTTCGAGGCCGTGCCCTTGTTAGTGTAGGCAATGCTTCCGCGGCTCTGCAGGCGATAGGAAGCTCCCTGTTGTCTTGAGTTGCCATAGTATCGATTCGAGCTGTCCCCAGTGGAAAGCCCCAGGGCCGTGTTGAGCCCCGGGATCTTCCTGGCGACTTGTCGAAGTGGCGGTATGCAGGAGCAAATTATCAGAGCACATAATTCGGCTTCACACCAGATCAGTGGTTCGGCGAGCAGATCTATCTCGGACGGTCCCAGGTCAGCAAAAAGTCAATCGTGTACGAGCCTTGCAATCATTTCTGGTATCATGCTTACATGTAATGTTCTTCCAATCAATGCTCGTGACCGCATGAATGCGGATGACCGAGATCGATGTCACACTATGCAAGGTAGATGGTCAGCATTTTGTGCGCGCGATGGGTCAAAGTTTTATCCGTTTGGCTTACAGCAGACCGAGTGACATCATGGCAATGAGACCGATCCTCTTTGCCACTGGCATCTGCAGCTTCCACATGGCTGGAATTGGCTGGATGAAAAGCGAAAGATCCGTGAACAGGTTGAACACAAACTAGTCAAACAAGACTATTAACTCCAGAAATGCCACCGTATTATGTATGAGCTGCTTGGGTCATCAGACACTTACATCAGTCCACCAAAGCACCCACAAGTTAAGGCAGGTGCCTTCCATGAGCGGATCCCAGGATTTCTCGACCGGGCTACAGGCGAACGTGACCACCATTATCTCTTCTATAGCTTGACAGGCCAAAAAGGCACATAACGTGTAGTTGAGGATTCTGGAGTTGCCCAGTTGGTCAGCGTTCGCTGCGGCAATCAAGGGAGTGGGGGACCAGAACTCACCTGTACTTCGGGTTTGGAAGCAATCTTAAATACAGCACGGCAAAGCTTGCTTTGGCGGCGCAGATACCAGCAGTGTAAAGGGCTGAGGACGCGGTTTGAAGCTACTCTCCCGTTGAGTCTTCCATCTAAGCTGAACGGAGGTCTGTGTGCCTACCTTCAGAAATAACACAAGGTCGGGATAGGCGACTTCTTCTATGGGATATCCAAGACCATGGCGGGCGGCTATATGCCGGCGTAATTAGTGACAGATCGGCATACCTCCAAGTACGGAAATCGTTATCTGCAGACAGGATGTTGGTGCTGCGTACCTTCCATCACAACTGCGATCATAGCTATCGAGCATATCTTTGAAAGTCGGCGAGAGTCAGTAATCTGTCTACTGCCGCTCGCTCAAAGACGCGGTCGGGATACGTAAAGTATAGGGCATACCCAGCTGAACAGGATCAAAGCTAAGGGTTATAAATGCGAATATCAGTATTGGTAAAGGTGCACCACAGGAAGGCATAGGACATACCATCGTCAATACCAATGGAGCGAATGATGAAAAATCGGGCCCAAATCCGCATGGCCATGAAGAAGCCAGTCAGAACGAGAAAGATGACGCCCGAAGTGAAAACGTGCCCAGCTAAATTGGCCATGGTGGGGATCTGCAAAGTTGCAAGATAGATGTCTTTGGCTGATTCGATAATGTGTTTTGTTACATGATATCTTCGAGTATGGAAGGGTTGTAGTGCGCTCTTTTAAATCGAGGAGGGGTTGAGGTTGTGTTATATCACAAGCTGAGGTGGTACCATGCTCCGGGCAATATTGACTTTCGTGGCAAGGTTGGGAAATTACAGCAGAGCGAGCTAGGAAGCTTCCCCGGATTCCAGCGGTATCTATGGAGGTGTGAAAGTGTGAAAGGTGGGGCAACAGCCGTGGCGCAACAGCTCCCCGACGCCCACCAGTATTACCCAAATGTAGTAAACACCTACCTATAGGTATCCAGATATCCTCCAGCATGGCGTATTTCGAGGTGTGCAGACAAGAAGTGTGTTGCGGGACCAGTGCAGGGTCTACCTGACGGAATGGTCGATGTACGCGCCTTCGGCCAGAGCGTTCTGCAGGGTGTGCCTGTGCCGCCTTTGTGGCTTGGTGGCTCTGCAGATATATTGGACAGGCTTCGTGAGTGCCTCAAGGACCAAGGTGATTAGTCGTGGAGCTGTCTTGGCGGCGAGTGATGGTCTGAAGACGTCGAGCTGGTCACTGAATATGACAAAGGGCCACTCAGAAGCGAGCACCCTGGGATACCTAATACCTTAAGGTACGCTAGCGTACCTGATGCTGGCAGGCTATCCTGGGGAAGTTGGGTCGAAGCCGGGTCGAAGCTGTCACAGCTGCGGGTTCCGCGCCGTTGAGTGGCGTGCTGTGGAGCGGCCGAGGCTTCGAGCTTGACGAGCTTGACGAGCCATGGATGCTGGGGCAAGGGGGCTGTTGGCGCTAGCTGCGGGCGTGGTGGGCGACTAGGACAACTCGAGCGACGTCCGCCAGGGTGCGCGTGCGCGACTGCTCAAGTGCGCCTGCCATGGATGGTGCGCCCCACTTCCCCAGCCTGGTCGTGGACGAGGATCTGGCTCCCGGGTCGTGCCTGCCAGCCCCTGACCCGGCCGCTGCCCCTGCCCCTGCACCCTCACCCCGGGTCACCAGCACTGAAGAGGGCTGAAGCTTCAGCCCTTCTCGCCCTTCGCCCGACCAATCATTGGACCCTCCCCTCCTCATCTGCTGCGAAACACTCTCTCGGCCCGCACAGGCCGCCGAGCACCCCGAGAGCATCAACCCGGACCATGAGCTATAAGCCATAAGCTATACTGCTAGTCTTGGTTTCAAACCTCTTCGTCATCCATCGTCGGGAACCGGCACCGAGCACGTCGAGGTCTGGCCCCTGATCAACTGCTGCCAGCCACAAACGACACACAAAACCACACAAGACCACCCAAAAGACAAACGCCCTCGAAAACCCTGCCTCCCGCCGTGTCACCAAACTGTGCCGCGCCAGATCTCGTCGACCACTCTCTCAAGAGAGCCTTCCGAGCCCCTTTCAATCCTCAGCCGCAGAGAGTAGATCATCTCATAAACCGCAACTAGATCAGCACATCCGTGCAGGTCTTCTCTTAGTCTCTCAGCCGTGGCGGTCGGCCCCCGAACATTCTCTAGTACAATGTGCTCCAGGGCCCTGTTCTTGGGCGCTAACGGCTTCCCCTGAGACAACGTGCTAATTCCTCGTAAGTGCCTTCTAGCACTAAACCTTCGCGGCACACGACCCGCGAGGCCGGCGCAGGCATCCCAACCCGAAAGCCAGCAGCACGACTCCTTTAAGCTTGGTTTCATTCGCCACAGCCACCCGCACGCGTTGTGTGTCGCTAACATTTGAGCTCCTAGCAGCCACGGCAGGATTACAATATTCTTCTCTCTCGGTTCAGGAGTCCTCGTTGGCCCCATTGATCAATCTTGCTTCCAAGTTCGGCTGGTCGCGGCGGAGCATGGTCTTGTGCCAAGCCGAACTCTGACGGCACGGCTATGCTCACCAACTTATGCTGGCGACTGCCCAGCTCCCAGCAGCGAGTTTCTTTTTACCCCGGGATCCCGAAGGGGCCGCCGGCCCATTCCGGCATGACTCAAGTTTAGCTACATTTCCCCGCACAACAGACTCGCTCATTTCACCGACGGTACCATCGACCAGAGCTGGGGAAGTGAGGGGTGTGGGAGTCGTACGTGGGCGTGGGGATAGAACAGCTGTTCGAGGCCCGCCCCGAAAGCGAGACTGAAGCGCACGAAAAAAGACTGTGTGGGCGCCATGGTAATGGTGAACCGGCAAATGCGGCCGATCCCTCTTGCTCTGCAGCATCTGAGATACAAATACACGCTTGGCCCAGACACTTCCTCTTCAGGCCACGGCCGATCTGTTACACAAGACTTTTGTTATCGCGCAACTTTCTTTTTACCCCCGATCTCGCACCGATCCTGCCACTCCCGGACCGCCAGACCAAGTGCCAGATAAAGGCCAAGCTTCGGGAGCATTGTACGGGGCACTTTACAAATCACGGCGACGCTGCTGCCAACGCTAAAACACCAGATCTCTGGATCACTACAATTCCACTTTTAAATTCGTCCCTCGAGGCATCAATTGGCAGAGTGTAAGCCCGGCACAGGCGCAATGGCCGACTTTCCCGTCCCCCAGCACTCGACGAGTGCCGATCGGGACGCTGCCCAGCGGCTGCACAACCCCATCCACGCCGAACGCCATGTTCGCGTCATCACAGTAGGCGCCGGTGCCTCTGGCCTGCTTATGGCCTACAAGCTGCAGAAGCACTTTAACAACTACAGCTTCGTCTGCTATGAGAAGAACCCAGCAGTATCAGGCACGTGGTACGAGAACAAATACCCAGGGTGAGCCCCTCCCATCTGTTAAACCTAATACCGAAATGAGAACCGTAATTAACCACTCTTCACTTCTCAGATGCGCCTGCGACGTCCCTTCACACAACTACACATGGTCATTTGAGCCGAAGACCGACTGGAAGGCAACCTACCCGCCCGCTCAGCAGATCTTTGAGTACTTCAACGACTTTGCCACAAAGTACAACCTATTCCGATACATCAAGCTGCAGCACCAGGTCGTCGGCGCGTACTGGAACAACGACAAGGGCGGGTACGACGTGCAGGTCAAAGACCTGGCGTCGGGCAAGATCGTCAACGACCACTGCGACATCCTCGTCAATGCCGGTGGTATCCTCAACAACTGGAAGTGGCCCGCCATCCCCGGCCTCGACCAGTACAAGGGCACACTGCTGCACACGGCTAACTGGGACGACAACGTCGACCTGACTGGCAAGCACGTCGGTCTGATCGGCAACGGCTCTTCGGGCATCCAGGTCCTCCCTGCGATCCGAGAAAAGGTCAAGAAGGTGACCACCTTTATCCGCGAACCCACATGGGTCTCTCCTGTACCAGGTCTCGAGCAGAAGATCTTCACCGACCAGGAAAAGTCCGAGTTTGCCAATGTTCCCGGCAAGCTGACCGACTACCGTAAAGGTATCGAGTCTGGCTTGAACGGGCAGTTCGGCCTCTTCTTGCAGAACAACAAGATCAACCTCGAGACGCGCGAGTACATGATTAACGCGATGAAGGAGAAGATCAACGACCCTTACCTCGAGTCCAAGATCATCCCCGAGTGGTCTCTAGGCTGCCGCCGCCTGACCCCAGGAGTGAACTACCTCGAGTCCCTGACTAAGGACAACGTGCAGGTCGTGTACGGCGAGATCAACAGCATCACCGAGCGCGGCCCGCCCTGCGACGACGGTAACGAGTACCCCGTCGACATCCTGATCTGTGCTACCGGCTTCGACACCACATTCAAGCCGCGCTTCCCCGTCATCTCAGACAAGGGCGAGAACCTGCAGGATGTCTGGTCCCAGGCTGACCCGACGTCCTACTTTGGTCTGGCCGCCGCCGACTTCCCCAACTACCTCATCTTCCTGGGCCCCAACTGCCCGATCGGCAACGGCCCCGTGCTGTGCGCGATCGAGGCCCAGGCCGACTGGATGTGCAAGTGGATCGACAAGTACCAGACGACCAACATCAAGACGTTCGCGGCCAAGCCCGAGGCCGTGGCCGACTTTGTCGCCTTCAAGGACCAGTTCATGACCAAGACGGTGTGGGTGCAGAACTGCCGCTCGTGGTACAAGGGCCGGCCCGACGGGCCCATCCTGGCGCTCTGGCCGGGCTCCGCGCTGCACTACCTCGAGTGCATCAAGGACCTGCGCCTCGACGACTTCAACGTCACCTACGCCGGCAACCGGTTCGCCTGGCTCGGCAACGGGTACTCGCAGACTGAGCTCGACGAGACGGCCGACTGGGCCTACTACATCCGGGACCAGGACGGCGACGAGCCCCTCAGCACCGCCGGCCGGAGGAAGAAGCTGACAAAGTCGGGCACCGTGTTTGACCGGGCCGCGGTCAACTTCTCGGGTGCCAAGGAAGTGGAGATGAGGGGTGTTGTGGAAGAGCAGCCCACTGCCCGTTTGTAGATGGGACGGCCTGAAGCGCGCGATATTGCATGTAACCAGCGAAACGTCGTTATTGGTATTTGAAAGGATGTGGTTTGATACGCGGGACTTGGTGTATATATTCTCGAGCATCAGCAACGAGCTGCTATCGAATCACAGCTATGAATTCCTCTTCCATTGGAGGTGTGGTCAACTCTTCTGCGGGTCGGGCCGGTTCGGGCTGGTCGCGGCCTTGAGCGCCGCCGTGTGCAGGCCTTGGTGGTGGTGAACCACGCAGTCGGCGCTGAATGTCGTCATATAGAGCTCGAGTTCGTAGACGAGCTCGCAAGTATCTTTCCACAATGTCTTGGCAGCCTGCGGGAGCGCGCGCGTAGCTCGAAGTTATGCGATCAGGCTCTGTGGGGCCGCGGGTACTGCCATCCACACAGAGCTCCGGGCAGTTCCCATCCTCAATGGTAGAGAACGCACCGCGTTTCTCAAGAAGCTCGCGAGCAGACTCATCAGAGAAATCAGAGAAATGGACGGCATGATCTAACGGCGTCCTGCCACAGATATTCATCGGGTTCACGTCTGCCCCATGCTCCAGCAAACACCTGGTGATACTGAGCCAGCCGAGTAGCGCTGCCCAATGAAGGGGTGTGTTCCCGTCCGAGGTAACGGCGGTATTAATGTGTGTTCGGCTGAAACTGAAAAGCTCGCGAAGACCGTCAGTGTGACAGTGAATCGCTGCGTACGTGAGGAGCTCGGGTTGACTGGTGTTATATATGCCGTGCGTCCTGAGGACTGGCAGCAGACGCTCTTTTGGTTTCGCGATGCGCTCAAATGGCAGACTTCGCGCCACCAGTTCGACACCGAGATCGCAGCTAGAAGCAAGCTCTTTTGGGCCTGTGTTATACCATTTCACCATGTCTAGCTTTGCGCCCTTCGACAGGAGGAGGTTCACGATGGACTCATGCCCTAGCACCGTAGCGTGAAAGACAAGAGTGCATCCGCAACGAAGAGCCTCGTCGATTGGAAGTTGATAATAATCCAACAGCATCTCGAATATTGCAATATTGTCACGCTCAAGCGCCATGGCCAATATATTTTTAGCGTTTACTCGCGATGACACAGCTGCAGCAGCCTGCGTGTGTTGTTCCTCAAGTAAGAGCCGGCTGACCATTTTTCACAGGCGTACAACGCCGCGTGAGTAAGGGGCGTGCCGTATTCTGGATGCTGAATTGCTAGGCTGGCTCCTTTGCGCACCAAGGCTTCAACGAGGAGCACTTCTCCGTGGCGAATCGCCCACCATAGCGATGGTTGCCCAGGGTCGGTTGATGATTTGGGACGTTGCGGTTCGACCTCTTGCACGAGGCTTGGAGGTGGGCGAAGGAACCCCCAGAGTCCTGGCGACTCGCTCTCGTTGATGATCTTCGCCATCGCTCCGGCGGCCGCACCATGTACGAAAATGTCAAGATACATCGATTCCTCATGATGGTGCTTCAGCAAATATGCCAGCATTGTGTCCGAGCATGGGTCCTGATCGCGACGATGACGATGCTTGAGTATTGACATCATGACACTGCACGAATTTGTGGAGTGCTGTACGGCGGCGAACAAAAGTGCGTCCCTAATAGCTTCCCAGCTACCCGTCTGTAGAAAGGCTTGCAGCATTGCAGGCCCGTTGTCGGGGTAACTGTTGACAGCAGTAGCGATGACTTCTTTCGACATTCCTAGCTCGGTACCCCATCTACTGAAAAGAGAGAACAACATCTCCCAAGGCTGGCTTGACCGTAATAGTCTTTGAAAGATCTTGGCCTCGTGGGTGGACATAGACTGCTGGTCGCGTTCAGCAAGCAGCCTTGTAATGGCGTAACGTTGAGTCTCGTTCTGGAGGATACTGGCGGCCAACTGTTCGGAAAGCTCGAACTGCCCCTCCCTGGTCTTGCTGAGGACCTCCATGATTGCTGCACCTTGTTGTCGATTCTGCACGGCACCTAACACTACCCGTTCCGGCAGTCCATCCTGAGGACCTCGTTCTAATAATGACTGGATCATTGCTGCTCCATAGACTTCGTTTCGTGCGGCATCCTCCATCATTGTAGTGGTGAAGTTAAAATACTGATGCCTTTCGCGAAGTATGAACATTACGCCCTGCATCGCACGTACGTCTGTTGATCTGAGAAGTAGACTGAATGTCCTCGAGTGCAATGTTGCCAAGTTGTCCAGAAACGACTTGATAGTATCAGATGGAGTTAGAGGCAAGCATTGCACGTCACAACCGCAGATATATGCGGTTGTATTTCGCACAACCTCGGATTCGTGTATTGTATAATCGGTTACGAGCTGTTTGGTATTGGAGGGCCCACAGAGGCCGAGGAGCGCGTAGATCTTGTCTCGCTCGATGCTTGACATAGCATGGTGAAAGTTCCTCAAGATGGGGTATAGTTGTTGGTTTTCCTTGTTGGCTAGCCACGTGCTAGAACGCAGAGGCGAGAGCATCGCTTCCATGATTTGCCTCCGATGTCCTCCGACGTGGACCTTGAGCAGCTCCGGCGCGGCGACGAATAGATTCTGGGCGTGACTTGCATCCAGGCTCCTCGCTCTTACCCGAGACCGACGGCACGCGGAACGTGGAGCACCAGGAGAGCTGCCTTCAACTCCCGGTGAAACGTGACATCTACAACCTACGCGACTCAGGCTTCCCACTCGAGAAAGTCAAACCGCCGACGCCTGGCCCACTTTCGATAATCGGGTATTGCTGCTTCTACTGGGTCAATCATTTAGAAGAGAACATTACGAATCAGGATGAAGGCAGGAATGTACGCGGTGGTGGAATAGCAGATAGCTTCTTGCGGAATAAGGCTCTCTACTGGATTGAGGCGCTGAGTCTACTACGTGGCATCTCAGACAGCATCGTTGCATTGCAGGGTCTCAAACAGTGTATTCAGGTATGTTTATATATGCCCATTTGCACGTCAAGATTTCTGAATCGAGCAGGATCGTCAGGGTGCTTCAGGTCTTCAGGCGATAGTCGTTGACGTGTACCGTCTTCTACGAAGCTTCCGGCCGGCGATCGAGAGCCGACCACTGCAATGTTACGCCTCGGCACTCGTTTTCAGCCCTGCTAAAAGTTTAGTACGAAAGCTCTTCCGCGGCGAGGCCCCAGAGTGGGTGAAGTGCAAACCGGAACTGTCAGAGCGGTGGAACGCATGCGAGGCGACACTGGAGGGCCATACTGACTGGGTCTTGTCGGCAGCCTTCTCCCCAGATGGCTGGCGCGTTGTCTCGGCATCGGAGGATAAGACAGTCAAGCTGTGGGATGCGACTACGGGCATGTGCGAGGCGACACTCAAGGGCCATACTGACTGGGTCTTGTCGGCAGCCTTCCCCCCAGACGGCCGGCGCGTTGTCTCGGCATCGGACGACAGTACAGTTAAGCTTTGGGATGCGACTACGGGGTTGCGCGAGGCGACATACGAAGTTGATGCCAATAGTCCTGTCTCATTTGACGAGACTGAAAAGCATGTTTATGCTGGTATTCGAGTGTTCCGTGTTGGAAATGCCATGCAATACATCCTGGATCTATATCAAAATATGTCGATCACAGCCGGCCGCCAACGCCTTAGTATCAGTTCGGATGGTGCATGGATTTTGAGGGATTCGCAGCCGGTCCTCTGGCTTCATCCAGAGCTCCGATCGGAAGTTGTCGGGTGGGCCATAGTGGATGCAGAGACGAAATTGGTTATTGGATGCCCGACTGGCCGCGTTTTTATCCTAGATTTCACATCTTTCTAGAGTCACGTAGGATATAATTGGCGCCTTTGACTCTCGTGTCCCCATTTGCCTGAAATAGAGTTGGGCTTTAGTTTTCCTCCGATATATCGTACCTAGATATCCGAGCATATACAGTATAACCATCTTGTTTATCCCCTCATAATATTCTTGCCATACAATCAACATGGAGTAGACTTCACTCAGTAGTGGGCTTAATTCACAGTGCACGTCTCATGCGACATCAGTATTGTGAACCGACTTGAACCAATGGGATTTTGTCTTTACGATTGATTTTCTGTACGAATCAAATTGCGAGTAAGGAACCACAAAAAAGCCGTGGACGCGCTGCTGGTAGCTGGGAAACCCTTCGTGAGACAACAGCTTCGTGCGAGAAAGCCGTATCAGGTTAAACAATAATAACCTCCCGCTGTGCCCAAGCCAAAATGACAGGAAAGTCACTCAAGGTGAAAACATCTCATAAGATCCGGTCAGATTTGACTTCAACTGCAGATCAATAATTCATTCGGTCCAAAGAAGCTTGGGAAGTGCTTCTAAGGAATGCTCTCCAGGCATCGTCCTGTTTATGCAATAAGTGAATCCAACGTGCAGCCCGAAATGGCTGCCTTGATTGCCCCACCTGCGTGCAGCTTTGTTTATGGCTCCATGCACTTGGCATCGCCAAGACAAGGCGGACCGTGCGCAGAGAGTCTTGCGTTCAGCGGAAGTGGACACCGATTTCGAATTCGACTGTATGCCAAATGAAACTGCTTATTTGACTTCAAATAGTCCAGGGATAAATGACTGATATAACGAATCTTGAGATAATTTGTCATGATTGGACATCAACACCAAAGTTTACTTGCCGAGAGCCGTGCAATCTAACAAATTGACAGTGTCAACACGTAAATATTATCTTTGATGTACGACCTCTATTCGATTGCGGTAGCTGTGCCATTATCTATATGCATGGAGGGCCAGTGATACGAATAACCAGCCCTGGCCAACAGAACAATTACTTGCTTAGCATCCCCTGTAGACCTGGAGAACCTCAGACGGCCCCTATCTCGACTAGAATTCAGGCGCAAATTCGGCATTCGAACATTAGGTATTGGTGATATTCGTTGCTTAGGGCCCCTAGCACCTTGGGTCAGTTCATTGACCGTACCACGTCTAGGTTGATGAGCTGCTGGAACAAGCATTGGCGAAAGCTACGTCTCATACCATGGGTAGGGCAGACTACTGGATCATGCGTTCGAATACCGGCCTCGACGTGTCTCAGTCGTCGTTTCGCACTACAACAGCTCAATAGGTTTGGTTACTTAGATGGAAACATAGATACAATTTGCAGAATTAGGATGGGAGCATATGGGCATCGACCTTGGACACATGCCCCTAGACTGCGATGATGGTGTCGTGTAGTCTTCAGCTTCGCGCCTACTAAGAATTTGGGATCTCCCTCGCCGATCCGTCCTTATTCTTGGTCTGATTATGCGGCCCCCAAAAAATCTCTTTTTCGCCCTGAACTGTTATAACTACCAGCTGCGAATGATGTTCGGGGTATAAGGCGAAGATCTGATCCTATAAAACAATCGAAGTTCAGACCTTATCATCGTAGCTGTGCTGAGCTCAGACTTTTCTATCGCACAGTCGAGAGCCAATCTCTGCAGGTCACGAGAGGAACTTCGAACGGCAGCCGGATTTTCGGGAGCTAGCTGTAGAGACATGTTGAGATGATGGAGGCCAGGCTCGGTGGGATTGTGGGTGTTTATTATGAGACTCAAATGCGCATCAATACTTCTGGAATCAACGATGATCCATTACCATTTACCTATTTTTCGTACTAAGAAATAATTGACTCAGGCCTGCCATGCAGGTTCCAACGGAGCGGTAAGGAACTCAGGCTTGCCGTTCCTTCGTCAACCCCAACACACATTGACTCAGCAATGATCCATTGCCGTTCATTGTTCCTATCATTTCTACTGAGCAATCACAAGCTCAGGCTTCCTATTCTACCGCAATCATATAGTAGCTGCTCGTAGCCTCCCTTGTTTCCTGTTCTTGCTCCCCGATTCCGACAGCGCCAGCTAGCCTTGGACCGAGTGAATTAACGTGAGCTTACCGTCTTTATGATGCCAGACCCAGTTTACAACCGCGTCACATACCTGCCGGATCAGGCTATCCAGAAGAACAAAACCGAGCAGAAAGAAAGTGTCGATCGTCTTGTGATGCTCTTTGACCGAGGACCGTATTGCTCTAGTTCCCGGAACACTACCTTAGTGGAGATTGAAGTACAACTGCGCACCCGCCATTTGGACGCAACTATTATTGTCGGATAGTTACAATGTCTAGTACATAAGGAAGTTGTCTCAGCTCGCTCTCGATTTCTCGAAGTATTACGTAACGTCTATACTGAAAAGGTCGAGTCACGTTACGGGTTAACACAGTCTCGGAGTCTTCTATGAAAGCCATACTGTAAGTTTTGTGCGGATGGACTTTTGAACTTCCCGCGGAAGTCCCGGGCCTGGGCCGAGCTCACCGTCCTTGCAGCCGGCGCAGGGTACTCTTTTGCCCCACAGCCGAATTCGGCGCTCGCGATCGACTGCAGGTACGAGATAGCCGTACAGGTGCCGAGACATTTTGGACACGTCTCCGGAACTCGGGGAAGGAAGGCGCCATCCCGAGCCTCATCGTAGACTTCTAAGGTGAAACCCCCCGTCTCCGTGCTGAGAACATAGGCGGGTGCGAGGAGCTAGGAGGGGCGAAGCCGACCGAGTGTGACTGCTGACGTCGGCTTCCGTGGACGTCACCTATTCCGCGTCGCGGATGTGGGTTGAAGATAGAAGAGCACCGATAATACCTAGAGCGGTAGCGTTTGCAACTCTCAGGGTCGGCCGCCGCTTTCCACGACCTTCAGCTGCTAGTTGATTGACGCGTCGGAAGCAGGAAGGAGAACACAATTTCCAATGTAACATGGTGGGAGTCCTCCGGGAGTGAGAGCGTCCGGGGATTGAAGTTGCGACGGCCGCTTCTGGGCTACGCGATATCAGGAGAAGGAGGAGCTCGCAAGGGTCGACTTCCCACCTCACAACTACTGGGACGGTTATGAGGACAACTAAGCGGGAGTACAGGTCTGGGAGCTGCAGCGCGGGGCCTCGATCGCTAAGGCCATCACCAATATGCCTCTATGGATGGGTCCAGGGTGAGCTTACTCAGCTGAGGCGCTAGGAAGGTTCAGTCCGTAGAACAGGCGGGGAAGGAATCAGGTCTTCAGTCTCATATGCTGGTAGCGCGTCGGTATCCATACTTCGCAAATCAGATAGCATAGACTTCTACCGCAGGGCTCGCACTGGTAGATTAGCAGCTTTCGTCCGACCCAGGCTCGTCGCGTGGTGCTCGGTGCTTGGTCTTTATGCTCTGCCAGACATGTGGATGACCAAATAGAGCTGCACCGGCCGGGTTCACCAATATCTTGGGACGCTGATCTAGAGCGCGTTCCGATTCAGACGGATTCGCCCAAATCGGCGCCGCGCAGTTATTTGTAGTTTCGCGCGTAGTACTCCTCGCAATAGAAGTGCAATTCTATTATGGTCTCGCTGAGACGACTCGATATCCGAGATCACTGAATTGCTCGCGTTATCATCTCGACACGTGAGGCCGCACGGTGCTGCCCTACCTGATTCTTGGCGTGGACCTATGACCCGCGGTAGCCTCCTATGGCGGCCTGCGATATGATTGGTCTGGCCGGCTAGCAGTCTCCCCTCTTGATCGTAGTATTCCTTTCAGCGTGATCGCTCAATCCCTTACCGGCCAGGAGATGCCGCTGGGCCGGGGTCACTATGAAGATGCCCTGCTTCTGTATGTGCTCTGGGTGGCGGGAAATCTTCAAATCTGCCCTTCAAGAATGGTCCGGGCAAAGAGATGAGGGAGCGACGGGCAGCTTGGTTGCGGCGTGGGCTATATCAGGCTAAATGGTTGTATGGAGCCATGTATGCTACAGAGAGAAGATCATTTTGCCTGCCACCAGGGGTAGTTTTCGCACAGGCAGTGTCACTGTTGTACCATCAGCCTGCATCGCCATATGCCTCGACGTCCTCACCATGACTGGCTGTGACTAGAACGGCGGTGGAGAGGTCCAGTGCGGCGAAGTCGGCAGTCCGCTCGCCTTGGCAGATACAAACACAGCTCGACGCGTCAGGCCTCATTCATTCTGTCTCGGATGTGCTCTACGCACAAGTGCGGACCCGATCTCTGCCCTGCCTGGTAAGGGCACATTCAGATTTATAGGACCCCTTGTGGAACCGTTACCAGTCGCTCTTAGTCGGATCGACAGACCTGACTCGCTGCTGAGCTCTGGGACTGCCTCCAATGTGATAGAAGCCTCTGCCAGCAGCCGCCACTGAAACGCTGGCAAAACTCATGGGCGAGGTAGAACCGCTTTTACGACAGCGAGATCTCACAATGCAGGGTACGATACAGGGTAGCATCCAGACTGGTCACGTCATACAATCACCTAGGTCTCTGCGAGGTAAGAGTTGAAAGAAGATCCAGTACTGTGCAAGATAAATCAACGATATCCTAGGTCCCTTCGCCCCTCTCATCCTCCCTAGTCATGGCCCTGAGCCGACCTTCCACATAGCATATCCCTCCTGTCTGCTGATATCTTGGGGCTCGCACAAGACTGTGGCGCGTGTGATCGATGACCTTACGAGGGCTCGCAATGGCACCGGTTATGACCCAGTTACAGCTCATTCACTACTGCTCCCAGAGGCCTTCCCGAGGCGTTCCCGGAAGAACCTGCCACGCTTCTTCGCCTCAGGTAGCAAATACGAGGATGCTCGCGGACTCTCGCGAAGGGTGCTGCATGAATGACCTCGGTATAGTGCTGACCGCAGACGGTATTATTGGCATGCTGCGCGTTGACATAGGCGATGAAGGCGGCGGGTGTTTCGAAGGTTGCGAGCTAGTAGGCGTTCACGTAGACGGAAGGAGGCCTGTCATGAATGCTAGCGCCGGCAGGAGCGAGGTCGGCCTCCAGAGCTCCTGTCATAACATCGCAGTACTATGAGAAAAGTGGTCAGGCTGAGGAAACGGTGAAGAAGGCACCTTATACTTCCCACCTGTCCATCGCATCGTACGCGCCATATGCGAAGAGCTCCGCAGAGTTGAGAATTCGCATCCAGCCGCGGTTCCGTCTGTGGCGATGAAGTCAGGACGGCCGAGATGTCCGGCTCAAACTTGATACGGAAAGTCATCCTGGATAGTTGGCTTGGTGGCGAGGAGGACTTTTAGAGAAGCAGATCAGAAGGTTCCCTGGGTAGCGGCAAGTCAAAGCTGTCTGAGCTACCACCATCTCTCGAGGCTGGCAACCTTGGAGACGGCCGAGATGAACAAGCTCCGGCATCAGCGTAGTAGTCATACATGCCATCCAAGGTATAACCTTCAGCGTAGTGATCATAAAGGCCTCCCTTCATTTAGCTGTCACTCTTATATATTCCCTAGGCCGGATTACCAGGGGTCCGACGCCTAAATAGTGGCTATGTTACGGTAGCATCGCGCCGCCCTAGTAACTAACATAGTATTAACCTTCTAGATATAGAACTCTTCTCTATCGTCCAAGATTGAGCGTCTATGGCATAGAAGTATTATTTCCCTTTTTTTAATCCAATCCGCCTTGACTTGCCTCTCGGATTACCTGCTCTCTTCCTCTTTGCCCGCTGGCGACCTGATTCCAGTACCTCACGGCGCCACTGAGACAAAATATTCCGAGCCCAAGTTATCTCTTCTTCACTCAGGCCCATTTGCATAGAGCGAACTGTGACACTGGCCTGTATGAGGGTGATAGCGCTAGTCTGCGAGTATCTAATGCGAGTACGCCTCTATATGCTTCAATAGAGTGAGCGACTGTGCACGGGCCACAATGACCAGCGGTGGTCATTGTGGCCCGTGCACGAAGACTGGCCTCGGGAGTGACTGTGCACGGCTGTGACGACCCGACCAACAGGGGAACTGTTTGGGGCTGAGGTAACAAACAGGCCCAGCGCAAACAAGGCCGCAGGATCAGGCCAGGGACAAGGGCGGACCAGCGAAGGCTGGCGGGGAACACATTATGTAAGCACCCTACCTTATGTCAGCAGCCGACGATGAGCAGTCGCACTGCGACCATCACTCGTCGGCCTAGCGACGATAAGCTGTCGGCGCGCGACACCACGGTGTCGCAGGACGACAAGCACGATGAAGGACAAAGGATATATAGAGTCAGGAGGATCTCCTTGTAGACGGTCATTACCTTTGCACTTCAGCGATCAATCTAAGTATCATTCTCATCCTTCACTTGACCTAGTCACTCAATTGATCCGAGTGTGATATCTCGCAAGAGACACGAACGACAACCCCTCGAGAACACGACAAGCACGGAGTCAGTATTGCATGAGGTCGCTACCTACCTTATTCAGAACATAAACCCCACAGCGCCGGTCAGACGGTTGACCCCGGAGATCGGATCGTGACAACGGGCTACAACGACCAGCGCTGGTCATTGTGGCCCGTGCACAAAGACTGACTGCTCTGCGCAGAGACGCGCCACGCGACTTGTGACTGAGTCGTTCCCTGCCCTTTGTACGAAGCATGCGAGGTATGGTCCCATAATGGCTATCTTAGTCCATCGTGCGAGCGAACTTACCGGCCAAATCACCCAATTCATATCGGCGCTAGATGCGACGACCCACGCCGAGCTGATCAGTCATCTCACTGGCGCCTGTGATGCCCTAACGCGTCTTACAACCGCGACGAGCAATGAAGCAGCTACGACGAGTAATGAAGCAGCTACGACGAGGAATGAGGCAACAACCGCGACAAACAACGAAGCAGCTACGACAAACGACGAACGGCCAGCGCAAAACTCAGGCAAAAAGCGCAAAAGACTGAGCGATGCCAGCTAGTATGTCGCCCCATACGTCACAGATTGCCCTGGGGACGACAACCTGTAGCCACTCCTGCCCAAGACAACCCACCTTTCTGCCAGCTCCACTCATGACGCTAGTCCTGAGGTTGCCCGCTATGAGCCATAACCGGAAGCAGGTTATGAAGTCCACCGCTCTCGCCATAGCTTCACGATTTAAAAGGAGGAGATGGGCGAGAATCTCGTTGTAAGCCTAGAGGAAGTGGCCCATTAGTCTGGTTATCATGGATTGAGCTAAGTCGCTGACCTGCCGTCTATCGACTGGCCGGATCTTTTCGCCACCGTTGCGCAAGTCGATCATAACCTCCTCTCCGTCCACTTCGCAACACATAAGAGCCCAGGACGAGTACATCTATATAAGAGCAAGTTAACAACCTTTGAGGCCCCGAACTTTGCTGATCGCGCTATAGCTCCTTCAGACGACAATGTTAGAGCCTACCTAGACGAGATCTTTACCAGCATTCCTGAAGAAGAGGTCCCTTATTATGTCGGACCACTCCTTTTCGATAGCCGTATCGACGATATCCTGTTTCCTAGTAGGGCGCTTTTACCTCCTCATTTTCCGCGTGTACAGGGCGTTAACAGCACCTACATGCATATAGGAAACAGGAACTCTGGTACTGCATTCCACTGCGAAGATGGCGTTATGCGCTCAGTTAACTTGACCCTCCTTAGCTGGAATATCTGGATACTGGTAGCGGTGCATCACACATCCAAACTCGAGTCATTTCTTCTTAACAAGTTAAGACCTAGGACTAGCTGCGACTAATTTATTCGCTACGAGAATATTATTCTTAGTCCGAATGTGTTACAGACAGCCGGGATTGATTTCGTCGTCCTACTTGCCGGTCCCAGCGATCTCGTGGAAACTTAACTACGATAATATCATTGGGTCATTAACTATAGCACTATGGTTAAAATGGCAAACAACTTTCTACGTCCTAGGGAGCGCGCTCTACCTGACAGCATTAGTCTTTGTGATCAATGTGGACTGGCTCCTTTACAACCTCACTTTGATCAGATTACACTAGTACAAACTAAACGTAATAACATGCGACAGCGCACATAAGTTACGGAGACTATGCCTCTAAGTAAGCCCATAACACGGACGTCAAGCGCATCTTAGCACTCTAAAGAGTATGCTCCGCTTTCTAAAAGGCATGCTCCGCTTTCCAAAGGGACGAAGCCTAAGCTATGTCCAAAGCTGAAGGAGGCTAATTTAGCGGAACAGAAAATACGCCTAGACGAAAGCGCCTCATAGGAAATATGGGCTGCATATATTAACGGAAAGGCGATGCTCTACATACGGATCGAACATACCTTCGAGAAAGCTGAAGCCTTCCGCCTCGTATAAGCATTAAATAGCGACCTTGCCGTTCATAGCCTAACAGCTGTAGTGCGTGGCTGGAGGGCCCGTTCATTAGTAATCATCAGTCACTATACAACCCTTTCCCAGACGATCCAAGCGATTGTTAACTTCGAATCGAAGGCAATATACGGTGAAGTCATACGCGGACTCCTGCTTGTTGACTTTAGTATTAAGGTCAACGAGCTTACCTATGGTCGAACAAGACTTCAAGACGTGGACTGGAAGAGGGTGCAAGATTCGTGCCCTGTTGCCTTAGGAATGCCTATCCGGAAGCTACGGCAATGGCGCGAGTTGGGCTAAAAGTTGGATCGCTACCCTACTGGCATTCTTTGTGCTATCACTAGTCTTAGCGTAGCACCCTTTCACCTGTTACTTCAAAGCCTGGCTAGTCTTACGGAAGTTAAGTTACTTACTAGCATCCTTACGTTAGGGGAGGGGATCCCTTTAAGGATTCTTGAGCTCGGAGATTATGTCATCGAATTATTTCGCCAAGGTCGAGACCTTGATGAGTTCGGATGGGAGTCTCCTGATGCTCCATGTCTCGACTAACTCTCAGAGGCAGAAGTATTGAAATGGCTCCATCGATTCCCGATCGTTCAAGAATGTTACACGAACCTGGGCGCTTTGACAAACAAGAGAAGCCGGAAAATTGGCTAGGGAAATGGCTAGCAGATCCAATGACTGGGGAAGCCTTCGAACAGCAGTGTTGCTACTGTTCGAGCGCAAGCTGTACTTGCATCGAGCTGGTACGCCCGTCCTATACGGCTCACGACCGACCTTGCTCGTCTTGCTTGCTAGAGACTTGTGGGTGTGATTATCAGCACCTCCGTGGTGGCCACTACCTTCTCCGCTCCCTTATAGTTCGCGATTGCGAGCGGAAAGGCCAGGGGCTCTTTGTGGTGGGACAGCCTGGCTATGCTATCTTCCACAAAGATGATGTTCTGGGGGAATTGACAGGCGAGCTGGTCCCGCCGGGCACGTTCTCTACAAACTGGGGCGCTAAGATGGTTACGGATATTGTTAGACACGATATTAAGCCGGCGGTTTGTATGGCCCAGCTACGGTATGCTAAGGCTGGGAATCGTCTGTGTAAGGTCAACCATTGCTGCCACCTACCTATAGCCTGCTTTAGTGGTGCGATGGTGTCTGGGCGGTTTCGCATACTTTTGCTCGCGAATAAAGACCTATATGAGGGTGAGGAAGTTACGGTAACTTACTAGGAGGGTAAGCCGTCCTTCGACTGTTTCTGTGCGTAATGCCAGCCTAACAGATGAGTGGTCCGTATCCACCCGCTATCGTTGTTTGTAGTCTCTGGAAATAGTATTCACGAAGATCCACTAGCTTCCTTCCTTGTTGTACTAGGATTTCTCATCTAGTCTGTGCCATCTTCGTCCATAAGTAAAGGGATTGTCTGCTCGTTGCGCTGCTTGCGCACTCTTGTATCTAACTTTAGCTTGTTCCGAGTCGATAGAGATGGGAAGGCCTAACTGCAAATAACGAAATAAGAGTTGTTGGAAGTATATAGCAAGCGCGTATGCTTTATTGGTAACTTTGATGGAAGTTGTGACTAGTACTGTGTGATAGATAAACACTCTTATAACGTGAGCTTTATATTGTCGGGACTGAGAAACTCTTTTATCCGACTCCGGAGTAGACTAGGATAATCTGACAATTGGTTCGTCTCAGAACTGATAATTACAAGCTAATCTAGAGTTCAGTTGAGAAGGCTATAGTAAGGTGTGACGACTCGACCAACAGGTCGCAAGATCGGGCCAAGGACAAGGGCAGGTCATGCACGCGGGGCGGACACACCCCTGGTTACGTAAGCATCTCGTTACTATGGTTGTATGGGTAATTTTTAACTGTGCAGCAAGTCATATGCAGGCCCAGGGGTAAAATTGAGTGGGCCCAGGGGTAGTAACAGCCAATCAGAGGGCGTCATTTCTGGCAGCAGGTACCCATTTCGTCGCCGACAGATAGGCTGCAAATGGACACTCTGCGTAGCACTTCGGGCAGCACTCTGCGTAGCACTTCAGGCAGCTTAAATTGAGTCTATTCAGAGAGGCGCAATTGTACTAGAAAGGTATGTGCATCCCGTTCTTATCAAGGACTGCCTGACAGCGCTTAGGCATACTATCAAGGAGCTCCGTGAGGAAGGTATTAGAGACTGCATCCCAGGCCTCCTTGACGTACTTCCTAAGGTTATCGTACGAGGGCTGCTCCTCATGGCCGTACTTCTCCTCAATGAAGTCCTTCATTTTGTTCCAAACGGCCTCAATGGGGTTCAAATCCGGGGAGTAAGGTGGCCAGGTGATTGTTCGTACACCGCGTTCCTGGAGGTCGGTAAGGGTACCAGCAGCAGAGTGGGCAGAGGCATTATCCTGCATCAGAACCATCGTGAGACCTACAAGGCCCACGAGCCTGATCCAGCCGTCGATAATAGGTACTGTATGTTGGCGATATGTCTCCTCGCCAATCGTGCCCCAATCCTTCTCCCAGAAGATCCCCGGGCCTTTACCTGCAGTACCTGAAAAGCAGCCCCAGAACATCCACCCCCTCTTCTTCTGGTGCCTCTCCACGATACAGGTCGGGTCGTGCTCCTCGCCGGGCCGTCGGGTAACCCATTGCCGCCGGTGGTGGCCGCCGGTAACCCAGGTTTCGTCGGTCCAGAGGATCTCCCCCCATTGCTGCTTCGTCCAGTTAATATGCTCTCGAGCCCACGAGAGCCTCAAGAGCCTATTTGTCTCGCTAATCGGGGGCTTGCGGCGGGCAGTACATCGTCGGAATCCGAGCTTGCGTAATGTATGGCGGATAGTGTAACGGCCATAGCGCTTATCGAGCACCTGTTGGGCGACCTCGTCCCAGGTCATCCGACGGTTCTGCCGCGAGAAGCAGATAAACTCGAGTAGGACCTCAATATCTTCGGCCGACATCTTCATCGGGCGGCCAGTATGCTTCCCAGGGACCGCTGAGGCAATTGCCGTACGTACTTGGTTAATGGTAAAGCCGGTAAGGCTACAGATCTGCTGTAACTTGAAGCCAGCATCGTGACGGAGCGTTCGTACGCGGAGACGCTCCTTCTCCGTCAGGTGGGCTGTATGGACGTCTCTCGGGCGCATCGTTAGGCCTCAGTTACTTCAGAATAGCTACAGAAGATACAGCAGAATCACTGGCAGCAGAATCGCAGAATTATCACCATATGCCTCACTTCATGACGTTCAGGTTACTACATATGCTCTATTTGCTTGCATCATCTTGGCTCATCTAGTTTACTAGGCCCCTGCACCCGAAATGGATGGGTGGGGATGGGAGGTACAAAAAAAAGTGTTAAAAATTATGCCCGCAACCATAGTATGTCAGCAGACGAAGGATATGTGGATCGCAACATATCCAGCGATCCTGGATATGAGGATCACAACATATCCTACGATCCAGAAAGCAACAGGGACACATCTCTATGGAAACCCGGTGAAGGGCAAAGGATATATAGGGACAGAAGGATCTCCTTGTAGACAGTCATTACCTTTGCACTTCAGCGATCAATCTAAGTATCACTCTTACCCTTCACTTGACCTAGTCACTCAATTGATCCAAGCGTGATATCTCGCAAGAGACACGAACGACAACCCCACGAGACACGACAGCACGGAGTCAGTATTGCATAAGGTACTACCTACCTTAGTCAGGACATAAACCCCCAGCGCCCGGCCAGACGGTTGACCCCGGAGACCGGATCGTGACATAAGGGTGAAGATGGATAACTTGAGCCGTACTTGCCATTGTTAATTGCATAGGCTATTGGTTTCTTAGCTTCCAATATTAATCTAGTGGGAGACCTCAAGGCTGCGTTATTGAGTGACGTGCTTGCAGTATTATACTTATTACAAACATACGGGAATGATTAAGGTTAGAAATGTGCGTGGCTGTACTTGGTTTGAAGGTCCCTCTAACAAACCCCAGTTTATCACTTTATCGTGCATAAGTCAGAGATTGTCTGGGACGTCTTTGAACTTCCTTGAAGATAAGGGTAAGGTTTTAGGTTGAGGTGGTCTTCTTGCGCCCTTGGGAACTTCTCTCGCGCATACCTATAGAAAGCCGGCGAAACTTCATAGTATTCTATCAACCTTGAGTGGATTGTACCCCTAATTTCAGTGTTCGCCTAGTAGGTCTGAGGAGAATGGCCGTCGTGGAGGGCTCCTCAAGTGGGGGCGGCCGGAGCATCTGTGACCTTCCAACTATAAAAGCCGCGAGATCTCCCACCTTAGGTCTGGCATTTTCTTTCCTAAACATAACAGCAAAATTCCTCCTGGTAGCAGTCTCTCTACCCCAATCCTATCATTATATTCCTCATTGTCCTTGTCACTACTAGGCATATATTATTTGAAGTTCGAGCATTTGCTATGAGCGGCCAGAACGATCAGACCAGCCGCACTTCCCTGTGGCATTCCAGTACTTCCTATGGTCCAGGACTGTCCATATCCTAAGGACCATCTAGACTTGACGTTCTTAACGACGTAAAATGTCGGCCTGATGCCAATTCCAAGCCTGCCCGGGTAGCTAGACGGCCTTAAGCCGGAGAAGAAAACATAGCAAAAGATATCGCACCTAAAGCTGGCAACTCAAGTTTCTCGGAGACCCTATAGGCCAAACGGCCTATGGAAGTAGTACAATACCACGTGCCGCAGCCTAACGAGGGTTCCCGGCATGCGGGATCCCTAACTAGTGCCCACGTCGCTAAGAATCCGAAGTTGGCTAGTTCGGGCGGACTGGCCAGGGCGGCCGTCCCTACTAGCTACGAACCTAGAGCGTGCGTCTCAGCGCCATAGAGCAATCTTTCAGCTTCGCCTGCGGTCCGCTCTGTGGACTCCCACTTAGGTGATTTACAGCCTGAAGCGGCCAAGAACGAGAAGTCATTAGCACCTGGCGAGGTTGTAAACTAGCCTTTAACTTGCTAGAAGGTATCGACGTCTGAGTAACAAATTCTTAAAGGTTACAAAATGAGCCTGGGCAGCGTCCTTCAGAGTTCAATAGTTCCAGAGTCTCATGGCTTAAAACGAGCTGTAGATGAGGAACATTGTCAAGGACAAAGAGGTAGAAGGGCGATGGGATCAAGGTCGAAGTATCTCGTCAAAGGTATAACCCGATTATCAACCTTACCTTAGCAAAGATTCCGAGACCGGCCACATCAAATACTACACTTCATGGGCGCTATCATTTGTTCCACCTTCGTCTTTCAGATGTGATAAGCCCTGGAACAAGCTAGAGACCCCGGTGTCCAAGATGCACGGGAAAGCCGGCGTATCGAAGCTGTATGAGGCGGTGAGACCCGGAAGGACTAGGAAATCTTAGACTACTAAGAAGACAACTAAGGTTACCGATGCCAGCTCAACTTAGATAAGTTGTTCTCTTCCAAGGGTTACCCCACCTATGATATCAAGGCGTTCTACATCGACCTTAACGAAGAAGAGGAGCTCCGTGTCCTGGTCGACTGGTAAGACACTGAAGTGAATCTTCAAGATCTGGACCTAGCAGGTATGTATCTCGTAGAGAAACTTACGAGGAATCAGTTCGGCGGAAAAGTCTGGATGACTGAAGCAGAACTTGCGGGATTCGGGTCTGCTGATCCAGATTGCGATATCTGCATGTCCGATGTTTTTTGCCCAATGCACGAAGCTATTAATGATTGATTGGTCAATATTAATCAGGCAGGAATAAGTTAGAGGAGCGTTTCCATGAGTTATCAGTATTTTGTTTGACTATTGAGCTAGTATTTCATATTGTAACGGTCTTATGAATGGAAGATGTTCAGTGCCACCCGCCCTTCCACCTTTGCTTAAGTTGGTCAGGCTCATTGGGCATTGCTTGCGGCTGGTCGGTGTTGAATTGGGGCCCTGCCTAAGGTTTACTCGGTGTTCACAGAGGAATAACGGTGTTCAAAAGATGGGTGTTTATGTCACAGAAGGGCGCAGCCACTCGGCCGCCTGATGACCATGAGTCCAGAGCTTTTCATACCCAACAAATCAGCATGTGACATGACGGCGTTTTTGTATTTGGAATCAAAAAGAACTTATTGTGACAAACAGAGATTCCCGTCCACGTGTTGCCGCCGATCCCTGCCGCCGCCGCCCCGGACGTAGCTGTGATGACAATACGCTTCGACACCCCTTTCACCGCGAATACCTCTTTCAGCGTCGCCATGAGCCAAGACTTCCCGGTGCCGCCGCTGCCGCCAATATATTGGAGATGTTGCGGTGGCTGCCCCAACATCGCCTGTCCTCCGTTGTCGTCTGGGGCTATGCCTGCCACTTCCTCCGCTCTGTCCATCGCCTCACAGATCAGGCCGAGGGCGATCTTCTGTATGCGGTTTAGCGTTCGCTGCTTGCCTATCATGTTCCCGACCAGGAGGAAGCTGCTGACAGGTGCTATATCTACCCAAGTATGAGCTGGAGCGGGGGTTGGGTTGGGCGCCGGGATAGGTTGGAACAAATACTGACCATCGCCGGGACCGAAACCAGCCTCATCGCCATTCGGGTCTTCGCCAACTTCATCATCCCGTTCGATGCCTAGCACTCTGGCTCTGTGGAGCCGCAGCTGGGCCGCACGTACCATGCCAATCTCGGGCTTCGTCATCGTTTTTACTGTCGCTTGATGTTCGGACTGCGTGTCCGCGCGCCATGGGTCCGGTTCGAGGTCGGAGAAGCTGGCTTTCTCCAACGCCTGTAGCAGCCTTGCCAGTGCGGGGAAGTCCCTGGCAATGCCTTCATCGCCGTGCAGGTTATACACCGCGTCATGGAATGTGTACCTCAAGTCCGTGTTCTGCGGTCGCCACGAGGTGCCAGGGGCTATTCCGTCCTCCGCCGGCTCGTGCTCTTTCTCCTCGTCACCTTCGCTGCGGCTAGCCCAAAAGGCCGTGTCTTTCTTTGCATCAAATTCGACTGGTTGTTCCGCTGTTGCATTACAGTTTGACTACAATAAACTGCCCTTCCTGCCCATTGCCCGAATCCAAAGCTTCTTGCTCAATACCTCTGTCTACCCTTCTCCAGACGTCATCTACGCCTGTCCCAAGAGGATTGTTCTGCGATTCCAGAGCGACCTGGGTCTCGATACGGTCATCTTCTGCTTTGCTACAATCTAGATATGCCATCGTCCCCTCCCTTGGTCTATTCCCTTGAACCAGCCAGGGTAGTTTGAGATTTGGCGCCGTACGCTGTGAAGGAAGGTACATGCGAGAGGACACACATCTCACGGCCAGGACGAAAGTGTCAATTCTTTCACCGTTGCGAAAATTTGCTACAGTGGCGGTTCGACGAGGAACGACCGGAAAACACTAGCTTGGCAAGCCGCCGGTTTGCAGGCCTCTTTACACCAACGAATCCGTTAAGCCTAGAAATTATGTGACTTCACGCACCTCCATCGCCTCTCAATGAGCAACTGCACATGCAAAAGGGGCCTCAACTTCAGCCGCAGGTGACACTAGTTTTCCCAATGCTACAACCGTACCGGTACAAGTTGTATCTCGGTCTAGTTGAGGTGTTGGTTGTTGAGACTCCACCTCTGCGGAGGCACCGCTATTGGTTGTCCAAGGCAAGCGCCACCGATAGAGCTTTGCGGACTGTGGTGTTCCCGACGAAGCAAGACCTTTGGGCAGCAGGGGACGAAGCGTCGGGATGCAAACGCAGACAACAGCACAAGACAGCTCGACAACTGACCAGATAGCCACCTCGATAGTGTGCCAGGGAGGATCCGTGGACATAATCGCCGCGTACAGACGGGTAATACGGACGACGGAAATGACGCAGGTGCTTTGAAGTAAACTGTCAAGTTCCACACGTGGAGTGGACGGAGAATGCCAAGCAAGACAATACTTACAAGAAGCCTAGGCAGAAGATGCCCACCAGAATATATTTCTGGACTCTTCCGATCGACGACAAGGTTCGGAGGATTGGGAGGGGTATAATGTAGATGATGATGTCCGTAAGAATATTGACAATGGAGTTGAAGTACCAGAAAACCATCCTGTTAATGCATTGGTTTGGGTGAGTCATATCCCAATTTTCGGAGATTGGGTTGCAGCTGAACAAGACTGTAAGCGTCGAGATGAATCCCCAGACGATCACAAATCCAGCGAAGACATCGCAAATTCGCTGAACATGTGGCAGAGGGAAGATGCGCCGGAATTGGAGCAGAAAGGTCACCTTCCCGGATGCGATGGCCAGTTGGTACGCGAGTAACGCGAAGAAATTTTCCTTTGAGGGTTAGGCAACTGTATATTAATAGTCTACAGCTTTCAAGTTGGTCTTACCTTCCACCATGTGACAATCTCATCGTGGCTAAGCACGGATATGTGACGACCGAGGCCGGACGCGGTATCTATTTGCCGTATTAGGATGGATCATTGATCCGATTCAACATAATTACTCTTGGTCATTCAACTCACTTAAAGCAGCCAGGATACCCAGCACAAGGACAAAGACCTCCACGACAATCGCGGGAGTTAGAACGGTGAGTGGAGTCGGTGGATCGTGCATCATGTATCAGAACACACCAGAAATATTGCCACTCCCCAATCATCCGGGCCGAACTTCTTGACGATGCCTAGACGGACGTAAAAGCGTAAGGCGACAGCTGTGGATGAGATGAAAAGACCAGCCGCAACGACGGCGATAATGCTGTTCGCTCTACTGTCGTAGGCATCTGGGGGAAGAGGCTGTGGTGGAGCCATCGCATCGATATAGAGGGGCCGCGAGTGATGACTGGAGGAGACCAAGCTATTTCATGCCATCGGCCGAAAGAAAGCGCGAAGACAATGCGCTGGCGAAGAGGTGAGGTGGAGTCAAGATGGCTGAAAATTACTTCCCCTTGTCATTGTGGCGCTGCTCTACTACAGATATGCCGTTCAAGCAGTGACCAAGCACGTCTCGCCCCCGATAAACGGGAGCCCCAGTTGCGCGATCATGTGAAGGTCCGGCAAGTTCCACTTTCTCATGACTCAGTTCACCCAATCCTCTTCAGTTACTCGCCTGCCCCAGCTTTGTGGCGTAGAGCCACCCCACCACGATTCAGCCGGCGGCCCTGATTGGTGGCTACAGGCTGCAATTTTGCTCATGGCCAGCGTCGAGCGTTGGCCCCAGCCAGCATAACCGTCCCCAACCACATAACCCGGCCGCCTTAGAGGTCAAGCTCCTCGATTTTTGTCTCGTATGGGCTGTCGCGAAGGCTAGGAGCATCATTGTGCACGAATCGTAGAGTGAAGGGTAGTACACCCAACCCCATCGGATCAGCCCACTTGTCCCACGGACTCCGTGCGATTTCCCAGACTTTCGATGAGCTTATGTGCGTCCTGTTTGTTGAAAGGCGAGCGTCGCAACAAACAGTCCTGGCCAAAAATATCCATCACCAGTCTGTTCTGATTTCCGCTTCTAGACGCCGTACTAACCATTACCAGCCCACGGTTGACGGGGAACTTCCAGAGCTAGTGCTTGATGAACTATTTCTTTTATTTTCTGTTGTGCCAGGTCCTCAACCCACACCGATTTTCTGCCGCATAATTAGGGGTTACTCCTAAGCAAGCAGCCCCTTAGCTGCGCACGAGTACCGTGACATCAGTCATGTTAAATGCCGCCCCCCCCCCCCCCACCTACCTATATCCGCCAACCATCAAGGGAATAATTCGTGATTCTACGCTACTCAAGCCTCACCACAGTACCTCTCCACGAACAAGCCGACCAAATCCGAGCAGCTTACCGTCGAAACGACATCTCAAACTTTCGAGTATGCGGCTGTTTTGCAAACTGCCACTATGTTAGTGCCCGCAATGGGTCCAGCAAAGCGACCAGTGCGCATGGCACCTACCCCAGGATTGCATCTCCAGTCAACCCTTCATCGGCAGGGATTCTGCATGCAGACCCAAGAAGCTTGGAATCTCTGGCTCAAATTGCATTGAAGCAATAGGTAGTATGGCGTATGTTGACGAGGGTGGTGCGGGGCCGGGTTGTAGTTCCGGGTGCCCGAGCTCGGAACAGGTAAATGGTGGCGCGCTTCCTGCTAATCCTAGAAGTCTCTTAATACTGTAGTTGCGTTAGGGGGCCTGCATCGCTTCAACGACCCATTAAGGGGCGGCGCTTCTCATTGGAGTATGGGGCCAGGAGCGAGGCTCCCAAGATTTTCTTTGAAACCTTGACCCCGTCCCCGACTCTACGAATCGCGGGACTTGACAGCTACATCGTAAGTAGTCTTAGGATGGGCTTCCGCAGGTAAGCAAGCCCTGAATTTCCCCAAAGTCTGTTCTTTGGTTGGACGACATTCACCATCTCACAACGCCAAAATGTCTTCCGTCCCACCTAACTGGCCAGCACGAGACCAGAGACAAAGTGTGGCACCGCTAGCAAGGCCTTAACTGTAAAGATGTTCCAGACCGAAGCCACGGGGGAAACGACTGGGGGCATGGCATGACACAGTTTTTCAGGTGCCGGGAGTGCCCTCAAACGACCAAGGGGCAGCCTTTGCCAAGAGAACAAGCCAGGGACGAGGTGGTTCCAAGACTCTCTCGGCTTGCGAAAGTCAAAAGAAGCCCGATTCAAAGAGTCATTTTTTTGGGTATTCGCCACATCGTCCAATGAAGTTGTTGTGCACAGTAGTGACCACAATCAGTGTCCACAAACAACTCAATTGAGCCGATTCGCGCACGGGCCACATAGACCCACATGTGGCTTAGGACTGTGTGAATATTGTTCAGCACTCTGTATCGTCCATAAAAGCTCCACCTCCCCTCCATTCCTGGCTTTCGTTGACCCTTGCCGATGCCCATCACAGGCTACTGGACTTGGCAGAGCGATGGTAGCATTTGGCCAGAGTCGCGCGGCGACTCCCGCTCACTTCTGGGCCCGCGCGGCTCCGACTCTTCAAGGCTCCCGGCCCCGGACTCCACAACGCCCCAGGGAATCGCGAAAAGCGGGTTCCTAGGGATGATTCGGGTTCGCGGGTGGCGGAGCAGCGCGAAATGCGCTCGGGTTGGGCACTGAGGGACGGGCTGTAGGAAGCATATGTTAAATGCCATGCCTCGTGGCAGGCGAATGTGGGATCGAGATCTCATGGATGACTGGCCCCGGCGTCGAGCTCACACAACCAATCCGGGCGCGAGCCGGGCGCGGGTTGCCTCTCCGGACCGCGCAGCCAATTAAGGTGCCAAACCGGCCGAGTGGCGTTTCCGCTTGCCAGCGCCGGATTCGGGGGTCTGCCTGCTTCGTGCGGGAGGAGTGAAACAGCCGACAGAAGCCTTCGCAATTGAGGGCTCTAGCGGAGCGGGCCCGCCGTAGCTCCTTACCGAGTCCAGCCACTTGCACCCCACTCCTGCCGTTTGACCCCAGGCCAACGTGCAGGGAACTTGCCGTGGCTGCATTTTCAAGCAGACAGCTCCTGTGCTTCCCTCACTCGCGCTGTCGTCATAAGCATGTCACGGCCGGCGCGCTTATCAGTCTGGCGGCGCATTTGTTGCTACAACAGAGAGCCAGCGCCATTCCTGACAAGTCGTACCTGGCCATCTCGACCCCATTTTTTCCACGGCCACAACAACAATAACAATGATCAAGGACGACAAGTGGTAGCACAAATCTCTCGCTCAAGCCAGCAAGACTTAGACGACCACACATAGCTTCCACCATGGCTGCCCTCACAGACCACACGCAACACCAACCATCCACACATATAGTACATGACTGGCCCGGGGGTACCTTTGGCCTCAAGTCTGGCGACATGTCCTGGATGGTCCTGGATGGCAACTCCACTCATATGGACGCCTCTCTATCTGCTACAGACGGCGGCTTCACCATGGACCTTGGTCCCGAGATGTACAATATGCCCTTGCAGCCACACGACGCAATCCCCTTCGGCACCATCATCCCCTCACAAATTTCGAACACGGCTCTTGACGACGTCCGCGTCGGGCATACACTCGTGGCTAATGTCCGTAGCCAGCCATCCTGCTAGCGCGTCGATACACACTAGCCCTGGGGAAATTATGCCGGAGCCTTCGACGTCAGCACTCAGGCGCCATAGCCACCACCACCTTCAGCAGCAACACAGCTCGGAGATACCGCAGCTCGCCGGCACGAAACGCAGGGATAGCGAGATACACGTGCACAGCACAGGGTCGCCAGATGCAACGGCAAGTTTCGCGTCACAGTCTACGCCGTCGGACACGACGGCTCTTCCGAGCAGCAACAAGAAGAAGAAGACGATACGCGAGAAGAACCGAATGGCTGCGACAAAGTATCGCGACAAGACGAAATGTGAAATTACAGAGCTCGTGAAGACAGAGCAATGGCTCTCCGAGAAGAACAGTGCCTTAAAGGCCCACGTCAAGTATTTATGCGATGAGATCCTCGCCCTCAAGACGGAGATCCTGCGACATGGCACTTGCGAGAGCCAGCTCATCCAGGACTACATCATGGAGAGGGCTAGTAAGTTGCTTCTGGATTAGGAAAGAACCATTTCACATGACTCTTTCATACCAAAAAAAACAACCAGAAACGAAAACCCTTAAAGCATGAACTCTCTTGTTCCTCCCACTACTTGATCAGGCTGGTTCTACGTCTCCCATGTGGACTATCACTGTCAAGCTATCACTACTAAGAAAGCGTAATAGTAACTCTTAGAGTGCTTAAAAGCACAGTCGCCATCATTGGCAGTGGTTGGGGCGGCTTCACCCTCGCGCACGAGCTGTCGCTCGCCAAGTACGATGTGACCGTGATCTCGCCCAACCGCACTGTCCAGTATACGCCGCTGCTTGCGAGTGCTGCGGCAGGCATGTTCGACTTCAGGTAATGCGTCCACCACCCCCCTAATGTGATGCCCGGCCGCGCCGAAAAGCCCTGAGGCGACGGACTGTCGAAGCACCACGCTGACTCTTTCCCCGACCAGACTCGCCGAGGAGCCAGTCCGCCGCAGCAGCCGCCTGCCTGGCCTGCAGTACTACAAGGCCACCGTCGAGGACATCGACTTTGCCAAAAAGACCCTCCACTGCATCCCAGCAGTCTCGGACATTGCGGGCACCCGCCTCTCGTCCGACCCGCGCCGCCACGCCTTCACCCTCGCCTACGACGTCCTCGTCATCGCGCCCGGGTGCACCGTGCAGACCTTCGGCACCCCGGGCGCCGTCGAGCACGCGCACTTCCTCCGCACGACCGACGACGCGCGGCAGATCCAGCAGCGCCTGCTCGAGATGCTCGACGCGGCGTCCACGCCGGGGCTCGCGCGCGCCCAGCAGCGCGACATGCTGCGCGTCGTGGTCGTCGGCGGCGGGGCCATCGGCATCGAGGCCACGGCCGAGCTGTACGACCTGTGGCAGCACACCTGCGGTTCCTGTACCCGCACCTGGACCCCGGCCTCGGCGGTGGTGGTGATGGCGAAGAGGGCGACGGTGGCGCGCTGCTCAGCATCGAGGTCCACGACGTGGCGCCCGAGATCCTGGGCACGTTTGACGACCGGCTCGGCGAGTACGCGCTGCGCAAGCTGCAGAACCGCGGGGTGCGCATCAGGACGGGGAGCCACATCACCAGGGTCGAGGACGGGGCGGTCTACACCAAGGAGCGAGGCGAGGGCAAGGAGCGAGGCGAGGGCAAGGAGCGAGGCGAGGGCAAGGAGCCCCTGGTGTACGAGATGCTCATCTGGGCCACGGGCAACGGGGTGAACCCGCTCGTCGACAAGATGCAAGGTGTCGAGAAGACGGGCAAGCTGCAGCGTATCGTGACGGACCGGAGACTTCGCGTGAGGAGGAGCACGATGGGAGCGGCGAGGGCAAGGGCGAGGGCGGGGGGTCCGTCATGGCCGACGTCTACGCGCTCGGGGACTGCGCGATATCGACGGCTACGCGCTGCCCACGCTCGCCGAGGTCGCGGTGCAAAAGGCAGAGTACCTCGCCCGGCAGCTCAACGTGGCTACTGAAGGGCAGCAGCAGCAGCAGCAGCCCTCAGAGGCCTTTGCGTACCGGCAGAAGCCCAACCTGGCATATCTGGGCCAGCACGACGGCGTGATTGGCGGGCAGGAGGAGTGGACGGGCCACTCTGCGTGGCTGGCGTGGCGGAGTGGCAGCATCTTCCACTGGCCGCGGAGCTGGCAGCGGACCATCATGATTGGCATCAGCTGGATGTTCAACGCCATTGGGGGCCGGGACATTGCACGGCGGTGGTAGCAGGTAGCAGCCGGCATACAATATGCACCATTGGGGCCTGGTTATGGCGGCATGACGTCAGCCGGGCCCGGAGCATCCCGCCCGAGAACACGGGGTACTGACGGGGGCTGCGGGGGCTGCTGAGTGGTGGGCGCCACCGGGGCGTGGGCCGAAGGGAGTCGGCCCTGTCCTTCGAGCGGAGATTCACAATGTCAGCATACGTACATCACACATCACTCCCTTGTGTTGCCCATCTCGGGCGACCGTTGGCATCGTGAAGCTGAGGCGCGAGGAGATCGCCAGGGTTTCCCAGCAGCTCAGCCGAGCAAGGTCGTGAGCCAATACCCGGGCAGAGATTGTTAATACTGGCACATGCCAAGCCGTCACACTCACGTCAATGTTGTCGGGAGATTGAGAGCACCGTGGTCCTCCTCGACGCAGAGACGACCCTGCCACCCATCATCATCACCACCACCAGCAATGTCAGCGGATGACGTTGGCAATGGCCATGTTCTGATTGGGCAATGGCGTTGTCATCACTGGTACAACCAGGCACGTGCAAGGACACGATATATAGGCCAAGAGTTGGAGGCGGACCTCCCGCCGTGTTCTCTTTCATCTATATAGCACTGCGTAGCCCTCGGCCTTGGACACAAATTTCCAACCTCAAGAAACCACCATGGCTATCGCAACACGGTCAGCAACAACAACCTTGCTCCGACAAGCCCGCCTTGCATCTCCGACAAGTTCACCGCCACCGCCACCACCACCAAGCGCTCCTTCTCCGCGACACCCGCCGCCATGACGCTCATCAGCGACGCCATCAAGGACGACCACAACGACCTGCGCGAGGCCCACAAGCGCATCCTCAGCGCCAACACGCACGACGAAAAGGTGCGCTGGCGCAACCAGTTCACCTGGGAGCTCGCGCGGCACTCGATCGGCGAGGAGCTCGTCGTGTACCCGGCGATGGAGTCGCACCTGGACGACGGCAAGGCCAGGGCTGACCACGACCGGAGCGAGCACCAGACGGTACGTTTTCTCTCGCTTTCTCTCCACACACACACACACACACAAACACACAACCATATCCCTTCCGCGTTGAACAACAACAACAACAACAACATGCCGGCATATCCTGGCGAACCATCTATAAATCTAACCTGTGCTTGCTTGCGCTGCCATCACTATAGGTCAAGGAAGAGCTCGTCAAGTTCCAGGACCTCGACCCCAAGGACCCGGCCTTCAAGACGACCCTCGACTCCCTCTGGGCCAACCTGGACAAGCACATGGCCGAGGAGGAGGCCGACGACCTGCCCGCGCTCGAGAGGGCGCTGCCCGACTACGACGCGTCCGACAGGCTGGTCCGCCCCTTCGGCCGCACCAAAAAGTTCATCCCCACGCGCTCGCACCCCAACGCGCCCGACAAGCCCCCCTTTGAGACCGTCGCGGGCCTCCTCGCCGCCCCGATCGACCACATCAGGGACCTGTTTAGGAAGTTCCCCGACGAGACCAAGACGGGCGAGATGCCCCCTTGAGTGAACAAGTCAAAAGGGCGGGCGGAGGGAAACGTGGGCTCATCAGAAGGCGAATCAAGAGTCAAAAGAGCGTCGTGTGGGTGTGTGGGTGTGTATCACTTATACGATGCTCGACTCACTGTTGTGATTACTAGATCACACGACTACAAAGATGGTTTACCTTGTGGGTAGATCCGCAGCGATTGCTAGATCGCTGCCAGTAGTAGACAGTCCGCACTGAACAAGTCCACCATACCAAAAGGCCCACTTCCATCGCTGCGCCGTGACCTTTTTTGGTGAGGCTTTGAGAGTTGGAAAATGCAGAGGTGCAGAGGTGTGAAGGTGCAGAGGTCTAGCTCGAGATGCAAATCGTCAGAGGTCCCGAGGAATGCATATCTGTGGACTAAATTCAGGTATGCCTGGTGAGAAGCGCCTCCGCTTGACGTCCACGGCCGCTCACTAATTCTTTTTGCCGCCTAATCGGGTGCCATGTGGACACTTGCCCTCCCGTGAACAAGTATATCCACGATACGACCAAAGCAAACTGGGTGCTCAAACCGAGCGAGCACTAGATGGTACATAGAAAATGTAGGCGCTTGCCGCCAGGAACAAGTCGCAGAGAGCCAACGACAGCGAGATTTCCAGGTCCTGAAGATTAGGCAGACATGTGAAGCACAGATATGCTTGCTTCGGAAAGTTACCGAGGGGCATTGGAGTAGGCAGAGGCAAGGAAGTAGGACACAGATACGAGGGGGAGGAAGCCTTAGCCACCATCTGCAGGAACTCCAGTGGGTTACAAGTCACCTCATGCATTTAACACTACACCACAGCCTGAGTCCAATACAGACGACTTCAAAGCGTCATTAGTCTATTACTTTTCTTCCAGCACCATCTAGAGAGTGCCCACGACTATTACGATACTACTCTTCTACAGAGTCATCTTCGAGTACGTGTAGCACAGCGGGCCCGCCATCGTGTCCATGTAGTCCCTGACCACGGGCTTGGTGTCGGCCAGCTCGAGCACGGGCATCTCGTCGTCGATGGACGCGCGGATGCTCAGCGTGACGCGGTCGTTGAAGCCGCTGTAGTCGGCCAGGCGGGTCTCGTTGCGGCCCTGCCACTGTTGGGTTGGTAGGAAAATGTCAGCGCCAGGTACATAAAGCGATGCGGGACGTCATCGTGGGGTTTACTTACTCTGGCCCAGGCCCTATCAACGTTAGCATGGTGCAACATGAACAGAGGCTGCGTTTGAAAAATTGAGATTAGCTAGGTGTTACTGGAGTTATCGTGAGGTTGGTGGTGATTGTCGATCGATCGACTTACCTCATTGGGCGACGTCGCCGGGCCCATGTCGCCGTGGATAATGCTGTGGACCTGGGCGTGCGGGAGGCCCTCGAGCATCTCGGACATACGATAGTAGTTGTTGAAGTTGTGGATTGTGCGCATGACGGTGGTGCTGTAGGCGGCGGCCTGCATATCGTCGATGATCTGCTCGCCGGTGGCCGGGTCTCTGCCGAGGCCGCCGTTCCACTCGCGCGCGAAGCAGTGCTCCTCGTTAACCACGTCGTTAATGTTGGGCCAGCCCGGCCCCAGGGTGTAGGTGGTGTTGGCAAAGGGCCCGTCCATGACGCAGCGCGAAAAGCCGCGCGTCTGGTTGCCCGTCAGCACGCCGTTGCCGCCGAAGCCCGTCTCGGCGTCCCAGATGGGCGAGACGGGCATCGTGTTGGTGTCGGACTCGATGGACCAGTCCCAGTACGGCTGGCGGCCCGTGTAGCCGCACTCGTCGCGCAGCATGTCTTCGTGCAGCTGGACGTACCACCGGTGCCAGGGGAGGAAGTTGGCGACGAAGTGGATCTGCTGGTTCAGAGTCAAGTGCGTGTAGGTCAGGTCGTCCATGCGTGTCTTGACGGCATCGACCTCGGCATACTTCTGCTTGGGCAGGTTGCGCACACATACGGCAGCCTTGAGGTAGTCGGTCTTCTCTGCCGTGCTTAGCTCGCGCCACTCCTTGCGGACGACCGGGCTTGTGCACGTGGTCGCGTCCTGGCGGGGAATGACGTTGGCTGTGGCAGCTGAGGCCGTGAGGGCCAAGAGTAGCGAGCGTGAGAGCATAGTGTGCTGTGTGCTGTGTAGCGAATGTGCTTGAACGAATGTGGAGTCGAATGAAGGTCGGCTGGTGAGAGACAAAGAAGCTCAATCGTGAAATGGAGAGCACTTCAATGCCTATTTGAAGGAACGGCAGTCGTCTGATGCTTGCCCGCCATCCACGAGGTCCACGATGCCTGTTACTCGCTGCAAGGGGCCCGGACCAGGGTCGAGCTTCAAGACGTCCAAAGCGGCAAAGCTGCCGTTGGATACGATGCTGGAGCGGAGCCGTCCTGGCGCTCAGATCCACCCGCACAGCCGCCCGGCATGAAATGTCAGGGGCAGGGGTCCTTGGAGGATCGCAATGCCATTGTTCACATGTCGGTGGATGGGTATCGACGGCCCGGAAGGATTCGCGAGGTAACGTACTCCAGACGACACGACACTCGACAGAACTTTGCCCTGTTTTGTTGTAAGACAGCCTTCACTGACTGGACAATGGACGTGTCCCCGGCCCGTGACTAAGTATGCATTGACGACCTTGTCCTGGTTATAGGCTTATAGCGGCAACGCTCAGAGCCATGCACGAGTCATGGTTATGACTGTCACGAGAACCCCCTCGACCTTTCTTACGATCCCTTCAGCTCAAGGACCTAGGTTCCCTCAGCCCTAACTACCTGCAAAGCATTGCACCCCATGGACGTGAGGACTTTCCCTAGTCCGACTCCTCCCGCCACCACATCGGGTGCGTCAGACTCTGCCCTTGCTGCTCGTGCCGAACCATAACGCATCGCCGTATCGTATCGCTTCGACCAAGATGTTGTAGAACTTCTGATATAAGCGGGCCCCTTGCCTTAATTGTTTTAGGCTGCTAGAAAGAACTAGTTACAGTAATGACCGAAATCGGTGTCCAGAATTTGGCAGTTGAGTGCTTCTGCGCACAGACCAGCTGTGCACCAAGTCGGGCTCTACAGTGCGTCTTAACTTCGCTTTGTTTAGCTGCTTGGATCCAAAACCGGCGCTCCCCGAATTGCATTTATCCGGTATGCTGGAGCCAGTCGAGTACTACATATGCCGCCAAGAGCGATCCACACTAATCGTTGCCTCAACTCATTCGTTATCGCACACACAAAGCTAGCTACAGTTATCTCGTCGTCCTATGGCCAACATCAGGGGGTGCTTTCTAGCGACCTACATATAGCGAGTTCCGGTACGATAGTACGGATTTAGAACCGTGGCTGCTGGTTTGGACCATTTTTTGTTCCAAGCCGCTACCTGAATCTGGATCACGGATTAAGTGCAACGGTTCCTCTCCTATTTCCTGTCCAACCTAACAACTCATCACTGCTACACTGGATATATGCGGGGTGAGAAAATAAGGCATAACAAGGTAGTGAGGTGCTGCGACTCCGGCTCAAACACGACGCGTTGGCGATGCGCCCGCGATGCGAGATAAAAGTGTAAGGACAGTGTGGGCACAGGAGCTTTGCCTGAGGAGGCACCTATTACCATCTTTTTTGGTATGGCTCAACTAGTGAGAGCCATTCACCGAACGTGTAGAATATAAGCTCGGCTACAATAATGTAGTATCCTACATAGTCAGCCACTTTTACCTAGCTAGACGGGTCCGACTGCCGACATACTAATGCCCTAAAGGCAATTACTACACGGGCATGAAGAATTGCTACCCGGGCATGACTCTTACACGGGCATGACTTCTATCGCCTCTGATTCGCTCATTTTTTTTCCTTCGACCCACAGGTACATCAGTGCAAAGGCGGTGAAGCAAGCTCTCTTAACAAGGCCGTGCTTTCGGTATAGTCAGAACCAACCAGGTCAACCAGGCCTCTAGAACAGGTCTTAGGCGTATATCAAAACAAGGTCTGGTTTTCAATACAGAACACGGCCAATTCCAGCACGCCCTAGAGGGCAGCTATCTATATCTCTATCCTCTAACTACTATAGATGGAAGAACCTCCTCGTCGCTGTAAAGCAGCTCCCACTGACTCCTTCGCCTGCGAATGCTAGATTGCGTCTTCCGTCCGTTGGCGACGTACTCCTGTAGTTCTTCCAGCTCCAAGAACAGCTGACCGGCTGCGCGTCTGGCGCTGGGATGAGGCACTGGCCTGGCTACTAGCCTGGCTGCTGGCCTGTTGGCTCGCTTCCAGAGCAAGCCTAGCTAGCGTTGACTTGTTGTGACTTCCTGGTGGTCGACCTCGTCTGCGCCCTGTCGCTTGGCTTGCTGGATTGCTGGCTCGTTGGCCACTCGGCTGGCTGCTTGCCTCAATGGCTAGCCGCGCTGGAACAGCCTGTGTGGTGTTCTTAGGTCTGCCACGGAGAGCAGTGGCGATCTTAGGGTCGAGGATTCGTCGGTATGGATCTCGAGAGGATGGCTCTCGTAGGCGCCACCGAGGATGGACCTCCCATTTGGTGAGAGGCGTGCCACTCACCAGCTTTGAGTAGATTGTGTGGCAGCAGGGGATTCCAAGCTCGGTCGAAACCGAGCAGTCCTCACTGCAATCGCCAATGGGGTCAGGGAACGGATTCTTCCCCGTCGGCATTGCTTTCCTTGCTAGCCGATATTGTTTGTTGATAAGCCCGAGACCCTTCGAAGAGAGTGCTGTCCGGGGTTCGCCTAGATACTCCGAGCTGGACCCTATGTACTCTCGCGCGGTAAGTACCTCGTCCGCTGCGCAGGCGTCGTTGAAATCTCGCTCCTGGTCCTTCATCATGTCCTGCATAGCCTCGATAAGCCGATAGAGATTGCTCATACCATTCAGGAGATAGCTCTTGATGTTGTTGTTGCTTGCTTCTGTCCCAGATGTGACGCGGATGCCGAAGTTGCGATAGTTGCGAATGAAACATCGTGCCCACTGCGCCCTGACAGGCATGGAGGTTCCATGGAGATACCGCAGGATGGCCCGCTGATCGTCAAATTCCCTACAGAGGCTTCCCCACGCCTTCTCGTGAGCCTCCTCTGTCTCCGCAAACAAGACGACCTTCCACATCATGAGAACCCCTCGATGGCTATGAGGGACGACTTCAGCTGTCTGCGCGTTGACCAACTGTCCGTCTTTCGGGCCGAGCTCAGCCTGTGCCTGTGGAGCGTAGTCCTCCCCGTTGCTGCTGTCGGGACTACTACTGCTACATTGGCCCTTGACCCACTTCTGCTTTGACTTGAGCAAGACGTTAGAATTGATGTGGTGGATGCACAGCTGCTGCTGTGCATCAGGGAACTGATCATTCAGGGCGGCCTTCATCTGACCGTCGAAGTCAGTAATGATAACGTCCGGTTGGCGAATAGAGTGCTGCTCTGAGATCTGTCGAATGCTCTCAGAGAGGAACTGGAACCCCTCCCGTCTCTCGTTGTCGATCAGACCGAACGCCGCATTGTAGACAGGACCAAGGCAGGTCTGTCCTGTTGCTTGGAATAATGGAAGCTTGAAGCGGTTGGTGTTGTATGTGTTGTCGAAGCTGATGACCTCAGGAAACCGCTTCCACATCTGGAGGCAGTACGGAAAGGTCCAGACAAGACCGACGAGGCGGTTTGGCTCATCATCCGCCCACTTAACAAGATAGGGAATCTCCATCTCGTCGAACAGCTTGATCAGTGCTGCAGTAGGAGTGTGGCCGCTCAACTTGTCTCGGCTGATACGAGACCTGGCGTTATAGATATCCTTTCGTGTAAAGGATGACTCGGGATGCTGCTCCAGGACGATCGCGCGTACGTCACGGGCCCGAATTCCGACCCGACGGCTTGTCGATTCGACTGTTGCCCTGATAGGTGTAGTGAGTCGTCTGTGGGAGGGATGGGCGGATGGTTTGATACTGGCCCCGTGGTTATGCTGGCTATGCTCGGAATTATCGTGGTGTCGTAGAAGCCATCTACCCTCCTCCAGTGCTTCGGCAATGACCATCCATTTACAACCACACTTTCGAGACTTCCGTTGCCGAATACCGGTACTCTCTGAGGGGCGTGGTTCTCCGAATCGATCGCATTGGAAAGAGTACCGGATCTTCCGACCCTTATATGAGTAGGCATTTCGTCGAACAATACCGAAGCCATTAGCCTTCGCGAAAGTATTCACCCACTCGAACAGGACTTCGGCTGACGGCGCTGGGTCGCCTGGGATAGGTGGGTTCGGGATCGGGTCAGGGACAGGCGACAAGGGGTGGTCGGGCGAGGGCGGCGAGGCGATAGGCGGAGAGTGCCTTTCTCGGGGAGGCGAGTATGGCGGAGATGATTCGAATGGAGTTGAACTGAGCGGCGAGTAGCCCCATATCTCGCGCCATTGGCGGACTCGTTCGTATGACCGGACGAGCTCGATGGTAAGTCTTCGATCTGTCCCAATCACCTCGCGCACTAGCCTAAGGGCGGACTGAAACTGGGGTCTTGTTGGAGAGAATTGTTCTTGTGCTGATTGTTGTGGAGAGCAGGCAGGTGGCTGGTCGATTTCCGGGCCTGGTATAGGCATTCTTACTCGTTGCGACCGTCTTCCTCGGGTTGGGAAATCATTCGATAGGTGAATCTCATGATCGAATCGCAGCTCCCATGGTGGCTCGTTCAGCCCACGCGATCCATAGGGGCGTGGAGCGGTCGTGAAGGTCTCTGGGTACGAGGCGAAAGCATTACAGAGTGCCTCGTCGTCTCCCACGCCATAGTGTGGGCCAATGCTCGTCCCTGTGCTATTAGACGAAGGTGGTCTTGAACTCTCAGATTGGTTCTGCCGCTGTCGTTTTCGAGGACGTAATTGATAGCTTCGAAGTCGTTGGTTGCTTGCTGAGCTAGATCGAGAGTCGGGCTGGGACATAATGACGGCCTTGATCGCGACAGGAAGAGTGTCGCACGCACGGATGAGAGCATGGTTAAAGGGGCAGTTGATTTGACTATGAAAGAAGGAAAGAGGGGACCAATTTCAGCACAAAGGAATGACCTGCTTTGTGATGCAGATGCCTTGGAAGATGAGGCTATTGGATATTCCTGATACAGCGTGTGTTTGAGTGTTGGTCTCAGCAGGGGGCCTAACACACCACGCCTGGAGCCCTGGGACCTTGACAAATATGGTATCTTTCACGAACAATCATTATCAGTAGGCTTGACATGCGACAAGAGGTAATTGGTGTAGTAGCTAGCTAGTGAATAGCTTCCATATGTCTCGTCGATCGTCGTGGTGGAGAGCTAATCCCGAGGTACAAGGGAAGCGTTGGCAGAATCTAGATGCACTAACAAAAAGGGATGGACCAATCAGAGGCTGCAAAAGGTCATGCCCGTGTAAGAGTCATGCCCGGGTAGCAATTCTTCATGCCCGTGTAGTAATTGCCATTCGGGAATGGTGCCCGTCCACAGCAAAGCTCGTCCAAAGAAAGCCTTATTTGTGTAAAACAGCTGATGCATGAAACACTTTCTGGTTGATACTATCTACTTGTGAACAGTCAACAACTCTGTTAGACATTAAGAGAATACTACGTGGCGTGTGGAGTGGCACTGTAGGGGTCAGCAGACGACTGTTTGCAAACATACCGAGCTTCTCCGATCCATCCAACATTTCCTGCTAAGGCACTAGCTCAGCAAGCGAAGCCAATTAAACAACGCCAAAGTGGGTACGAAGCGTGGTTCAGGGGCGATGGAGGATTCTTATCAAATAATAAATTAAGCATCGCAACACAGGCTCAGAATAGCCACCTTCCAGCTGTTTTGCTGCTCTACGTGTCCATTAGAGAAGAATCATGTCTCACTCCTGCTGAGCGAGGATTACTTCACAGCCGAACAACTTCCGAACGACGACGGTACGCTATGGATTTTCCGCAAACGCCACCATTCCGCATTATCATTGCCGGGGCCGGCCTCGTGGGCTTAACTGCGGCACACATACTACACCAGGCCGGTATCGACTTTGTGATCCTAGAGAAGCACGTAGATCCAGTCCCAAAGGTCGGATCCGTCATGACGATCTGGCCGCAGACACCTCGCATGTTCCAACAGCTGGGACTTGATACGTTTCTTGATCCTCTGATGGAGTCTCTCCGGACCAGCATCGTTATCTCTGGGGACAATTCGCGCCAGCTCGACGTCTCTGAATTTCCATCTACCATCGAGAAACAGTAGGTATAATGAGCGCGCATCCTAATCGAATCTCCCTCGCTGAATCAGGAGACCGTGCCTTGTGCAAGAGCTAACGGGCTATCTTTCAGGCACGGCTGGGGACTCCGCATCCTACTCCGCACTCAGTTCGTGGAGGCGCTATACAAAAACCTCCCAGAAGCAGCCAAATCAAAAGTACTCCTTGGGGGGCAGGTTGAGAGTGTAATTATGGATGAAAGTGGTGTTCAGGTGATTTGTAAGGACGGCCACGTTGAAGACGGATCCATTCTCATTGGTGCCGACGGGGTCCGGAGCCGTATACGCCTGTGCATGGAGGCTCTGCGACAACATAAAGCACCTCACGACCTGGATGAGAAATATCAAAGGCCGTACCACTCCACTTACAGGGTACTCGTAAGCCAAGTCGAACCATTGCCAGATGCTCCATTACGTGTCAAATGCGACGGCGTCAGTTACGGCGCTGCAACGCAATTCTTACACGGCAACCAGGTCTCTTGCTTCGCCATCTATGAGAAGCTGACAAAACCGGCTCCGAGACATCACCACTACACAGAAGATGACAAGCATGAGATGCTGAAGCGCTGGGCCCATCTGATGGTCATGCCAGACTATTCGGTACGTGATTTGAAGTTGACGGGAGGTAATATTGGGCTGTATGACTGCGAAGAGGGCTTGATATCTAGTTGGTACCACGGTCGTATTGTACTGGTGGGTGATGCGGTAAGGAAGCTTGATCCCCACACGGGCATGGGATACAATGAGGGGGTTATCGACCTGATAGTGCTTATCAACTAGATTCGAGATATGTTGAGATTACTTACACCCGAACAAACGGGATCAGTCATACCTTTGATTGAGAAGACCTTTCACGATTATAAGAAGGCCAGGATCAAGGGTATGAGCATAGTGATGAAAATATCGAAAAGGCTTGCTCGGGTGTCGGCATGGCTTTCGTGGAAAGACATGGTCATTGCCAGGTACTTGCAGCCATATTTGAGGCTGACTGACCTAATTGTGGCGTTTATTCTCACTCCCATGATAAGGGCGTCGCCGATGCTGAACTTGGTAGGAGAAAATGAGGCAGATACGAAGCAAGATCTGCAATAAACGTCCTTCACGCTAATGCACACCTCACGTATAAAGCCAGTTCTACTGATTGTTTTCGATGGTAACACCTTTAGGCTGTGAAGAGCCACGAGACAAGCCCATATCTGATTGAACGACTTCCCCTCTATAGAATCACAGTCTACAATCCCCACGTCTTCATCCCCGATCGAGGCCTTGCACGTACGGGCTCACCGATCTCAAACCTTTTCGTCACAAATAGTGCCGTCGTTGTTAGCGAATAGGAGAGCCTTGCAAAGGAGTACGACAGGGCAATGACTTACTCGCCCGATGTTTTTAACTCTCGATATTGGCTCTGTAAGAATGACTCACTGGCCTCGGCGCTTCGTCCTTTCTTCGATCTCCTGGTCCATTTTGGGTTGACAGCGACGAGATAGCCGGTGATGATGTAGGCGCACTGCGGCCACGCCCGTTGTAGTACCGAACGAACATTAGCCGCGTATTCCTCGTCGGCCATCAGTTCTCGGAAGACAAGTCCGGGGTTCGGGAGAGTGTAATCTCTTATCTCTTCGCATTCCAGTGCTACTGCCCTTGTATAATATTACCTCTACTTCATACATATATAGAGAACTAAGTTGGGAACCATATTATAAGAAAGGAGAGTATCAATAACATACAATAACGTAATCCACAAGCGACCCGCCCACACAAGCGACCCGCCCACACAAGCGACCCGCCCACTTTCCTCTCCATTTCGTATAAGCTATCTTTAATCCCATATTCCTCCACCAAAAATCATGCCACAGCAATCAAATGAAGGCGATATTATTCTAGCGCTAAACGCGCTTCAATCCGATCCAAAATTAAGCGTACGAAAGGCTGCGCAGATCTACAAAGTCCCTCGTACGACACTTCGCGACCGACGACGCGGTGCACAGCAAAAACGCGATACCCGACCACATAACCAGAACTTGACCTCGTACGAAGAGGATAGTATCGTACGATACGTACTCGACCTAGATTCGCGTTCGTTTCCACCGCGCCTTAGTGGTGTTCGAGAAATGGCGGATCGACTCCTCCGCGCACGCGACGCGCCACGCGTCGGAACGAACTGGGCCTCAAACTTCGTACGACGACGACCTGAGCTCCGTACGCGTTTAAATCGAAGAATCGACTACCAGAGGGTCCTCTACGAGGATCCGGACGCGTATCGCGCGTGGTTTGAGCTCGTACGAAACATAATCGCGAAATACGGGATCCACGATGACGACATCTATAACTTCGACGAAACGGGCTTCGCGATGGGTAAAATCTCCGCCGAAACCGTCGTTACGACCTCCGATCGACGCGGGAGGCCAAGAGCCGTACAACAAGGGAATCAGGAATGGGTTACAGTAATCCAGGGCATCGCGTCGTACGGCTATTCAATCCCGCCGTATATCATCTTCGCCGGGAAGGTCCACCTCAACTCCTGGACCGCGAATAGCCCCCTACCGCCCGACTGGGTAATCGCGCTTTCAGAAAACGGTTGGACGACGAACGAGAGAGGCCTAGAATGGGTAAAACACTTCGATTTCCATACGAAGAGTCGTACGAAGGGTACCTACCGCCTCCTCATCCTCGACGGCCATGAGAGCCACCATTCCGTCGATTTCGAGCTCTACTGTAAAGAACAGAATATCGTAACACTCTGTATGCCTGCTCACTCGTCGCATAAGCTCCAGCCTCTCGATGTTGGGTGCTTTGGACCTCTGAAACGGGCGTACGGTAAAGAAATCGAAGGTCTAATGCGGGCGTACGTAACCTACGTTTCAAAGGAGGACTTCCTCCCAGCCTTTTATAAGGCGTACGACGCTGCAATGACCAAATCAAACATCCAGGCAGGCTTCAGAGCGACAGGCCTAGTACCGTACGACCCGAATTATATAATTTCACAGCTAGATACGAAGTTTCATACGCCGACACCGCCAGGTTCCTCTGCTGGACTACCACCCCCATGGGTTTCAAAGACGCCGAACAACCCAATTGAGACCGAATCGCAGACGAAGTATATTGAAAATCGCATCGTACGACACCAGAATAGCTCACCGTCGTCCATTGTTGAGAGCGTACGGCAGCTAAGAAAAGGCGTCATAATGATGGTACACGAGCAGGACCTTATGTGCCAAGAGCTCGCCGAACTTCGAGATGCAAACGACCGCCTCAGCCGCCGTCGTCGTACGAAAAGAAAGCAGCTACAGAAAGGAGGGTCCCTTACGATTGATCAGGCAAAGGATTTGAAGGCTCAAATCGATGCGACGCAGCAGTTAATAGCGGAAACGAGTCAGAATAGTGGTCGTACGAGGAGGCCCGAAACGCGCGCGCGACGATGTGGCGTCTGCGGCGAGCCCGGGCATAATGCTCGTACGTGTCAGAAAGTTGTATCTGCCTCTGAAGAAGAGGATTCCGAATAGTTTGAATTGATTTAAGGCGTTATGGTTGATTTAACTTATATATGATCGTACGAGTGCGTAGAAGGTGGGCGGGTCGCTTGTGTGGGCGGGTCGCTTGTGGATTACGTTAGTGCATTTCCTTTTGCTACTATATTAGAGCCTCGGTTATTTCCTACGACGGGTTCTACTATCATATGGCCCATCGTTGGTTGTGAGGTGGATAAATGGGCCAGCTTACAGCCAGATTCGACCCTGCGCCATAAACGCTAACGACGTATGAATCGTGTTTGATGCGCAAACCCCCTTACGACACACCACTGTGTGAATGAAACATCTACCTACCATATTATAATACAGTACCGTTGACCTATTGTCGTAGACTGCTAAAATATCTTGTACTAGATAACTGTTACGGGCTCGGGCTCTGGCCCGAGCCTGGGTGGGTCAAAAAGGGGGAGACAGGGGGGGTAACAAAACCGTAACGCGCTCACGGAGAGTGCGAACTACCTGCTTTTATTTCCCAAGTTCGTAGTAAATCTAATACGCCTAGTATCTGTTCAGACCTAGGGCCAGTACTTAACATACTACGAACTTCCTCTTCCTCGGATATGGCCGAGGTCGATGAGCTAAGAGCACGGCTCGACGCTATGCAGATCGAGATGCGCGACCTCCGCGCCACGTACGAAGCAACCCTCCCTAACGGCTCCCCACCCAATCACCAATCAGGCATCGATACGTTCGAAGACCGACTCAGCCGAATGCGCGTCGAAATCGAACAACTGCGGGCAGCGCAGACACCGCTCCCTTCAAGGGCACCCGGCGACGCAAATACGGACGGTGCAGGGCATTCCCCGCCCTCGATAAGCCCGGCACGCGGATATCCCGCCAACTCGACTCGCCCATACCCTAATCCGACACCGCCGCTCACCCTACGGAAACCGCTCCCGAAAGGAGAGCCTTATAATGGCGACAAGCAAACCTTCGCGGCCTGGAAGATTACTATCCGACATAAGCTTACAGCCGACCAGCACTTCATCGGGTCCGCAGAGGACCAATGGGTGTACCTATGGCAGAATCTCTCCCCTAAGGTCCAGGCGCAAGTCGCGGCCTACTACGAAGCAGCAGGGGAGGGGACAGGCTATAACACGGACGCATTCCTATCGTATCTCGAGACCGTCTTCGGGAACCCCACCGACAGCAGGTTGCTGAAGCGGAACTCGACAACCTTCGGCAAGGAAAGAATGAGTCCTTCGCAACATTCTTCGTGCGCTTCGAACAAAAAATGGCCCTAGCGGGGGGGCACGAATGGTCGGCCGGAATACGCCTATCCCGTCTCCGAAGAGCCCTCTCATCGGAAATCCGCGAAAAGAGCGTAGGAGCCGGGGTTTCCAGGGATAACTACGAATTGGCGGTCAACCAATACCGATCGATCGCGACGGATATCGAAACGTATCGAATGGAAGAACGGTTTCGCAATCACCCAAGCCATACGCTAACCCCGAGGCGGACTCGCTTCGTAGACAACGAGGGTGACACTCGGATGACAGGAGTTAACGCGTTAACTCAATACGGCACCAACAAGAAAAGCCAGGGCCGCTCCCAACCACGGAGCGGAAACGGGCAGCCCAAACGGAGGGCTAACTGGGTCTCGAAGGAGATCCTCGACGAAAGAAGGAAGCAAGGGGCTTGCCTACGTTGCGGAGCCAAAGGACACTTCGCTCAGGACTGCAACCTCGCCCCCGCGATACGCCCCTCGACGGCAGTACGGACGCTGACCGTGGATGAGGGATACTCCGACCCGGAGCCGGACCACGAAGACCCAAAAAACGAGGAGACCTTGGCCTAAGTCTCCGGCCAAGGCGACCAGGGTCACACCCGCAATCAGTCGAAGTACAGGGTCCCCAAGGGGCGGAGGAATTTCGGAAGATAGAAGCGCAAATGAACGAACTACCATTCCTAGTGCCGATATTAGTCCATTCCCTGAAAACCTTCGACGTGCAAATCGACAGCGGCTGTGACTGTTACGGAGCAATCAGCGAGGAGGCGGCACGAGGCCTCGGTCTGAAAAGAATCAGGCTCCACTCGCCGCGGGAGTTGAAGGTAGCACGGAACCTTCCCCGCGCCCCGGCAATCAAAACGTTCGTCCGCACGTACCTCGACGTGGATGGATGGACATGCCCAGCCGCCCTCTACGTTATCCCGGGGCTCTCCCGAGACCTAATCTTAGGCCTTCCGTGGATTAAACGCTGGGGAGTACGGATGGACGCCCAGAGGAGAACATTGAATATCGGCGCGGCT